CCTGCTTGTAAAGAGTTAAAAAATCTGCAAATGGTGTAAAAATAATTTACTCAGTGTTTCGTATTATGACTTTATTCTCAATTAAAGGAACCTGAAATATCAAGAAATTTGACAGACACATTTTAATCTTACTCCATTAGCAGATACTTTAACTTACTACAAACAATCCAGGTATTAATTTTGCTTTGAAATATCTTTAATAAGACATTTACCAGGATTTCTCAGGTGAGAATTTATGCGTAGACAAATTTTAATAGATTTTTTAAAGAAATTTTGAGTTGAGAAAATAACAGTCACACGCTGTGAACAGTGAATAGTTCAATGACAGTTTCAGGCACTCAACCCACAGTGTGGGTGCAGCGTGCAAACAGTGGAGGGAAAAGCTGCGTGCACTTTGGTGTGAGGCACACACATAAGCATGCATCTCATGCAATCCTTTTTTATCACACCTCCCTGTGGTCACAGCTGTGACTGCACAGAGGAACTAACAGCACAGACTATGAGACATTTTCTGAGGCCTATGTCCTCCCTCAACCCTGCCATGAAATTAAGACCTTCAAAGGAGGATATTAGAGGACGTTAGAGACAATGATTGGAGAAGATTTAAGAGGAGGAGGCAAGAGAGGAAATTAGAGAAAGACTTAAGTGCCGCAGATTGTTGAATTTTAAAACAAAGAAATAAATTGGGGAAGCTGTGACACAGTTTCTATGTAAACCACGCCTCCTTCCTCATCCCAGTACATAAACATCCAGGGCTCAAAATAGAGGCCAGAGATACTTGTACTGCAACATCATGAAGAATGAGAAATCTCATCACAAAATAGCTGGAGGGCATCAATAACTACCATACCTTACATGTTTTTCTTATCTTTCACATTTAACAAATATGATTCTTGATTTAACAGACTGATGATAAAGGAAGTTTAAAAATACACTTTGAGACACTCTTCAGTTCTTTGTATTCTTGCAACAGGACGGGGGATTTACCTCAGACAAGTTAAAATCAGTATTTTAGTCTGAAATCTTACCCAACAAGAGAAGTTCTGCTGTGTGGGAGGGACGACATCGTGTAGTTTCCCTTCACCTTCACCATCCTCGTGGGTTTCTCTTTGATGGATGTGTAAAGGGAACAGAACTTGTGTTAATAGTAATTTTCACCAAGAGAAATAGGATCTCACTGTACAGACCGTTGTTACGCCATATATAGGCCATATCATATACTAACACGGTTTTAGTGCTGGTTTTAGGTCAAATTGTAGCAGCGGCCGCTTCGATATGTAACAACTGTCACGTGTTCATTTTCAGTGAAACCACTAACTTGCACTGAACAAAATTTCCCCAAATTAGCATAAGTATTTCTCTTTCTCTCTTGTGATATTTTTATATCTCTCTGTCTTTCTTTCTCTCTGTGTCTTTGCAACACGAACTTGAATATGTTACATGACTTAGTTACAGACCTGTGTTAGGGACAATGACAAACAAGCTTATTTAGCTTCCAGTGAGTTTGTGGGCTGAACATGGTCTAATTTTAAAAAGGGAAATTCCTAGATGTGAGGAACTTGTTTTATCTAGCACTATTTGCACACTGTGGCTTATACATTTATTTTCCCATAAGCTCCACCGAGATAACAGCAAATATTAGCTTCATCTTCTTCCAGCTTATATCACTGTGAGTTAGATAGTTGGCGACTGTGCTCAAAGTGCTTCAAGATATGAATGCAGTATGTTTTAGCAAAAATGTAAAATTAAATAAAAGGTTGTGAAGAACTGAAATATTTCAAGTAATGCTAAAAAAACACATACAGGTCTATAAGTATGATAGATATTAATATATGTACTATCAAAAACAAGAAGTTAAAAGCTGATACTGATGTTTAAAAGTCTCTACAACAGGAGTGACGTGTTTTAGCTGAATTGTGAGCTATGGATGTTGTATGCTAACACATGTTTTTCTGTTAAAAGGCTTGTTTTGACTTAAAATATAGTGTAAGGTCCTAATTTTTTCAATATTTGCTGGCTTTTCCATTCTTATCATTCAGGCAGCTCTGAAAAGTCAACAGTTTGTCGATCTGCTTATGTTAGCTCACATCCCCGAGCATCATCAAGATCACATTTACCCTGAAGTCAGTAAAATGGCCACGTCACGTCAATATGTTTTAAGGTACAGATTCACTTAACTTGAATCAGACCAATTAAAATCCACTTTCCAAACATAGTTATAATATGAAAGATTACCTTAGCACAGTTATGTGACCTGACTCCACGGTCCTCTCACTGTCTCACTAACTGGATGGTAGTTTATGTTAGACATAACAAGTGTTGGCTCTTAACTAAAACAATACAACATTGTAGTAAGGATCAGTTTGTTAGGCTGATTAAGGTGTTTGGCTGCCAGTTGTTCAGTTATCTGTGTTTTTGTTTTTTCAGGGTCAGTTTACTCTTAAGTAGGTTTAGGGGGAGGTATTTAGAGAGACGGTCCATGGCGTGACTGGCCCAGCACCTTCCCAGCTTTTGTTTATTGTGGATGATGTCTCCAGTCCTTTGTGTTTCCCTTTTTTAAATCATCATTATTATTATTATTATTTTTTTTGTCTATTTTGGGCTTTTAATATGTTGCAGTCAGTCACATCTCATGAGCCTTCAGTTTCTGGTATCAGGGAGACCGATGTTGAACTAGAAGCCATGGGGAATGGAACCAGCTTCCTAGTGCAGCAGCATACTGCCATGTTAGATATCCTGGTGCCGTGGTCGGTTGTAGTATCCAGTAAATTTTTGGCCACTATTGATGCCCCTACAGGAAGATGAAGATGAAGATTAGAGGTACAAGAAAAGTTTGGTTTGCTAATCATTTTGTTTCTGCTCGGACAGGCATCTTAAGTTTTGTTGGAAAAATCTCTCTGAAAGTGTAAAATTTTAAAGAATTTCTAAACTTGCATAACGTGAAACTTGGTTTTACAGAACCAAGTTGTGCTCTGCCGTTAACTATAGAAAACCTCCAGAATGTCTTTACCACAACTCAGATCAGTTTTTATTGAATTAAGTCCAATAAGTCTGTGTTTACTTCTTGTTTACAGCACTTGAACAACAACTAGCTTCAGAAGTGTAGTTGTTGCGTCACACACCATGATAAAGCGCTTTCATGCTAGTTTTCATAGAAAGCACAGGCAGTCAGAAATACGGTAGCAGCTTAACCCTAACCCTTACAGCAGATATTTCAACACTTTCTGTTGTACAATAGGTCAGTATTTTTAACATGGTGTTATCTTATCGTGGTTTGTAAGAAGTCTGACTGGTTTTTGTAAGTCCTTTATTTCAGACAGTAGACCAGTACGTTGCCAAAATCAGAGATATCAGATCTGGCACCCCAACAGCATTACGAGACATGACATCCAGGCTACGTGAGTTGTCTTTGTTGACTTGAGGTACTTGCACACATTAAAAAAGAAACGTGTATGTGGCATGATGCTACTGCTTGCTTAATAACTACTTCCTTATTGCAAGAATCTATATTCTCAGGGGTGGAAATGGCCAAATATCATGTGTGTGACTGGTCTGGGAGGAAATCCATATTTAGATCTTTACTCTAAAAATGTCAGGCCTCTTATCGGAAACACTGTTTTCCTACTAAGTTTCAGAATCAAAAGTATTTCCATATATGATCATCAATTTAAAAGATTTTTATCTCTTTAGAGTAAACACAGACGCTAAAAGACGATAAAGCTGAGCCACGACCTTTGTGTCTTGTCGGTTTATGTAGCGGTTCACATTCTCACCCCGTGGACTCGACTTAGACCTTTATCCTGCTGTAAAGTGGGGACTGTACCCGCTCAGTTTCCAACCAATCAAAACTGTCTGAACACAAAAGTCTCTCTGTCTCGTTGTGTGTGTATTATTTTCCTATGACTGCATGAAATAACTGAGTGTGTTTCATCCAGATTCACATCAGATCACCACCCAGAGTGTGAGTCTCACTCCCCGGAGAGTCTCTCCACTCCTCTCCTTCCTCTTTTATCCCCCATTTTCTTGTGTATGTAAACAGAAGTAAAGCATTTTGAGCTCCAAGGCAGAGCACGATGATCAGACAGCGTACGCGATCAATGACTTTGAAGAGATCTAACGTCCCCTTATAAATGTATTTTACTCAGAAGGAAGAGCAGAAATGAAGAAACTCACTTCTGGAGCCAATGGCCACATGTTTTCTCTCTCTTCAGTCGAAGAGAACGAAAGAAAAAACACAGCGCAAAGTTTTGTAAAGGAAAGGCTGCATCTTTTTTGTTGCACGTTGCAGAGCTTGCTCATGTGGCCGGGCAACTGTAGGCCTGTTAGAGTAAGAGCAGGGAGGAGTCAGAGTGAAAGTTTAAGCAGAGAGTCTCTTTCTTGAATGTCAGAGTTTATCAGAATGATGTAAAAGGAGGAAACTAAACAAAAGACCGCAATTTTTCAGGCATCAGCGTGCATTAGCATGAGCTTTTGTCTTATTTCTGTATTTGTTGATGTGATTTAAAACCCTATATTCAGAAGTAGTCGTGTTCAGAGTTTATTGTAAAACCTTGTGAAAAACTTTAAATATTAGTCATTGCTTTACACTTAACTCCATCCCCATTTACAAATAACTGAGGCTTTTCACACTTGAGCAAATGCACGGGCAGACTAGATGAGCGAAGACTTCCTGTTCTTGGTGGCGTAGCTGAAATGAAACTTCCTGTCACCAAGGCGTTAAGGTAGCGGCAGCCTCTTCTTTTTTTTTGGTGTGACATCACTCCCACTTGCTTGACTTGACACCAGAAGCGAGGTTTAAGGGTTTGGGGAACAAGTCCAGGAAGCTGCGTGAGTCGGTAAGAAAGATAAAAAACCTACATAACTTCAAATAAGGACAAAGTTTCGTCTTACTTCTGCTTTATAAGTAATAAACTAATTTACAGCATCAATTTGACGTGCGAATTTGTGCCTGTAGGACTTTTCTGTATGGTGTGTGACCGTACACACCCTAACTCCTGGACATGGCGGGTCTCTTCGGTATGAAGATCCTGCTGCTCTGGGCTGGAATCATCAGTTTGGCAAACTGTAAGTAACAAACTGAATCTATTTTTTTATGACAAACTGTAGAAGGAAGTGATATTTGGTGAAGTTTCCCCCTCGTTGTCTGTCATCTTAAAGTCATCAAGAGGAAATATGATCTGTTAATGATGCGAAATATGAACGATAGCCAACTATAGGTGGTTGGGTCTCTTATTCTAGGCTCTTCAATGTTTCTGAAGTGGCAGCATGTGGTGCTTTAGCATGTGATCATGTTTACAGAAAAAGGTGAAACTCCTGAATCTGAGAGAAACGGAGTGAGATAGAGACATGAATCCGTCAGCACAAAACTCAGACTGTAATCATTTGAAGGAAAAGCTGAGGGCAGGAATGACAAGCTACAGTATATCATGTCTTTGAGCCGCGTCAACGTTTGTGCTACTTCATGTTTCTTAAACTTTCCAAAGCCAAGAACACAAGATATTAGAGCGCACAGCGGTGATGTGAGGAGCTGGGGAAGTGACAGCTTTGTGAGGCCCTTTGGCAAAAGAATAAACACTTATGTTCAATCAAAGACGGCTGTTAATAACAAGACGCTCTTTAAAACGGCGTCTTTCATTTGCTACACAGCTGTGGGAATTTTTGCAATCATGTTTCTGTTCTGCTTTGACATTGTGTGTGTTAGTGTGTATGTGTATGTGTGTGTGTATGCGCGCTCTTGATGGTGCAAGTGTAAATGTATTTGTGTGTTTTTTTGAGGGATGGGGAGGGGGGTGTCTGTCAGAGATGAGAAAATTAGTCGGGGTGTGTCGCTGCGAGCACTTCACATCAACCCTAGTGGCTGTGTGTGTGTTGTATATGATACACATCTGAGCGTCTGCGTGTGTGTGTGTGTGTGTGTGAGTGTGTGTGTGCAGCCAGACCTACCTTGCTGCCTCTTGCATCATTCAGAGTTCTGCTACAGTTCAGCACATCAAATAATTTCTGCTATTTTCAGCTCAGATGTCTCTATACGAGCTGAAATCAACCCTCCTTTCTATTTATTTCGGCCATCACTCAGGGTCAGCATTTGTCATCTGTTTCTCAAAAAGCGCTGTAGATAAGCCGCCAAGGTAAACCGCATCCACAGATTAATCTTATCGACACGTCTTCACCTCTCAGTCCTTCGCTTAGCTGCCATCAAAAATAGATATAGAAATAATGTGTAAACGCAATATTAATCTCAAACCTTATCTATAAATTAACTATAAGACCTTTCTAGAGCTGTTTTATTCAAGCCCAATACTAAAAACTCAAGTCTTTGTACTTACACTGCTTTCCAGAGACATACATGAACATTAATCATATAAAGTTTTCAGAACAGTTTCAAATAACAAAACCCGTTTCAAACCCAAAATATTTAGATTACTGTCCAGTAAATAAAACCACCAGATCTACTACCAGCTTGGCATGAATATGCATTTTTTACCTGTAAACAAGTGGAGAAAAACTATTAAAGCTCCTTTGAGTTTGTGTGAATTTGGCACCCCCTGTGGACAAATCTGTTACTGCATTTCCTTTGTGGATTTTGTCCTCTACACTGCAAAACTGAAAACTAAGTAAGTGTTTTTGTCAGATTTTAGTTTACACTTAAAAATGATCAATTCAGATAACATTTTATTTTAAGATATTACACACCAAAATTAAGACTTTCATTATTTGTAACAACCAAACCAATCATACACTGGAGGAGGTCATTTATTGTTAGCTTTCTTGAATTAAGACGTTGCACTTACTTCAAAAAAATGCTACTTATCAGTTTTTGAGGAGCATGCAGGATCTTCAATAAAAAGAAGTGTATCTGACTTTTGACAGTCAAAGTCTCATTAATTATGAACATTTTATGAATAAGTATTAAAAACGAGGCTTTGACTTCAGCTGCTCAGATGAACCATAACCCCTCACGCCCGTTTCAGGCATTAGAACTTAGTATATAAAAACCATCACTCTGTTACTGATGGCCTTATTTGCTGTTGATATCATGACATAAATGGCATCAGTTTGAATTTCAGTCTAATTCACTAAAGTCCACAAATCCCCCACAGGAGCTTTAATTCCAATAAAACAAATTATACTCAAGACAAAGAAGTTTTTCAGCAACCATGAGCGATCGGTGTTATCAACAGAATATTTCCACCCTGCTTTATTTCAACAGTCAAACATGTGATGTGTTGACAATCTTTGCAGTGGAAAATGTTAAAAAGGCTGTTTCAACACTGCACCACCAATGTGCCAATGTGTGATGTTTATCACCAGAACCGGCACCCCTCCTCTCTCCTTGGTGGTTTGTAAGGAGGTTTTCACTCGGCTAACTAACTATCAAATGGTAGGTGGAGGGGTTTAAATCTGAAGTTCCCAAAAGAGTGAATCCCACATACTACTCTTACTCAGCTTTACTGTTGTTGAGGGAAAAAAAAAATCACAATATCCTTCTGGGTCTTTTTTAAAGTGCATTTAGGGGTACTGATGTCATTTTCTCTAATAACAGCATTTTGCTTATTATGAAACAATAGACATGATCACCTCGTATCACCTCAAAACACGTCGTAGAAAAAGTTTGATGAAAGTCTTGTGCTCTTCGGCATACATTTTAATTTGTTTTATAACAAGTTTAACTCTTTATAAGAGCTCTGAATGTTGTTTTCTGTTCGGCAATTTCTATGTCTGATATTTCTTGCCATAAACTTTCGTTCTTTCAGGTGAATTGAGGTTTTATCACAATATGGTTTAAATGAAATGCTTTTAGTCGCATTTGTCTTTTTTGGCTATTTTTACATCTTTAATCATCAAAGTTTGAAATTCTAAAGTCCTTGTTAACAATGTAAAATAAACTTGCGTATTTGTCCTACGATAAAAGCCCTACTGTAGTGGGATAGTACCATTATGTGAGGGATAATCATGGTGAACAGGCAGGTTTCCGAGCAGAGTTCTAACGCTGTGAGACGAGACCTCAGTGTAAAGCTTTTGCCTCAGTGTCAACAAGTAGAAGTAAGATGAGGGAGCTGATGGATTTAAAGACTGACATGTGTGACCTGGTTGTTGCTTCTGACGGTTGTCGAGAGGTTGGCAGGAGGGTTTCAACCAATCAGAACCAAGTGTTTAGTGAGAAAGCTCAGTAATGGTGATGATGAATAAGCCCTCGATACACTCTGACCTATGCAGGATGCTCAGATAAACATTTGAACGACACTCTTATAGAATAAAATCTTCAAACTTTCAGGTGCTTTCAGGCTCATGTGAGGTACTTTTGGTTTGTGTTGATTGTGGCACCCCTGCAGACGACACAGTACATCTTTTTGATCTTGACCTGAATGGTTAAAAAAATTGTATTTTCTGTTAAAGACTTGAAGTTCACATGAGAGTCTGGCACCATTTAATGACATTTATCTGTTTATAGCCGTTTTGTTCCTGTCAGTATGTAGATTTTTAAGCTGCCTTCTTCACAGTTGTGTGATCAAAACGTTGACCACTTCCGCCTTTCATTCTGAGTTGTCTTCATTTCCTGTTCAAGCCGAGCAGAGAGGAGCAGAGCGCTGTGGGCAGAGCAGACTGAGAAAGAGTACATGTACATGCTTTGAGAATTCATGAAACATAAAAGGGGGAAGTGCGGGGTCTGAAATGAAGAAGTGACGTCAGACATGTTGAGAATGCTGTGCGGTGAAAAGCTTTTCCGGGAGGAGGGGGACAGTACTCTGCGGTGAATGCAAGATATGAAGGGAGAGCAGAAGCAGTTTAAAAATAAGTTAAAAGTTGATCACTGATGAGGAGAGACTAATACGGATGTGTAGCACGCTGACAGAGATGTGCTTAACAGTTGATGATATTTAAGTCACAGTTGTAGCAAACTGTAAAAATTGGATAGCCGAATTAATTTCCTATGGCTGCTGGTCTTTTCTTCTTTATTTTGCTGCTTTTTCTTCCGCTTTAGACTTTTAACAGTCCAGTATAAGAGCTCAACCATCACACCTTCATTTCACACTTTCAGGGCACTGAAAAAGGAAGTATAACTGGCTTAACTTCACCACATTTATCACACTGGTGCTGCTCAACCTAACAAGTTACGATAAACTCTATTCGGTTACAGTTATTTAAATCACTTATTGAGATATTCATAGAGCAAAATTATGTTTCACTGAGATGGTTTGTATCTGTCACCGTAAGAAACAAAGTGAAAAGTCACTGCAGGGGAGGAGAGAGTGTGCATCTTCTGCTCAGTGTAGTGAGACAAGAACACACAAAACCACATCCTGAGACTCACTGTTTGACTGTCCTCCATCACCTCGTCGTCTTAGTCTCCCTGCTGTTGCTACGCAGAGCAAACAGGCAGAAGTCATTTCACGTTAAGAATTTAGGATTTTAAAAAAGTCAGAAATAAGGTTTTCGCTTTAAATGATCAAACACATAAAGCTTGAATTATGCTGTTTTTTGAGGGTTTTTATTAACAGTAACTTGAAACAAGTGAGTCCCTTCATTGCGAGTCACGAATCTGCTCAAGCTGAAACCAATTTTTTTCTAAAGAAAAGGAAGGTTCTTGTTGAGAGAAAAGCAGGAAATCGTGGTTTGCCTTTGAAATAGATGTGTTGCTCTGGAACACATAGTTAAAGCAACCAGGTTGCAAAGCTGCTTCTTGCAGAAGTTTGGATCAAAATGGCTGCTTTTTCCTCTTTTCAACCTGATAATACCTCATTTCTGTAAAGACCGTTTCATCAGTGGATACTTTTGAAGAACAAAACTCAGGCTTCAAAAATGATCACATTTTGTTTTGTCATGTTTCGTGTGTTTGTTTGTTTTTTCAAACTCATCCTAAACTCCTTAAAAAGAAGAAGCTGAAATTGTTTACACTATTTTTCTCTCTTTTGTTTCTTCCAGGTCAGACCCCATCAGGTAGGTTTGAATACTTGAACACAACATTTATTCAGCATTCATCATGATTATCATTTTCCCTTTATGTCACCATTTGTGCTGAAAATTGTCATACATCTTAACCTCAGTCCCCTTTCACAGCTACATTTCTCTCTTATCATCAGCTTTAAAATCACTCACCCTCCTTTATATCAGCTTTCCAAATCAAAATACTATATCCTCTATGTGAGCTGATAAATCTTTGGGGAAGATAATCTAGATGGCTGATGGTGCGGCAGTATGCTAACACTTAAAGCTCTTGTCAGAAACATGGTTTGTGTCCATTTTGGCGCCCTCCTGTGGTTTCTGGCCACAGATGTCAGTATGCCCACTCTTAAAGGTCAGATGTGTAACTTGTAACAAATGTTTCATGGGCTGTTTCTTCAGCTGCTAAGTAGACACCTACCTTCTCATAGGCTAGTTTGACACATTAGAAGCTACATTTCGACATTGTCAATCAAACCGTTTACATTAATTTTAGTCTGTTTTAAAAATGTCCGAAAAAACTCACAAGCTTGCTTTAAGCACTGCAGCACTGACACAGTCTTGATAGTTTTATGTCCAAACCCAGAGTGTATTTGAACTCAAACCTCAAACCTTTTTAAGTGTTAGCTCATTGCCACCATCGTTAAAACCAAGACTTTTACCAACTCAGGGAATATGATAATGACATTGTGTTTGGCTAGACTCATGTTTCCTCATAATGTGAATGTTTCAGCTCCCTCACCCTCACGCAACTCAAACCCAACCTCACCTCCAGTCACCAGTTCACCTGGCAAACCCATACCTCCAAGCAACATGACAGCTGCTCCTGTCATGTCTCCCAGCACCTCAAAAACCGATCCCGCATCCAGTATGTATTCTAACCCTGTTTACAGCTTTTAGCACAGATCCATACTTCTCTACTCTTCAATGTGGTTTCTATGACACTGGCCTCTGTAAAAAAAAGGAGCAGGAGATAAATCCTTGTACTGTAGCATTGACCTCATATTGCCTCCTGGCATTAAATACAGGGTTATAGGTGACTTCTCAAGTTATCAGCTGTGTGCTCTTTTGTATTTTAGATGTTTTCAACCTGTAGCCAGTGTTGTAGTCGAGTCACCGAACTTTGAGTCCAAGTGGAGTCACAAGTTCTCACTGTTCAAGCCAGAGCTGAGTCCACCTATAAGACTGATTGGGAAATAGTGAGAATAAACTTATAATGGTGTCTCAAACATCCCAAGCTGAGAGTAGGAAATATAATCTGTGTGAATACGATCTACAGCAGCCATCTTTGTGTAGAGAAGCAATGCTAAAAAAAACACTGTAGCGCTCTTTTGTTGGCATGACTAACATTTTCTTGTAGTGCAGATGTTTCTACTTCCTAACCTTCACCTTCACCCTCCATCACAATCAATGCTTTCCCTCCAGACACCAGTTCAGCTGGCACCTCACTTCCACTCATCACGACAGTCGCTCCTGTCGTGACCCCCAGCAACTCCTCATCTGACCCCAAATCCCTACACACCGAAAACAATTTAACCACCACGTCTGGTAATGTGTTAAGAGCTAGTTTACAGCTTTATTGGGAACATTAGTGGGGAAATCAGCCTGGTATTGTCCTGACATTGTGAACAGGTATTATACCAGGTGAGACTGTTAGCAGCCAAATGTTTTTACTCAAAGATGACTCCCCATGCTCTCCATCTTGCAGTCACTCCTAACACTCCTGCACCCAAAAACAACATCACCACTGTGACCTCACTTCCAAGCACTGAGTCCAGCACCAAAGTGGCTCCTGTCACCCCAGGTTGGGATTTTCTCATTTCAAAGCCTGCTGTTTGTTCTTGTAGGACTGCAGTAAGATTATATTCAACCCGTAGGTTTAGACAAAGTGACCAACACTGAAGACAAAAACAAGTCCTATTGCTTGTTTTGTTTTGTTTTTTTCAACTTGTTTAGCAGGATCTTTAATGTTGTACAACCATGAAATCATATTTTGTTTCTGTTTTTCTGTAATCTTCTTCAGCCGCCAACGCAACACAACCACCACCACAATGTGAGTACTGGTGCTTTTTTCCAGATATAAAACAAAGTTCAATTTATTGCTGTACAGTCTTTCTCTCTGTTTGATTATAACTATCTTTATCAACTGAATCTGTACTCAGTGTTAAGGGCCTTCAGAGTCTAACAGCACTTAAAGTGATTTGGGATGTGAAAGTGTTCTTGTTAACGATGATCTCAGATTAATTTCAGTGGGATTGGGTTGTCGGCAAAAAACTGTTCTTGAAACACATTTTGCTATAATGCAGTCCTGAATCTCACTGGCATTAACTGATGACTGTTTAGCTTTTAATAACCTCCATGAGCAGAAATCTGTAAGCAAATACAGCTGAGGATCTGCTCATACGTCTCTAAACACTCATTTCTAGTCTGACTGTAAACAACAGAAATTAACAGAAAATAAATTCTTGGTGGGAAACTTTTTATGGCTGGAAAAAAAAATGAAAAGGAGCAGTGTTCTAAATCTTTATAAATGTCCATAACAAGCACCAGTCAATCCCAGTCTGTAATGGAGATGTGTGATCATGGGTTGATCACTATGACTATGATTAGTCCCACCAGTAACGTTGACAACATTGTCTGATACAGGCTGAAAAGGACAATACTAAAAAATGTCTTTGTGGCATTTAGATGTGAGAGAGATAAAATAATCCTTTATTCGTCTGACAAAAACAAATTCCAAATTTACAGCAGTGATAAATAAAAAATGGAAATTAAAAAATGAAACTTAGGAGTTAAAAGATGTAAAAGAAGATATATACATGAGTGTTATTTACTTTATTTTAAAATAACAATTTGGGGGGTTGAGTGGGTTTTTTCTCCACTTCAGTGTTTCATGGCTAACAGATAGCACCAACTCAAGTCACCACAAATTTTCTCCCCCAAAGTTTGACCTAATCCAAAACTCCACACTCTCAGATTTACGACTGCAATCCAGCGAGATGTGCAGACGTTCCTGTGAGGCTTACACAGAGTTCCTTGTGAAATTGTTCAAATAAGGAATGGTTTTATCCAGCCTCCTTGAAGTGCACTGTAATCATATCTAATCTGTCATTTTTGGGGGTAATTTTGAAGTTGGTGTTTTTTCCTCTGATCAGACAATCTATTCTTTTTTGAGGGGAGCATAAAATCATCACCTGGTCTTTTTACTGTGACCTTGATCCTCACAACCTTCTCAGGGGTCAGTGTTTGGTTCATAGTGGAGAGACAGGGCTGTTCTGCTGTGTACCACTGATGCTGGTTTCTGTGATTGGATTATGATCAAATTAGGTTTGTTCATTGAGTTTACAAAGTTTTTGGCATTTATTATATAACCCTGATTTTCTTGTGTGCAGGCTCTTACACCGTCTCAACCATCCAGTTTGGACTAAAGATTGACTTAATAAACTCTACCCATGGTAACTACTCTGTAAACATCACTGATGAGTCCGGACTTCAGACTGAAAAGACCTTTCGTCACTCCAACAAAAACTCATCACATGACATCAAACACCTGAAGCCCTGCACTGAGTACCAGCATGCTGTGGCACTGATTCATGATGATGGCAGTGAAACCTTCTGTATCCACTCTAGAACTGAAACTGCTGAACGAACTACTGGAACCAGTGAGTCTAAATAACAACTGTTGTCTAAATGTTTCTTACTTTCTTTGTTATTGGAGGACTGAGTAAAGATGTCTGTGCATCACTTCTTTGTTTCAGAGAGCGGCGACGTTGAAAAAGGAAGCTGCATCCCAGGATATGTTTGTTACAGGAGCGATTGGGACATCAGCTCTTTGTTGTCAGTGTCACATCAAGTTAAGGAGTGCCAAAATGACTCTACTCAGTTCTGTTTCAAACCTGCTGTCAAAGATATTTGCACAAGTGTGACCATAGACTTCACTTCAGAAAACTGCGTGGACCCTCCCTTAAACCTCACCCAAGAGGTCCCTTTTGGTATGTACGGTTCAGCTGTCCAATATATTCAACAATGATGCATAAATCTTACTGTGCCATATTAAATATTGTTTGATTTTCTGTTACAGATTCTTTGGATGGTAATGACATAAAACTAAAACGCCACAACTGAACTTCCTGCAACAATAGAAACAGAATTACCTCCAAACTGTGAGGATCTCACCGTGGATTACATCTGTCAGGGTGAGTGATAAGAAAAAGGGGAGAAACTCTGTCTCAACAGCAGTATGATTTAATTTAAGTCTATAGATGAGAAAAAGGATCTGTGAGTCCCACTAAGACCCTCATTCATCCAGCAGTGAAGCTAACAGACATGTCGACTTTAGAAATGTTGGTAAAAGTACAAAAGTCACTTCACTTGAAGCAGAAGTCACATGACTTTAATCTGAAGGTTATAAGAGGTGGTGAAGGTATCGTTTTAATCTCGGTGATGATTTTTTAATCATGTTTTAAATTCAGAGATAAACACTCTCAGTCACACACACAAACATCAGTTGATGAAGAAATGTTTTTTCTTTTTTAGCCACAGAAAAAGGCAAATCCAACGAGCCAAAGAGTCCGCCTGAGCTGGAGCCCTTCACAGATTACAGCTGCACGGGTCAGATCAAAAAAGGCAACACCACCAAAAACACATCTCCCATCACGTTCAGAGTCGACTGTGGTATGTTGACCTTCACTCTACTTCAGTGTAATAACAACAATCCTCTTGTATTTAGAGAGAAGTCAGGATACAGAGACTACAGCAGGTAATGAGTTCAGTCTCAGAAATCTGATGTGTTCTTACAGATCTTCATCTAACAGTCAAAGTCACAGAGGTGACCAACACTTCCATTCAGCTGAGCTGGACCACAGACAGTCAGAGATGTAAAGATGTTCTCCAGTATCCAAAGCTCGGCTTTGACTGCAGTTGTGTCTCTGGATATCACAGTAAGTAAAGATGCTTTTAAGTGTCTCAGAAATTCACTTGTACATTTTCACACTAAATTCATTTTTGTGAAAATTTGACCACTCTGGTTTCTGGTCCGTTTACCTGAAGAGTGAAATAAAGTTTGGACATTTAAAGTTTCTCACCGCTGTTGTCACTAGAGACATTTTGATTTAGACATCCTCTCTGCTGAAAAAAGTAAACATTTGGAAAAATATATTTGCAGCTGAAAACTGGTGCACAATTATTTCACACGAACACATGCATCAGAATAAGTGCAGGGCCAGAGCTGCTAAACTATCAGTGACTGATTTGTCTCTATATGTCAGCCCTGCTTTTTTTAGTCAAACAAAAAAAGTTCAATCAGGCGAGAAAAGTTAATGAATCACAGATTGGGGTTAATTTTACAGAGTTGATGTGATATTGAATTATTTTCAGGGTCTCTTTAACCTTTGAGCTGATCATAGAGATGGGGTGACTGAAGGTGTCTGCCCTGAGCTTTAGTGACGTCTGTCTCTGTGGAGTTGGAGGTGATGGTTGATGTTGTCACCTGATACTGATGAGATGATGAAGCCGATCAAACTGTAAAGACTGAGAGAGATGGGAAGAGGATGACTGTACATAATGATAGGATGAATTTACTGGAGGAAGAAAAAGACGTATTTAGAAAAGAGCAGCAGTTGATGAGGGTCATCAGATAGATGTGACCAGAACAGCTGAAGACCACAGGTGATATCAGAGAGTTTGTAAAGAAGTGAACACAACATAAAACAGAAGAAAATAGTTTTCCTGACTGAACTTTTGCTAAAGCTTTATTCAATAAAACTGTGTTGCAGACGCGGCTAAGAAATATCCTGGAAGAACATCATGTAACGTCAGTGACCTGAGACCGTACACAGACTATAAATGTCAAATTCAACCCACCTATGATGGCAGGAATGTTCGTCAACCAACCTCTGTTGGAAAAGAAAGGACTAAAGCTGGCAGTAAGTGTCTAAAAACCTTCTCTTCTAGTGACAGTAACAGTCAACATGGATAAAAACAAAAACAGACTGTTCAGTGTAAGACAGTGTAAAGAAGTTTGAGAAGTTACAATAACTCTGCATCTGATGACGTGAATGTCTGTTTGAAAGTCAGTATCTGTGTAAGAGAACAAACTTTATTACCGACTCTTTACGGTCAGTTATTTAATGAATGAAACATGATTGCTGGTGATGCTTTTTTAAGTGAAGCTCTAATGATCTGTGAAGTAGAGGTCATTTTCAGAATAAAAAGATATTATGATTATAATCTTCTGACTCGACTGTGGGGTCATGATCCGAGTTATTCTCTGAAACTGTGTGACACTGAGATGTAAATGAAGTTTTTTTTCTTTTCTTTGCAGAACCAGAAGATATCAGTTCCATGGTGGTGACTGTTCCAGAGAATAATGTGATAAATGTATCCTGTGAGCATAGTGAAAAATTCAATGGACCTAAAAAGATATTCAAAGCAAGTCTTAAAAATGGTGACACTGTGATAACACAAGAAAACAGAAAGTGCAAGTTTGAGTTCAGAGACCTGAGCTACTCCACAACATACCGTCTGCAGGTTTGTTTAATCCTGATTATTTTTTTTTACAAGACTATCTTTTAATCTAACTTCTCTTATTTCTTAAATTGTATAATTCCTGATCAAGAGTTTCTGTTTTTCCAGGTGTTTCCTTTCAACGGGGAACTTGCTGGCAACTCAAAGAACAAAGATGTGGACACTCTCTGTATGAGCTCTTTACATTTTATACAAGTGTAATCTTATCTACATTTTAATCTCAAACATAAACCGTTAAAACAAAAATCCTGTCACTTCACAGATAATGACAAAGCTCTCATTGGGTTCCTGGTTTTCCTCATCATCCTCACATCTGTGGCCCTGCTGTTGGTCATCTATAAGATATTCATCCTGAAGCGCAGACAGTCCCAGTAAGAATCCTTCAGTCTAATCTTCTCTTACATCAACTTGTTCCCAGTTTTAGAGTCCGTCCAAGTGTCGTCATTATCGGTGAATGAATGTCTTTGTCTTTCACAGCGACATGAGTGAACACATTAAGCTTATTCCATCGAGTAAGTAGACTTAAAATTAATTTTATTGTTTCTTAGATGGTACATGAAAAGAAATAATTCATTATGAAGTAAAAGCTTTGTCAATAGTTTCTTTCTGCTCTGATATCGTTTTGTTTCTGTATCATGTTTCCTATTCGGTTTATAGATGAAGAGAACCTGCTGACCGTTGAGCCCATTCCTGCCGACTCCCTGCTGGAGGCCTACAAGACGAAGCTGGCAGACGAGGGGAGACTTTTCCTAGCCGAGTTTCAGGTTTGACATTTGTGTTTCAAGTTGTTATTAACATTTTTATATTGTTCTTATCCTTGAATCAAAAAGTCTGGGTGAACTCTTCGTCCTCCTGTACTTCGGTCTCTGACATGACTTGTTTCTACCTCCAGAGCATCCCCAGAATCTTCTCAAGGTACTCTGTGAAGGAGGCCAAAAAGCCCTGCAATTCTCCCAAGAACCGCTATGTGGATATCCTGCCATGTGAGTTGGAGTCTGGCCTAACATTTTCATGGAGAACAGACGTCACATCTATCTCTAAGTTTCTAGCATCTGTGCACAAGAAAGATGTTTTCACTGGTCTTCACTTTACATGGCTCCAAAGAATATTATACGCAGCAACTTTTTAAAAATGTCCTCCTCTCTCAAAGACGCTTTTTGCGTCATAGCAACAATAACCGTCCCCTATAGTAAATAGCTACACGCTCTAAACCTTATTTCTGAAAAAAACAGAGGATTTGAACTCTTAGCTTTTTAAATTTTTTAAACTCAATTATTTAATAAAATTAAATAAATCAATGAATTAAACTGACTGACTCTGATTATAACTTCCCCATGGTCAGTCATCATTGAAACGACAGTAAGAGTGTTAGGCACTAGATTTTGTTACAGTTAATGTTTTTTTATTTTACATTGAACAACTCTAAGTCGTCTTTTTTAGTGTCAGCAGATGTAGAAAGCTGTTAGTGTGTGTATTTGGATATAATATTATAACACAGAAGGATGGAGTATTCTGTAATAGGAAGAAAATTAAGCCATTTTCTGATTTAATTTATATGTTTTTTTTTCTTTACCATTGATTTTCTTTTTGGGCAGCACAGTAGTGTAGTGGTTAGCACTGTCGCCTCACGGCAAGAAGGTCCTGGGCTCAGGGTGTTTCTGTGTGGAGTTTGCATGTTCTCCCTGTGTCTGCGTGGTTTTACTCCAGGTACTCGGGTTTCCTCCCACATCCCAAAAACATGCAGAAGTGGGGTTAACTTAATTGGCCACTTTCAAATTGCCCATAGGTGTGAATGTGAGCGTGGATGGTTGTTTGTCTCTATATGTCAGCCCTGCAATGAAATGGCGACTTGTCCAGGGTGTCCCCTGCCTTCGCCCAAGGATGCTGGGATAGGCTCCAGCCCCCCTGCAACCCCGAGAACGGGAATAAGCAGTAGAAAACGGATGGATGGATGTTTTTCTTTTTTCATTGAGCAAACATTGGCATTGACATATTTACATATTGAACTTTACCTCTCCATCTTCCTTCTTCTCTTTTTTAACCTCTTTAGTTCATATGACAAAAAATAGTTTCACACTACAGTCAAACTACAAAGTAATTGTCCTGGCGTTAAAAGTGATAATGGCAGCAAGAGCATAACATGGAGTGTTGCTTACCTACACAATCTATACTCTCTATCTCTTTTTTAGTACAACAAACTGCATCAGGAAGAACAGATGTTTGCATCCTTTGTAATGTCTATCCTTTCCTGAGTTTTAGATCTGGTATAACTATGATATTGTATACGTCATCTTTTTGTAGCCGGTGTTTTAAGCTTGTTAGTGTCTCCTCTGTGATTTTTTTTGATAACAGTTTTCTTTTTCTGTAGATGACTACAACCGTGTGCAGCTGACCACCGGGAACGGAGAGGCAGGATGTGACTACATCAACGCCAGCTTCATCGATGTAGGAAAAATATACGTACCTATAACACCAAAAGGCTTTTTCCTTTACTGTTTCATTTATACAAACTATCAAGCTTTAACTAACCATCAAAAAGTTAATTGTAAAAGCAGGTTTAGACCCGTGACAGGGCCAAATTAGGGACTTAACAGAGTCGAAGTGAATTTAACGACATATTGATCATGATTTATTCTCCTGCTACAGGGATACAAGGAATCCAAGAAGTACATTGCAGCTCAAGGTAAAGACAAACATTTCTATCTTTACTTATTCGGCTCCAAAAATGTGCATTACTATACTGTATGTCTTAAAATAATGATGATGATGGTTGTGGGTCAAAGGGCCAAAGGAGGAGACCGTGTGTGACTTCTGGAGGATGATCTGGGAGCAGCAGTCCTCTATCATCGTCATGGTGACACGCTGTGAAGAGGGAAACAGGGTAAGTGTAAGAGTTTGGACTCTTCTCTAACTTGATAAAACATTGTTTTTAGTTTTAAAGTTACAGGTTAAACTCTGTCTTCGACTGACAGAATAAAACAGCTCATTGTCACTTGACTAAATGCAGTCTTTTCTTAAACATCATCACAGCTACACTCTCACATACACTTCAGAAATAAAACAAATTTACACCAACACTGCCTGTAAAAAAACTCTGCAGTCCGTCTCGTCTGGTTTCATCTGCTGCTTTCTATTTTAAAACCACCGTCTGCTTATGTGACCTTTGGGGTAAAAGGCTCAGTCTAACACTCTCACTGATGCGTTCATGATTTGTGTAAGCAGACTTTCATAACTTTCTCTCTCCCCTAATGTGTCGTAGGTGAAGTGTGCGCAGTACTGGCCCTCTCCAGAACGTGATACGGAGATCTTTGAAGAGTTTATAGTGAAGCTGAACTCTGAGGAAAACTGCCCTGATTACACCATCCGTCATCTCAGCCTCACAAATGTGAGTGCGGCGGGTTATGAAATGATGCAGCTGTATGGTACAATTTTGCATGTTTTGATTGACAGGATGCAAATCTGCATTTCTGTGTGATTGCAGAAGAGGGAGAAAAACTCAGAGAGGGAGGTGACTCACATCCAGTTCATAAGTTGGCCTGACCACGGCGTCCCCGGGGAGCCACATCTCCTCCTGAAGCTGAGGCGGCGTGTTAATGCTTTTAAGAACTTCTTCAGCGGCCCCATCGTTGTTCACTGCAGGTCAGGACACCGCCCTGTACTACATTAACCTAACATTAATTTATGCTTGTACTGCAAAAATCAGAAACATTGAATCTGCTAAAAGTAAGAGAAGTTGCGTCTGTACCTAATTGACATGCACAATAATGTGAATTAACATTAACAATGTCGATGTCGTTGTTACCTTATGTGTAGTGCGGGAGTTGGCAGGACGGGCACTTACATTGGCATCGATGCGATGATGGAGGGTCTGGAGGCGGAGGGCAGAGTGGACATCTATGGTTATGTCATCCAGCTCCGCAGACAGAGGTGTCTCATGGTTCAAGTGGAGGTAAACTTATTTAGATCACAGTTTTTAAGAAAAAAGAAAAGAAAACGAAAGTCTGGTGCGCAGCTTCTCTTTGACCCATATCTGTGGGCTGCATAGAAATCAGAGATGTAAGAGAGCGCTGTGTATGAATATTATTATATCTACATACATTTGAACAATAGGGTATGTTTAAGGCGTCAGTTAAAGTTGAAGTTTGTCCCTCCACAGGCCCAGTACATCTTGATTCACCAGGCACTGCTGGAGCACAACCAGTTTGGAGAGACTGAGACCACTCTGGCAGAGTTGCACAGCACAGTGAGCACGCTCAAACACAAAAACGCAGACAACGAACCCACCTTGATGGAGGAGGAGTTTGAGGTACAAGACTCTGTTATTCTTTATTTCTTAAAAAAGGATTTGATCATCTCAATTTTCTCAGAAATTGTTGTATTATTTAACTTTGCTTTTTCACTCCTTGTTACAATATATGGATATAAATGAAACTGATATGGCCCACTTGATGATTAAAAGAAAAAGTGCTTGTTTTAATTCAGAGACTCCCAACCTTTAAAAACTGGAGGACATTTAACTCTGGGGTCACAGAGGAAAACAAGAAGAAGAATCGGTCCTCGTCTGTCATCCCATGTGAGTGTCACCTGAACACTGAGTTTACATCAAACATCGTCTGACATACAACAGTTCAAGTGCACCTGTGTGTGTTAACTGTGCACCTGCATTCATGTAACAGAATCAAAAAGTTCTGCTGTTCTTGTTTTTGTGTCTCATCAGACGACTATAATCGAGTGTTGCTGAAGCTTGATGAAGGGCGCAGCCATGACAGTGACCCTGATGAGGACGAAGAAGAAGAGTCATCAGATGAGGAGGATGAGGAGTCCAGTAAATACATCAACGCCTCACATATTGAGGTTTGTTTTAACTTTAAGCTCATCCTGACACTAACAAGGTTGGCTTCATTTTTTATTACATTTGCTGTGTCTTTAATTCTGTTTGGACTTTTGCACATCAATCAACATTTCTTCTCCGCTCAGGGTTACTGGGGCCCACGCTACTTCATCGCCGCACAGACTCCACTGCCAGACACCATGGCTGACTTCTGGTGCATGATCTACCAGAAGAAAGTATCTACAATCGTCATGCTGTCAGACAGCAGTGAGGCAGAGAAGGTGGTGAAATATGATGTTTTACGATGTTGTCTGGTAGACCTCACACACCTGCTCATGGTACTGACACGTAGAAATATGTGCGACCTCTTCTTCTCAGGAGTCTGATTGTGTCTACTGGGATAAAGAAAAGAAAACATTCGGTGACTTTGAGGTGGAGGTAGCGAGCACAGACATCACCCCGACCTTTACCACGCGCAACATGCTGCTCCGCCACGTGAAGGTAACACAACGGCAGCAAAGTCTGCTCGACCTGCCGCTCAAGATTTATCCATACCAGCCTGTTATGAGCCTGTTTTAACCTCACTTTGCTCCTGCCGACAGAGGAAAGAGTCCCAGCCAGTGAAACACTTCCAGTTCCTGAAATGGGGGAGCGAAGAGCTGCCAGAGAAAGCTCAGAATCTGACAGACATGATAAAAGACATCAAGCACAGCCGTGGAAGTGGAAAACCACAGGGGAGCAGTCCCATTGTGGTCCACTGCAAGTAAGACAACCTCTCTGAAAATGACTTTCTTCAATCTTAGCTCTTTAATGCCTGACACCACAAACTATGGCCAGAAAATTCACATTTTTTTGGAGCTAAAAACCAAAAAAATCAAACTGTCCTTAAAATTTAACAAATATATTTATTTATCTCGTTTGATACATTAGATGTTTTTGGAAACTAATAAACTACAAGAGGACATTTTTATCATTTATCGGACTGTATTCAGGTGTTTTTTCTGTAGTTTGTTGATTTGATAGAAGTATATAAATGCATGTATCAAATATGACACAAAAGGCATCACAGGGTTAGAGGAGTGATGAACATCAATATAACTGAAACAATCAAGGTTATTTATCACATTTTGCTCAGAATCAATCAGACTTAAAGTATTCAGGGCTTCATTTTAGGCCTATCAAATAACCTATAACTGTGCACATGAAGCAGGGACGATTGTTTTCTTTGCTATCAGTTACAACGATGTCAATTATGTTGGTCTTTAACTTAAACTACGAGTGTTTATTTGGTAACACATACAATTAAAAAACTAATATGTGTCTAATAGAGCATCCCGTAGGTATGATCAGCTCTCCAAAGAGCCTTTTAAGGAGTGGAAAAGTTTTCACTTATGCATGTAGTAAAATACATTTATTTAAGGATCTTAAAATAAAGAGTAAGTGGGAGATTTCAGACAAAAATAAAACAGAGATAGCTAACTAAGGTGGAAAAGACAGGACAGAGTATGCAAAGAGAATGAGTTGTTGGTGGCTGCCGTAAAAAAAAAAAACAAGCTGTAGGACATTTTTGGATCGTCTTCAGACAGTGGTTAGAATAATTAGCTCAGGCTGTTTCATATTTGAATAAACTAATGCATTTAAGACACTCTCATGATAGTTATATATGGTCGTTTTGATGTGAGAAATGTTTATATTTCAGGTATTAATATCTCCATGGTCAGTGATTGTTTCAATTGTTAATAAAATGTATTCACTGATCAATAAAATTGCCTGAGGGAAATAAGAAAGCCTCCCCGACAGATACTACAGGGAGGGTCTTTTTACACAAAATATACCTTTAAACATGTGTAAATTAATTTTATTAGTGTGTGATTGTTAAGATATCAGTACCAACAAACAAAGTAAAATATATTCAGTGCAAATGAAAAGTGTTTAGGATTTTAAACCAGTTGAATGGGAAACACTTTAAAAGTAGGGTCAAAGAAGTTCATCCTTGAGCTAAGATACAGTTAACCACAGCTAAGAAAAATATCAGGGGGAAATGTGTAACTCTAACCTTTGTGTGTGTGTCTGTGTGTGTGTGTGTGTCTCATCAGTGATGGCTCGCACCGCACTGGGGTTTTCTGCGCTCTGTGGAACGTGCTGGACAGCGCTGAGACGGAGAAGTTGGTGGATGTTTTTCAGGTGGTCAAAACTCTGCGCAAGGAGAGACAGGGCATGCTCCCCAGTCTGGTAAGAAAGAGGAAGTGGCAGCACACAGTTACACAACCTCATCTTCTTACAGCGCCATAAAGGTCTGCTGAGGTTAAGAAAAAGTTTGAAATAGTTTTTTTCTGAGCGTGATCTTCCCACCAGCACTTCTCCCGAGCCTTGTCTGGCTTCCTTTGATTGCAGTAAGAATAATCTCCTCCTTTTTGATTCGGCTGCAGCCTTTCACAGAGAATCAAAGGTTGAGGCTTATGACAAATATAGATATATATGAGAAAGCTAAAAATATCAGTGGGTTAGTTCCTCCTCTGGGACTTACTGACTCAGTAGCCCTCAGTCCAGACCACCACTGAAACTTTTGAAAAGAGGTTATTTTTACTGTCATTTCAAACCCACAGGACACCTAAAACATTTGCTGCTCTACTGAGAATGAAATGGGAACTGAAAAGAATATTTCAGCCTCACTTGATGCTTGTTTTGCATTCACAACATCCTGTTACAAAGAAATTGATTTTGTTCAAGAGCGGGATTTCTTTTAACCATTTTTGGATAAAATTGAAAGTTTATTTTACACAGAAATGCTCTATAACAGACAGCGTATGTCAGGTGTCAGCAACACGTGTCAAGAGTGTTAGTGGTTTTTGTTTCGTTATTTGAACAGGCTTTACTTCAGCTGCCACCAGATATATAAATTAAAGATAATATCTGTAGCTTTTATTTTAAGTGGTTTTAGTATAGACTCTTACAAAGGCAGTACAGTGTTACACTTTTCTTAATGTTTCCTCTCAAATCCACCTTTGTCTCGAACAGGAGCTGTACCAGTTCTTGTATGACGCACTGGAAGGAGTCTACCCCGTTCAGAATGGAGAAGTGAAAGCAGCTCAGTCCTCTGCAGCTGACTCTGTCCAGATTGTAAATGAAACCAAAGCAGCAGGAGCAGCAGCAGCAGAGCAGCCAGCTGAGAAGACTGAGCAGCCAGCCAGCACTACCAGCAACAGCCAGCAGGGGGCAGCGGCGAGCGCCTCTCCTGTGTCTGATGGAGGGAAGGGAGACCAAAAAGAGGAGGCTGGAAAGGCTCCCACAGAGACATCATCACCGGAGGACCTGAGTAACGGTCCTACAGTCACTGTGGAGGTCTGAGAGGGAGGCGGTTTTATTTCTGAACCTTCTACTTTGGATAAAAATGCTTTAGCTAAATGCTTTTTCGTATTTACTTCATGAATGTAAAAACATTGTAAAGATGTTTCAGTGTGGTTCGGGTTTAGATTTGATATAGAATTTGATGATATGTTAGGATTTCAATTTCCAAAAGCTAAGTTATAAGAATATCTTTAATGCTGAAAATAATGTCTGCAAGTTTAGTTTACCATGAACGCTGTTGTCAAACTACTGCCTTTTCCTGTATTGTGAGATATGAAATTGTGAGACTTGAAGGTAGATAAATAATGTGGGTTTTTTCTTGCTGAATAAACAGATGCTATGGTACACATTTATATATAACAGGTAATAAAGTTATTTCCTCTCATTCTTATGGAAACACTTTGCTGTTTGATTAAAAAGATTTTCAATAAAGTCTTTTTAATGTCATCATTTGGAAGGTTTGTCATTGTTTATGGACTAGTTTTATTTGTTCGACACCCATAAAACATATTTTTATTTGGCTTCTAGATTGGGGCCAAAGTTAAAACTGGATTTAGTATCTCAGAGGGCTCCTCTCTGGTTTGTAATGTGTATGCCTTCACTGAGAAACCGCAACAATCAAGACATTTTGTGTGATATGAAAAACAGAGGATGAAAACTGAAAAAGCTCATTTACTCAGAGACGTTGATCATTATTAAATCATCAGTTTGTTCGTAACTGTACAAAGGCAAAAAGTCACAAATTTAAGACACATAAAATTCAGGACGGTGTAACAAATATAGATTGATTATCACTAATTTGAAGATGAGGAGCTCTTTGGGGCTCAAGTCTGATTACAAACATGTCACATTTTCCTGATCAGGTCAGCTTTACTGATCAGTGATTCATGGCTGCTGCTGCAGCTTCTGTTCAGACTATAAATATCCAACACAAATAGAAATATAAAAATGTAACGCATGTACAAATTCAACATACAAGTTCTGGATTCACGCCCTATGCACACAGAATATCTAATATCATACAGTTTAAAGTTTGCTTAAGGTTTGAGATTTTTACATCATCAATCAGTGCATCCCTGAAAACATACACACGACATTTTAGCTGTAGAAAAAAAAACAGCTGTTTAGATTCAATGGCTTTCTATCTTTCTAACTGGCTGTTTGGCCTGTGGAGATGAAGCACAGAAGTTAGTGATAAACTTGAAAAGACTTTAAGTGGATACAGAGTGTTAAAGTAGAAAACTGTTGGCATTTGAGGACAAAAATAAACACTATGACATTAAACAGAATACATTCAGTTTACATGCTAATGAGGCTGGATATGAAATACAGAAGAATGCATAGTTCTGGTGGGTGATAAACTTCATTATCCTTTTATGAAAGTCTCTTTGCTCAGACAGACCTTTACCTTAACATCAAAAATCTTAACAACTCTGTATTTTGTTTTCAATCATATCGTAAGAGCAGCTACTTGTTTTGCTTTTATGCAAGAAATAAAGCAACAACCAAAACTTGTGCATTCAAATAATGCAAGATGGTTATGATACAGCACTGCAGTGAGTTTGGATCATTTGCCATCATAGTGGGGACTTCAGTGTTTGAAGATGCTCTGGTATCATACAGCACATACAGCATCTACATTATGAAAACTCACTTTTACAGACTTGCTTTTATGTGATGCCGTCTTTTCTCTTTTTTCTTTTCTCTTTTACCTTTATCTTATTTCGACTGACCATCTTTTTAGCCTTTTTATACTCATAATTATTTCTTATTTATCCTTTTAGGCCTTTTATTGATTTTATTGTTTTCTCCTGCTCGTTTTTGTTATTCTATTTTATCATTACTATAACAATCATTATTATTATTTATGATTTTATTATCTTTATTAATAACAACTTTTTATATTACCTATCCTGTTTCCTGCTTTCAACCCCTCTTTTTTATTACATAATTTTTTTCTTTCATATTTTATGTTTTTATTTTGGTCCTCATGATCTCATTTCATGTCGTAGGGTTCTTGTATTATCTGGGTTCCTTATGACAAATGAAATTGGCCTTCAGTTCGGAGGCCTTGTTTTAACTGAGCTTTTATTTTTTATTTGTTTTTATTTCCATGTGCTGATGCTCTGTGCTTTATGACTGTTTGTCAAAGCACTTTGAAAACTTCTGTTTTTAAAAGTGCTATAAAATTAAAGTTATTATTATTATTATTACAAAAATGAGTATTGCTATCTTTAAACTGCACTGAAAACAGAGTAGTGTGGATCACCTTTTGTGCCAGTTTAAGAATAAACTATTGCAACTCAAAAAATTGATGATAAGGAGAGGGTTTTTTTTCTGTAATATCTAATAATTGGCGAGGGAATTAAAAAATGAATCTTCTAATAATTTGAAATGTTTTATTTTTTGAGCTGTGGGCCATAATTATCTAATTAAAATAGAAAAAATGCTTAAAACTTTTCAGTTTAGATGTAGAGTCTAGACTACGTTATGTTTTCACTTTCTTAAATGACTGATAGAAAATCTTGAATGTTTTGCCAGCATTAGGATGCTGCGGTGGTTCATGGGTGAGTCTACTCAGCTTTTACAGGAAGCAGGTCACACTTAAGCAGGTCACACTTGAGTTGAGACACATTCCCCTGAATTCGGAAGCAGCACATTTACTTTCACTTCTGTCCTTTTAAGGACGTAATACTTACAGTCAAAGGTGGGCCTACTTCTTTTTTTACGGTTAAAAGACAAAAAATGCAAAAACAATGTCCTGTTTCACTTCTTGGAAGCCTCAGACATAACCACTGCATCACATAAAACACAAAAAATGTAAATTTCTCACTATGTGCGATGGAGAAACTTTGCTACAAACATTACCCTTCAACCATTTCCCAGCTGTCCCTCTGTGCCACAGTTACAATCCTCACTTTGGCTAAAACATGAAGCTAACTCTGCTTGTTTTAAAATGGTTCAGACTCTGGTATTTCTGCTGATATAACAGGAGCCTTGTTTGATTTTCACCTTCAAGTTAAAGATGAAAAAATCCAACCAGGCAATCTAGTGTCATCATTTCTCAGGAAGGTTTCAGTGTGGTTGATTTGTCCAACACAGTCAGATGCATCACTTGCAAAAGGTTCGTGTTTGTTTTGCGATGATGGTTGCATGTAAGTTTCTCAGATCTTGTTCCACCTTGCATCACTGACAGCCTCCACTTGAAGGCACAGCTATGTCTTTCAGCCTGTACAGGAACAGGGAGCTGTGTACTGAAGACTGGACCTCCAGCACCAAAGAACTGAGCCCTTCTTCCTCGATCTTTCAGCACAGCAGCTGACCAAACTCAAGTCAAACTTGACAACTTTCACTTTGGCCTCTGTTAGCTGAAATATTTCAGATAGACTTGCCAGAACCAGCGCGGATGATAAGGACCCTCAGAGCGGGGGGCCCGTTCTGTTGGAGTGTATCAACCCCTGGAAGCTTCAGCTGTAATCGTCTCTCATTTCTCGCTCTAGCTGCCTGATTTTTCCTCTTTGATGCAGTTCGGTGAAGCTTGCCGAGCAGTGGCAGGTCGGACCTTGGCAGGGTCAGTTGTAGCCTTCGCGCTGTCTTGTTGGGTTTTGGCGGTCTCTGGACGTGCTTTGGTCTCTTTCTTTGGCGGAGGTAAGGTGGCCGGCTCCCAGAGGAAGAACTCATGGAGGAGTGTGTTGACTGCATCTGGACACTCCATCATGATCATGTGACTCCCGTCTTCCAGTACCTTCAGGAAGGCCATGAGGAGGATCTGGGATGAAGTCGAACACAGAAATGAGTTTGTAACACAAAAACACTTATTATTATTCATCAAAACAGGAGTTTAAATAACAACCCACATCTTTAGGTCTTTTCAAATTTCAAGTATAAGACCCTGATTTCTTTAAAAGGGCATCAACAAACATGCTGAAAGGAGTAATTTGTTTTGATGTTGTTTTTTTCTGTGAATAACTCTTGAAAACAAAAGACTAGACAACTGTCAGTGGATGCAACAATTTTCTTGTACTTAACAGCATTTAATCACCAATAAAGTGCTTTTTATGACCACTTGGTGGCAGTAGAAATGACTTAGATACAGGACTGTGACGTACCACTTCAATGTTCTCTAGCCAATAAACTTTGATGAACATCAGCACGTATTTGCAACTCTTCTTTTACCTATCTGTAACTTAATCACTCTCTTATTTGCTCAGTTATTGTCTCCACCAACCCTTCAGGGTGATATCTGATCCTTTAGCAGCTAAATGCTCCTCTAGGTTAGAATTAAAGATGCATGTTTGTCTGTCTGCAGTGAGATGGTTAACTCTGAGCTTAAAGCGGCTTTTTTTGCTGAAAACAGTTCCCTGCATCTGGACACAAAATTGATAAGAAACGTGAAACTGATTTACTTCAAAGTACACAAACTAATTTAACAAATGCTGAAAATTTCTGTAAAGCTGAGAGACATTTTTTTATGCTTGTACTGTTGAAAAACAAAACCCTGAGATTTCAGAAATAAGGGTCCAAGTACTTAAATATTGTGTTTGTCTTGTTGGTGTTGTTAGATTTGTTTTAAAATATTCTGTGTTTATCATATCTACTTTTATTCAGTACAAATTTAAAAGGAAAAATTCTCATAATCTTAAAAATGTATTCATTATTAAATAGGGTTTCAATAGTCTCATGTGCTTTTTCCATTCGTTTGTAAAGTGAAGGAAAATAATTCTGTCAGTCTGTTGATTTACTGGCGTCAGCTAGCGTCATTAAAGGCTCGCTCACCTCTGCCATGCGCTGGTCCTCCTCAATCGGGACAAACTTGTCGTGCATGCCGTGAATCAGCAGGATGGGCACTGTGAGTTCAGCATGGTACACCTCGTCCCCTTCAGGCCAGTACTGCCCGCTCATCATGGCACGCAGCACAAAGGACGACACGTTAAAGGCATTGTTGTCTTTCAGCAGCTGCTTCTCCTTGGCACCCTGCCGAGCAAAGCCTGCCCTGTGGGGAGCAGAGGAGAGGGGATAGATCTAAGTTACGAATAAACTTAAAAAAAAAGGATTTAAATAATATGAATAAGAACATAGACACGGCAAATGTCTGTAAATGAGCACAGCTGTTTTGTTGTAAATTCAGATACTAGAATTAATTAAAAGAACGTCATCAGGAGCTGATTTAAAATATGAAGTCCAATAAAATCAAGTTAGACTTTACGTCACTTACATTGAAATAAAATGTATTCAGCAGTTATTTTTGAGTGACTTTATTCTAGCTGGGAAAAATGAAGTTTCTGTATCCGTTACTTTAGTGTTGCTGTGTGTCTTACTTAAGAAAGCTCCAGGCTAGCAAAGGGGAGAGGCAGTGAAGCACACAGGTTGGCAGGTTGAAGATGGAGCAGAGGCTGGGCTCCAGAGCGGTGGGACCTCCTCCATTTATCATCACCATCTTGTGAATTTGCTCCGGATATTCATGGGCCAGGAAGGTACAGAACGACACACTAGGAGAGCGAAATAGACGGCTGGTTAGAGGACAGACCAGAGGAGGCGGGCCGACAAATGCTGGCTGTTTGGAAAGTGTGGTGGGAATTTGACAAGCTGTATGCTGATATTTTGGCACAGATAGCAAAGTATATCAAAGTATATATCATAGTCTACCTAAAATAAGTAAGAAGTTAGTGTAATAAGTATTATAGTTGAAAAACTGTTTCAGCCGAGCTTTACTTGAAGATGTTGGGACCTTCGACTTACCCGTATGAATGCCCTATGAGAATATTCCTTTTGCGAGCATATCTTTTAAAAATAAGTCTCATGTCCTCTGCCAGGGCGTAGAAAGTAAACGCAGCAGCTATCTGTGGTGCTGAGCTGGCTCCATGTCCTGCTAGATCTGGAGCGATCACCTCATAACCCAGACGAGAAAAGAAGTCCAACTGGCTCCCCCAGATGTCCAGTGAGCCTCCAACTCCATGAATGAAGAACAGAGCTACATCTGCATGAGTCCCTTTACAGGCCGTGATCTTTCTCTCACAGTCTATCACCACCGTGCGCTTTGGTTTCCGCCTGCGCCTCCTGGGTTGCTGTGATTGTTCAGTCTGTGCAGCAGCAGCAGCAGGTCCTACATCAGATGTCCCATCTTTTGCAGCTGAAGCAGACTCAGACGTGGGCTCAGGCCCGATGGGAGGAGGCGCTGTGTTAACAGAGTCTGTCAGTTCAACCTCCACAGTGCTGTTTGGTTCTGTGTCTCCATTCTGGTAGTTTTTCAGCTCTCCACTTGCCCGTTCACCCAAGTTCTCAATGAAAAGCTGTCCATTACGATATACTGTGATCTTTCGCTTGCAGCTGACACTCCCGCCTGTCCCAGTGGGTTCCTCCACCACCGGTCGGTCAGGGATGATGTGTCTAACCCTCAGGACACGGCCTGGTTTCACCTCCACAAACTCAAAGCCGTCAGCGGGTTCAGAGGTTTCTACAGGGACAACCACATTGGTCGACTTCGAGGTCAGGCAGCAGAGTAGACCCTCTATAAAGCTGGTCAGCATGGCTGCCAGTCTGTAGATAAAACATTTACAAAAACACACATGAGCACATATTTTCGAAAATACATGACACAAAGCCACAGATAATCAACAACATGTTGATTTTTAAGCTAATTTTTGAAATAATTTCTCTATGTGTTTATATTTGTTTTACATCTCTGTTTGTTACGTAGGGTTTTTCCACGCAGGATTAAAAAATCAAACAAAAAATATTGGAAAAACATTTCTCCGTGGAGAAAAAAGCTGATTCAAACTCTGCAGTGAAATCTATTCCTATCACATTTTTCTTCTCTGATGACTTTGTGTGGGGTTGAAAGCTTCTGTGAAAAATTTGTAACTAGCGATAAAACACATTTTAACTAATAATGTTTATACTACATGTGCTACGGAGGCAGACAAGAGTCAGCTAGCTAACTTTAGCAACCTGTAAAGCTGTAACAGGTGCAGTATTGGCCACAGGGGGCGCCAAAATCATGCCAAACTGGGAGTTTCTCACAGGAGCTTTAAATACACCAAAAAACAAAACGATCCAATTTTCTTATGAAGTAATTTCTCTGCATGTTAATTGTATGTATGTTTTAGCTTATATACACATTTATATTGTAGTTGGGGTTTTTTAATTACTCCAACCCACCAACCTCAAAATTATCAATACTGGAAAAGTCCCCAGGTTTCTTACTCAAAGTAAAAGTAACACTTCATTCTAATTACACAGTTAAATTAAAAATATTCAAACTTATAGGTAAAAATAACGCCTCTATATGACCCACAAAAACAAACTGGACCATCGAAGAGAACTTTCTCAATCACAATCTCAGATGTTTATAGCTGCTGCTGCTGTGGAGCTGGATTAAGACTGAGCCGCTTCCAGGAAGTACATCGAAAGAGTCTTTGTTTACATTTCCCCCAGCAATGTGTCACAGTCAGTAGTGAGTAAGACAGTCAAAGGGATGAAGAAGATTTCCCTTCATTGAATTTCCCTTCAGCGATCAATAAAGTCGTTCTTATCTCAATGAATTCTAATAATAATAATAACAATGAACTTTATCTATAGTGCACTTTATATTGGGCAAACAATCTCAAAGTGCAACAGACATAAAAAACTAGAAAGTCCGCACAGGGAATCTAGCTAAAAGCTTCTTCTACAAACAACTGTACACGACAAGAGTACTAAACTTACAAAACAACATCACTTTGTCTACAGGGGGCGCCATAATCAAGACAAAGTGACAGTTGCCTAGAAAAGAGGTCCATTTAATTATTATAATTTTAAAGTACGCTATGTTCTGAAAGTGCTCATTTTGCAGAGATCTAATCACAAATCCTGAAGTGGGTCAAAACGTCATCAACTTTGATCAGTTCACCAACTATCTGACCTATTCTGCATCAGCAGGATTTAAGTTATTCCCCTGAGATTAAAGTTATACCCTCAGACAACACAGTGGTTAAAACGAATTTGTGGATTTGTTATGTTTTTCATGCAAAATATAAACATCTAATATTGTGTAAAATATACAGAGCAGCTGATAGAAACTGCTTTATGAATAGTATGCACTCTTTAATGTTTGCATCCCACTTCTTATAATTAACATTTCATGTAATCCTGCACTGTATATTCTTCTCATGTCATGTAGACACCTTCTTAATCTGGTGAGTAACTACAACCCAAACCCTTGAGACTTTCTGTCAGAAGTAAGTGAGCAGCATCCTCCCTCAGCGCGGACTTTGGTGGTATTAATAGAAAGGGACAGTAATAGCTCCCTGCCTTAAAGCTGTCCGCCATGTGACCACACTCTGCACCAGCACACACGGCCACACACTGAGACTAACCAAAAAAAACTGTTACCAAAGTAATAAACTGTACTTTTTGAAGTAAAGCCAGGTGAATATGCTTCATAAATGATACTTAGGAATAAAGAGAGCTTCATTAAGCCTCAGTGTGTCCTGCACTCTATAAAGGACACAGGAAAAGTCTGACAAATGCTACACATCAGGGATAAATTCCCAAGAGTAATTAAGACTATGTGCAGACTATGTTCAAGTCTCATATGTACTACCTACACGGTTAACAGGATACTAAGCTGTCAGTTGATTAACGTCCATGGTAACAGCTAAGCAGCAGAGCAGGGTCTGCAAGTCTCTCTGCTGCTGGTATTATCCTGCCTTACTGTTGCTCTTCTCTCCGCTCCAAGGATTATGCTCTCCGTCTCTCTGTCTAAGTCCACACAACACAATCTGGCTCTCTCTTCTCCAGAGACAGTAAACAGGGACAGCCTTTCCCTGCGTGCGATATGTTTTATCCTATTTTTATCAGGGGATCGGGGACCCAATTGTATTACAGCATTCCTGCTTTACTGGCTGTTCTCGTGCTCTTTCTACTTAAACCTGCACAACCTTTATCTAAACAGTTGTGTTTTACAGAGCTGTGTGTGAACAAAGGGAAGATGCTGAGCAGGTCCTATAACCAACTGTAATATTAGCCCCACATCAGAGGGCACCCATCATTAAGGCACAGGGTACGACGTCTTTCGGCTCAGCTGATCTCTCAGCCTTTGTCTTATTATTGTCAAATATATCACTCTGCCACAGAAAATGTAGATAAGGGTAAATCACCTCACATGGCACCAACACAATATCTGCAACTGTCAACATTATAAAGTACCATGTCCAAATTATCAGTTGTACTCCTGGTTGTCGGATTGCCCTCTTTTAGCTCACATAGAAGCATCAGTATGAACTCCAGTCTGTTTCACAACCAGCTTAAAAGCCCTCACAGGAGCTTTAAATTATGCAAACTATCTAAATTACACAAGAAAATGAGTTTTTTTTCTTGCAGAAATCTCCATTAAAAAATACCCTAATGCTACATTTACAAATAACCTCTAAACGCATTATGACCCCCGACTGAGTTGCTTAATTAACTTTGAAATTAATGCTTACTTAAGAGACCAAGTCGACTAAAGGAGTGGTGCTTAAATTAAATACTGGTAAGCACACCTTATTCTTCTAAAAGTATTCCCCCTTGTGATTTTACTATAATCTTTATATACATAGTTAAATTGGTTGAGCACTGAAATGAAAAAGTGCAGTAGAATATTGATCACTTAGATTGCAATTTCAGTTCCTGGCAATAAAACAGACTGCATCAGGCTTCTTGATCTGGATCTGCTTAAATTGCAAAATATACTTTTTTCAGTTTTGAGAGTAAACACAATCCTAAAATATACCCACGGTGGAAGAGGTCAACATTGCAAAACTGGACTGTTTTTGGTACTTAGAGGAGATCACATCTTTGCAACGCCAAAAATATCTCACCTCTGAGCACCTGCTCTGCACTACTGCTGTTTTTTTATGGGCCACTGGAGCAGTCAAGTGAGAGTTGTGTTGCTTAAGATTAACTTATGGTTAACTAATGAGGAAAAGTAGAAGCTACTCTTCCATCTTCACTCCTAAATTATGACAGAAACTGCACCTCTTCTTGGAAAAATCCATCCAATTCCTCTTGTAGTCACTTCTGCTCAGTGGCTGCAGGACGCTGTTAAGTAATCACTCACGTAAATCAGACACAGTCATAGTGAGAACTGATGCCTAGAAAAGAGCTGAGACTGCTGTGAGGACTTATAAGAACAGTAGGTTCACTGTCCTGCACATGAACCCACTATTCACTAGCGCTGGCCTAATAGACTCAGGCTCTTCTAATTAATAGTCACTAAACAGTGAATCCGGATCACTCGCTTCTGTTGTGTACTACATTTTAACCCATATGGATCTCTATGCATCTCTGATTCATGGTTCCTTTAAGGATTTCTGTATAGAAACTGTTTTATATCACTCAGGATAACATGGCATAAAACGAAAAACTTACAACTCAGTCTAACGGCATTACCTAATTCTCTTCTGACTCTACTTTACTAAACAGTATTGAAGTTGTGCTGCCAGAGTAGGCTACCTATTTGCTATTATAGATATATATATATATATATAATGGTATGTGTTGAAAAGCACTGATTTACAGTCAAGTTCCCATTGTCAATACACTGTGTGTTGTTTGTTGTTTATAAGCCTGAGCATTTGTATGAATGAATCCTTCAGATTTTGGAGGTGGGGCTGTTCATTCAAAAACAAATGTATTTATTATTATTTTGCACTTCTGGAGTAATTTTTTTTTATTGGGTTTAGCTAGTGAGAAAAGGGGAACACATTTAAGACAAACAAAAATAATGATAATGTATCTGTAACTAAGCTTTGTGGCTAATGTTAAATAACACAGGCGTTTGTTGGTTGAAGATGGCCCCCGTTTATTTACTGTTGACAACAGGGAGAGTTGAAAAGGCCACAAGCTGCCGTCTGACATCTGAAATAAGGTTAATGCCAGTATATTTTTCATTTTTTTAACCCACATAGTTGTTTAATATTCACAATCTTTCTAACAGGTTGCATAATAACCCGTTTGTCTCGTTGTCGTCTAACATGCAGTGACCATTTCATGTCTGTGGACTATAGTTAGGCTAATCTACAGTTTGTATAATAGTGCAACATAAATAACAGAAAATAAAAAGATAGTGTCATAAAAAGAGCAAAAACTTACCTTTCTACTTTGGTAAACTCCGCCTAAAATGATTGGTTAGATGCGGTTTTCTTATGAGGCATCGCGGATGTAGGAGAGCTATAATCTGTGGCAGCCAATCCAATAATCTAATTTATCTGGATTCGGTTGTCCTGGAAGTTTCCTCCACATGGCGGCTGGTATCAGCAGACTGACAGCATACCTGTGGTCGGTTCACACACCTTTAGGTCCGAATTTTGGTGAGAGCCGTCCCCTTGTGTCACCATGTTCAGGTCTGGTGACAGTGTTGGGAGTTCAGTTGGATGTCAGAGATTTTCACCGCATGACCTGAACCACGTTGACCTGCAGGTTCGGCTCGTGGACGGGAAGAGCTGCCCCCTGCTGCTCCGTGACGCCAAACAACCAACCGGTGCATCGACCTCTGAAAGACAGGCACTCCCTCCGTATAGGCCTACTTTATATAAAACAAAATAAAAGAAAATCTGAAAAAGGTGTAAATTTGTGGGATTGAAGTGTTACTTGTTAAATTCCTGCATTATTTCAATAAGTAGCTTTATAAAAAAAAGGCTTCTGTCCCACCTGAATTATCTTCATTCATCAGCTTTTTCATTGACAACATAGCTTTTAAAAACTTTTGAAAAATCTCCAGCCATCATAAGTTTTATTTGTAGTAAACACTTATTTCAGTTTTCTGTCAGCTTTCACAATATATTTTGTGTAAGACTAGACTTATGTAGGGTAGCCTATGAGTGATGTATTACTTGTTGCACAATCTGCCTTTAAATCTTGTTCGTCTGTCTTTGAATTTGATCACATCTAGTATGCTGTAGCCTATGATATTTTCTTGAAAGGTTAAAGACTTCTTTGACCGCATGTTAATAGCTTGACCGTCTTGAAAATACTCAAGGTACCATGCTGTTATATCTATTTCTGTTTCAGTATTAAATTGTTGCCATACCTGCCTTGGATGAATGTCATCATTTGCAAATATTCCCTCCTTCACAGCACGCCATTCTACATGCAGCGTCATAATAAGTTGGTGCTGAGGCAGTTACCATGGCCGTTGTTGCTAGGTTACTCTGTGTAAGCGGTTCAGGAGGCAGGTGCTAGTGAGGTGAGGAAAGATGACAGAAATCAAGAGCATGTAAACCATGTGAGCTCCCTCCCTCCAGTGCTAATTTAGACTAATTCAGGCTTCATAAAGTATGAGGTTTCATGATATCATGGAACAGAATGAGATACTAGATAAGAACATCCATCTGACTAACAAAAATTTCTGTTTTACTGAGTGATAATTCATATGTTTTGTAGGGGAGAGTGGGGGTAAGAGGAGCCATTTTTTATATTTCAGATCTCTACATCAAGGCTTGATGCCCATCTCCTAAATATTTGGTCACATGATCAATTTCTTTTACCATTTCCAAGCGACAGGGGGTGGCTCAACTTACCCTTTGGCTCAACATACATCACTCTCCCCTTGAGGCTGAAATAATTATCTTAAATATCATTGTGTCTCTGGGTAATTTCTTCCAAATCTATCAGAATTATGTACTAAACCTCTTATAATAGTAACTTTGCATATCTACACATAGTCAGTTCAACAAATAAACCAGCTGGGGTTAGAATAAATCATAAAATTGAATATGTCTGCAGCATTGCATTCATTAACAGCCTTGGCAGAGTAAAAAAACTTCTCTTAACGTTAAGTTTGATGTAATTATACTAATTTGATAAGAAAGCGGGTGTATTCAGCTGTGGGCCTGAACTTGTTTTGTTGTTGACATTACAAATAATGCTTGATTGTGATCACTAAAGCGATCTTAAAAATTAATGCTTGCTTCAGAGACCATAGGAGACTAAAGGAGTGTTGGTTAAATTAAATACTATTCTTCTCAAAGTATTACCCTTTGTGATTTTACTTTAATCTTTATATACATAGTTAAATTGGTTGAGCACTGAGGGCTTCAGTTTTTTCCTGAAATGAAAATTTCAGTAGAATATGGATCACTCAGTTAGCAATATCAGTTTCTGACACTGGCAAATACAAATTTATGCTTTTCATGAGCATAAATGTTTACATGTAAACAAATGAGCAGTTGGAAACATGCTGTAGCCTGTGTGCGGACATGATGGGTATACAAACGGAAAAACAACAACATCCAATAAACTCTTGGGGGAGTAGTTGTTCAGGGTTCGATCTTTCAGCTCGTCTTGCTGCTGTAGAGGGAGATTTCCAGGCATTGTTTTCGGAAGAGGCCCAAGGATTGCGGCGCCTCGTGATTGGCTGTCTCGCAGAGCTACTACCACGTGGTGCCGAGAGCTGACCAATAGCCGCACTCGGGGCGTAGACCAAGGAAGCGTCGTTACCATCGAGTGATCATGCTAGCCGAAGAAGTCCAGTGTAACTAGCATTGCTAACTCCTGCAATGAAAACGTCGGTTATTCTCTGAGTTTAGCGCCGGTTTGTCACAACCAACTGGATATAGAATGGAAAGAACAACCTGTGCGTAGAAGTCTTTACCTGTTTTTTAACCGACTGGCCAGGATAGGACGGCAGTTTCGGTTAAGTAGCTAGTTAGCTAGCGCTGCTAACCGTTACATGCTCCTCCAGCCCTCCTCCTCCATCACAGCCAGCACAAGAAGCTCCAACAACCCGGCGTGTCTGACGTTCCCACCATCATGGAGAAGGTGCGTAATCTTTCAAGGCAAACCCTGAAGCTGTAACGTAGACTGTAACTTACTTCTCAGAGAGGACACGCTGATACCGAGCTAGCTGGGCAGCGTTTTCGGCCACACCTGCTCCTCCTGTTGGCATTCATTCACCGAGGCCGAGCCGGCATCGCTGTACGCTCTTAAGCCGCTAAGCTTTGACTTGCTAATTTGAAACCACAAACTCCACTCTGTGCCTTCCACTATCTGATATCATCGGGTTCAGTTGGGGGGTGAGTGGGGTCGGTACAGGCCCGTCGGTGTGTGCTGGTTTATGGGATGAGGGAACGCCCAGCACTGCCTTACTGACTCATGTTATCCTCTGTCTGCAATGCTGCTCCTTTACACCTGTGTGTGTGTTACACCTCCCTGCACTTACCTGGCGCCACAGTAAAGAAACTCATGAAACACATGCGCTAAAAATTGTTGCTGTGAAATGCCACAGGTGAAGAAACCTGCTTAGGTAGCATCTTTTTGGAGTCTGGGAACCCTTATGAGGTAGGGGAGAGTGGGGTAAGATGAGCCATTTTTCATTTTTCGGATCGCACAGTTTCAATCATAGTTTTGTCTCTAACTAGCGTATCTGCATATATTTCAAGATGTTGTGCATCCCTGCAAACCAACAGAATGAGTGTAAACATAACTGTCTTGATAATATAGCATGCCAAATAAAAAAAAAAGTGGTCTCCAGTATGAGGGGGGTAAGTTGAGCCGTATCCCTACTATCCCCCCACTCTCCACCCCAGCCCTCCCTCACCTTCTCTCTCCCTAAATAACAGTCACTTCTTCACATCATGTGTATTTTTATCTATTATACACTACTGACAACAATTCACACAAGTTAAGGTTTTTTTTTAAACTAAGGTTCAGGAGGACAAGATTGACAGAAAGGATATAGGGTCTCTGAAATTTGTACAACCCAGAAGTTCCTTTGAAGAGTTTTCTTTTTAGCTTTTGTTTTACTCTTTTCTTAATTAACCTTTGACGCCTTTTATTGTTTTTTTTTCTCTTGCTCATGTCTGTTGCTCTATTTAATCATTACTATTATTATCAGTACTATTTATTATTTTATTATCATTATTGATGCTGTCTTTTATTGTTTCTATCCTATTTTCTGCTTTCAATCGCCCTTTTAACTGCATTTTCTTTATCTTAACTATTTTATGTTTTTATTTTGGTCCTCATGGTTTCATTTTATGTTGCATGGTTCTTGTATTGTCTAAGTTCCTTGTGACATTTGAAAATGGCCTTTCTTCATGACTATCTGTCAAAGCGCTTTGTAAACTTCCATTTGTAAAAGTGCTATAAAAAAGTTATTATTATTATTATTATTATTATTGTTGTTATTTAATGGTAAATTAAAAAAGATGGTAAAACATTTCCTAACCAAAGCTGTGTATCTCCTCTCCCTCTACCCACAGGCAGATTTCTTGAAAGGACTTCCTGTCTACAATAAGAGCAACTTCAGCAGGTTTCATGCAGACTCTGTTTGTAAAGCATCTGTAAGTACATTAGTCTAGCTTATGGATATGATATTTGATAATTATTTACTACATAGTTCATGAAGTAATTAACTGTGATTGGCCATTACATAGCAACATTTCATCACCACGTTTAGGTATTTCTCGACAGCACACTGTTGCTATGAAGAGTAAGCACTTAACACAGGGTTAGGGAACGCAGTGTTAAATGGCTGATAAGTAAAGACTTAAAAGTAGACTGTTACTATGGATACAGCTCATATACGAGTATAGAAGATCACGTCTTGATTATTAAGTGTTTATTTATTGACTCATTAAGTAAGTGGCAGGGTAATATGCAGAGTAATACACAGTTAGCGGGCTGTTATAGCAAAAATAAACTCCTTCAGGGTAAGACAAGCACCCTCTGCTCACCCTGGTGGAGCTCTGAGTCAGCAACCGGCTTACTCCACATAATTGCTCCTCAAAAAATATACTCAAACAGAAGACCATATTGTTCACACAAAATGCATCAAGGCCCACAATTACTGTGATTCATGACCTCTTTGTTTTCTGTTCTACAGAATCGAAGGCCCTCAGTGTACCTTCCAACCCGCGAATACCCCTCTGAGCAGAGTGAGTACAAACCTGCTGTGCAGCACTGAGCTCAAGGACAAAGAAACAGCAAAGGGTTCAGATATGAACCTTAAGGCTGTTAATAACAAAAAAAACAACAAAGCTTTTGTGCATCAACTGAGCGATGAGGCCAAATTTTGCCAAACATGATCTGTCGGTGATATTCTAACTGTGTTTGCTCTACAGTTATTGTAACAGAGAAAACAAACATCCTTCTGCGTTACCTCCATCAGCAGTGGGACAAAAAGGTGAGCATGTGCAGTTTCATCTTTAGTCTTTTGGTTAAAATATTTGTCGTCTTTGGTCTAAAAAAAGCTTCATTATTATTATGAATAAAGAGAAATGTTGTGACTCTACTGACTGCAGTGAAATCCTCTGTGTCACACAGAATGCAGCAAAGAAAAGGGAACAGGAACAAGGTGAGGGTGACAGTCCGGCACCCCCGAGGAAGATCGCCAGGACAGACAGCCAAGAGATGAATGAGGACTCATAAGTGTGCGTGTGTAAGTGTGTGTGTTGACTGTGTGCGTGCAGAAGTGAATGAGAAAGAAAGAGGTAGTATGTATGTCGGATGTTTGCTTGTACAGGGTATAGCCAGTATAAACTGAACAAAAGGATCATTTCAGCTGAAGAAAGACTTTGGGTCTTTGGGTTCAGGAGCAGGAGGCTGTTACTGGCATAAACAAAAGACTCGCTGTCTGAAGAATTGGGACAAAAATACATCAACTAGGTAGCAATATCTAGAGTAAAGTTGTGTGTGTGAAAGTAGTGAGACCACAGAAGATGACTCAGTTGCCGTTGGTCTCTTTTATCTTGGCTATCCCCTGTGTGGGTTGATGAACGTGTTTGTGTACGTATGCATGCTGAGCAGTGACTGCGTGTTGTGTGTCGTAACGTGCTGTGTGTGTGTGTGTGTATGCGGCGAATGATGAGTCGAAAACATGTCAGAGTAGATTTCAGATCAGAGATGGACTTGACAGATGAAGTCAGACACTGTTCTTAAAAAACAGTCTCCGAACTGGTCCATGACTCATGTAGCCTTCTGGAGAGACTGTCCTGATTTGTGCAAAGATGATGACGTTTTGTTACTGTTTTAATTTTATTCTAACTATTATTGTTTATGTATGGCAACGAGCTTCCTGCCAGCCACAGTGCCCGCCCTCTCAGTTTCACTGCCCACTCTGCAGCCACACAGGGGTATTGCGACATTTCTCCACACTGTTTGAATCAACAGAACCATGAATGCACTGTGAAGAACAGCACAAAGTAGAAGCAACTCTTCCACAACCCCCTTCTTAGATGTTTGTTTACAGCCGATATTCATATTTTCATTCTCCTCTGGGGCTTGTGTTAATAGGATAAATGTTGTGTTGATGTTTGAAAAATACTTTTGCGTCTAGCACCACGACCTGGCTGACTGAGGCTAGTAAATATAGGAATGTTTAAAAAAGAAAAAAGGAAAGTTGGGCTGAGATATGGAGCAGTGAAATGTGGGGTCTCCAGTTGCACATCAATGTAACAGCACAGCTAGTTAAGAAGAATTGTGACCTTGTTTTGGGAAAAGAGGAGAGGACACATCATGTGTAAATACTTGCCAGTACAAGACTTAGTTTATCCCATGAAGGGTCTTTTTGTCTGCCTTTCCTAAAATACTACAAGCGTGTGGTTAGCAGATGGCCCTCTCTGAAAGTAAAGAACCCTGGCTGAATGTTACCTTGCATGTTGACACCCAGGTGTTATATTCCAGGACCGGTTAAAAGGTGAGAAGGTATCAGTGGAAGGTTTTAGTCTATAGGCCTTACAACCTGTCATCGTGGCTCCAGCCCCTGTTTTCCCCGGAGTATAGCTGTGCTGTTCACTCTCTTCGGGAGAACTCTGGGTCATTTTTTGTCTTGAGCGGTTGAGGTAAACACGAGAAAGTCGGAAAGATTATTTTACTCTCAGCCATAGAATGCACAATAAGCATGCACAGCAAAGTAGAGCCATCCTGCCTTGTTCCTGAGATTCAGTTTGTATCGGTGACATTGACTTCACAACACTGAAGAAGGCTTTTTTTTTTTAAATGTTCTAATCACTGCCCGGCAGGGTCACGTTGAAGCCTCCTGTCCTTCCTGCTGCAGTGTTGGTTGACAGCGCGGTCGGTCATCTTCCTGCATACAATGTAAATACTGTCTGTTTCTGAAGCGTAAACACATGAAGCTTCTCAGATATAGACTGTTCTATACCCTAAGCCTTGCCCCGTATCATAGCTGTTAGAGCAGATATTGTTCTTTTTAGCTTTGCTGAAATAAAACTGGACTGAAACTGGGTCTTTTTTGTCTTGTGTTACTTTGAAAAAATGAGGCTTTGAGCATCTGTCGGGGAGCAAAGCAAGCCTGGAGTTTTGATTTTGCAGGAAAGAAACTGGTCACGACACATGAAATGCATTTGAAATAGTTTTATTAACTATTTTTCAGGTCTTACAAAAATATGACAAAATAAATTAAACGAAATAAATAATCCCATTTCCCAGTTATTTCTCTTTAAAAGATCTTTTTTTTTTGTACAGTGGTACATTGGAAGAGCGTATGATGTTCAGTAGTGAGGCTTCCATGAAGATGTCTTAAATCTTGAACTCTGAGGTTAGGGTCAGGTTTTAATGTAGCTGTGGTGAGATTTTCACCTCCTCAAATCCACTTTTAAAATCCAGAAGACGACAGAACATTTACTAAACACAGTCCTTTCCCCTCTACTTTCACATTACAGTGATGATGCTTGTAAAGTGTGGATAAGCCCAAATCCTCCGAGGAACTGCTGTTGCTTTGACGGTGAATCGCAGACGGCTGATGAGTCTCAGCTGTCTTTAATGCAAGCCAAATTTACTTCAACCTTAGCTGATTTTAAGACCCCCATAAGAACTACATGCAGTATTTGTCACCGCTGCCAAGAGTGCAAGGATGAAGAAGTGATAAGATGGTTAATGCTATCCCTTTTTTGGGTTTATGAAGTTGTACTGTGACTTTTCCCTGAATAAAAAGGAACTACATACATGGAGGACTGACCTAACTCCACTGGGATTCCTTCTTTTCATCTCTACTTGTTATTTTTTTTTCACTTTCACCATCTCTGCTATGAAACTGGCTACTTATTTTCTACCCAAACTCCAGTTATGATGTATGGACTATTGCATCACTCATCCCTGAAATCAAAATGCTGCAAGAATCTTTTTTTTTTTTCCTTTTTTTTTTGTTGCTCGGCTACACTTACCATCCTGATCTGTTCGGCCTCTGAGACTGATGCACATATGACATCTGAACCAGCTTTGCACTTCTCATTTAACATTTATCAGGAGCAAGAAATGCCAAATATAAAAAGAAAAGACTGTAGATTGACTGGAAAATGACACCGACTACACAAACTCATATCAGACTGATATCCTACATGTTTCCTTATTGCAGTAAGATCTTTTTGTCTCTCTGTGGAAGTATGGTTTTTGACATTTTCTTGATCCATGCGCCTAGAATCAGTCTGAAGTTCTTATAGACATGAAAGCAGCCACAAAATACGACAAACTGCATGAAGTAAAATGTCAATCAATACCCCAAGACCAGACAGCTTCTGTAGACACAAAGCAGCAGGTAAATAGGCGAGAAGATGAGTATTTAAAGTGTTGATAAAAGGGGGACCGGAAAATACATTAAAAGCTAGATTAGAGGAGCTAAAGCTGCGGAAATCTTGGATAAATTAAGCAAAAGAGATGCATAGAGTTTGGTTTGGATACTGCAGAAGGATTGATGCTCTGGAGGAGCTGGTGGTGGAGGAGTTCGTTTAGACGTTAAGCGATAAAAACAAGCCTCTCATATCTCAGCATTATTGCCAACAACCCTGCCAGGACTGATGTTGTGGAAGTGCATAGTTAATGTACTTTCCTTGTTTTACTTTAAGAGAGCCTGTGATATTTTTCTTTGTACAATTTTACATTATTTTCCTCTTAAAGGCTCTTATACTGCAACCAAACAGGATCACATGCTGCTTCTGCTGTATTCTGGTGATTAAAGCTGACGTTATGATTAAAACGCTGGCACTGACAGAGAAAACAACACAATTTTGTATGCAAATGCACTCTGGCACCACCTTCTGGAGACCCTGCAGAAGTGATTTTTGTTGGTTTGTGAAGGGTTTGCTTGTTTGAGTGAAATAAGCATAAACTTTGTAAATGAAAACATACAGTCCGCACATCTCAGGTCGACAGTATCATCCAAAAAAACACTGCTTTGGTTAAGAAAAGGGAAAGAAAAATATCACAATATAGCAACTGGTGTATAAAAAGATATGTAGCTCAACAGAAATAAGAGCAGCTATTGTAGAAACTTGTCTGATTACTTAGGAGAGTCCATAGGTGCTGAGAGCAGGTGAGCAGAGTTGAGATGTGTCGTGTGAAATGAGGAAAGAAGCCTATCCAGATTTTGCATAATGTCATGTAGCAGGCTGGTGTCTCCATGCATGGCGTTAAGGGTTTAGTGCAAATGTTAACTTCTTTAACTCTACGCTCGGTTGCCACGTCTGGTTAGAGTGTGTGGAGTGGAGCACCATCTGTGCTTACATGGAGCTCTACGGGCATGGATGGAGAATGGCAAAGTCGAAATCACTGTCATCTATAATACCTCAGTGGGTTTTTTTTGCGTCTCTTTGTCTCTTTTCGTCCACTCTTGGGAATAATCTAAAGATGCCACATACCAAACTTATTAAAATCTCAACTTTACGTTACCAACCCAGAATGGAGAGCAGTGTTCAAATCTCAGACGTCACCTCTGCTTTGAAAATAAAGCTGGTGGTAAATCAGCGCTGCTTACAGAGAAGGGGGGTTCTGGTTATGATCCAAAGGAATTAAAACACTCATCGATATTGCTTTTTCCTTTTTTCCACTTCATTATTAAAGTGAAGGGCCCAAGAATTCCTCACAGTTTAAAATAAGACAGTATCTAATAATCACGTCGATTTGAAGCTAGAAAACACTCCTGGCTATTATTTCATGTACAATCTGTGATCCTTTTCCTCGACCTTATCCTCCGCTTGGATGTCTCAGTGAGAGGCCAGATGCTTACAATTTATGACTAGAAGAAATGAAGAAACACAGCTCTCTGCTTTAAAGGCTTAAAAATATTAGAAACGCAGCTCATGCATTTCTTTCTGTATTGCAGACAAGGAAGGATTTGTATGTTCGTGTTTGTGTGTGTGTGTGTGTGTGTAAGGGATTGTGTGTGTGTTTTTTGTCATGGCAGAAGGGCTTATGTCTTTCTTACAAAGCCTGTGTTGTGTCTCTCAGCATAAAAGCAAACCAAACATCATCTGTCATCAGTTTCAAGTACCTCTACACTGATCCTGTGATCACACAGCAGGTAGGTCAGGCCTTCCCTCACAGAAACCACACCTGGTCTTCAGTCCAGATAAAACCAAAGACAAGCTAGATCTCTGCGGAGCTACTAGACTTTAGACCCGGGGGGGTCCAAGTCTATTGAATGTCCGTTCTCTGACCCCTCCCCTCCAGGCGAGGGGATCTCCTCTGGGACGCCGTTCAGGTCAGATCTGGATGCTTGTCTCTCTGAAGTCTGTGATAATGATGATGAAGATGATGACGATGATGATGAATCTGCTGATCTGGGCAGCGGCGCTCCATTCACACACGTCCCCCCCTCAGATTTCCCAAAGTTAAACAGTTTCCCAGGGTTGAAGGCTTTGCTGGGTGACTGAGAACGCTCCTGGGAGCTGCTACCTGATGATGAAGATGAGGATGAGGATGCTGCCGCTGTGGCGTTAGCTGCTGTGGTGTTGGCTGCAGAAGAAGCCGCAGCTCCTTCCTTCTTGTTCTCAGGTGATTTGAGGAATTTGAAGCTCAGGAAGCCGGGCAGCTTCGGCTCGCTGCCGGTGGGTGACTGAGGGGAGCGGGCGCCGCCTGAGGAGAACTTACTCTGCAGCGGGATGATCTGCTTCAGCTTCATCACGTTATTGTTGGCCAACAGAGAGCTGGGCCTCTTAGGTTTGTCCGACCCGCTGCTCCCTCCTCCTCCTCCGGGACGAGATTTACTGCCATGACTTTTGTCGTGATGGTGCTCCCCTGAGGAGTCGCCCTTGCCATCATCCCGCTCCCTCTCCCTGCGGGCCATGTGCTCGGCCTGCCTCTGCCGCTCCTCCTCCTCCCTCTTCCTCCTCTGCAGCTGCTGGTAATGCTGCTGTGCTTGTCGCTCATGCTTCTGCAGAGGAAGGGAAATATTCTCACAATGTGTGTACTACAATCAGCACTAAACCAGCAAACCGTTACGATACTGCAGCAAACAAATCCCTGTCCATGAATCCTGCATAAGGACTGCAGCTCTGACTACATCCTTGTCTCTTTGCTGTGCTCTACAATTTGTCTTTTCTAAAGTAAAATTTAAGTGCAGAACAAGCGAGTTATCTCTGAAAAGAAACACAGAAATGCAAACTTATAATCTCTGTTAATTCTTGAACATAAACATCATCCTTTCATGCAACTTTTCCATGACGAAGAAAAAGTCCTCATCCTCTCATCGCTTACCTTAAAGGCCTCCCTGCGCTGATAATCAAGTTTAGCCATCTCCTCTCGGACCCACGCAGGAATGTCAGGGATGGCCACATGGATAATATACTTCAGAAGGATAGCAAAGTGCTGTGGGTGGAGAAAGAAATCATATAAAAAAAACAATAGCAGTTCTCTTTAATGTTCTGTAACTTGAACCAATTCCTGCACAGCATCAATTGGACCATGAAATCCTCCTCCTGATAGGCCCGACTTCTTTATCAGGCCAAGAGAGAGCTGCAGGCTGTTTACCGCTTTCCCAACAAAGGCAGGAACACAGCGCACGGCGAACAGAGCTAGAATCCAAATACGTTACAAGTAAGAGCAGACTCTGAACAGCATCAATCAACGTGAAAAATACAGGAAGGAGTGAGCTGTTGGTTTGCAGTCTAAGTACCCTGCACTTGTTTTATTCGCTGATGCATATCAAATCCTGTCCCCCTTTTGCAAAAACTCTCAAACACTCTTCTCTGAGTAATTCAGAAAGAACGACAGGAAGCGGCGGCAGTGATTACCTCGAGAATGACGATGGAGATGATGGCCATTTCAGGGCTGAGCCACGGGAAGAGGCGTTGCAGCTGACCGCACTGACCAATCAGGTAACAGTTTACGATGATGGCGATGAGGCCCATAGCTTCCATCGCAGTCTGTAGAAGAAGGGAGAAGGTTTTTTTTAGCTTCGTTTCCTGATCTTTTCTTTTCATCTGCATAATTTACATCCGGCTTTTGTTCTGCACTTCTCACTTATCTCAGTGACTCATTAATAATCTGTGTAATCTGACAACTACACAGTAATATTTATATAATCCACACTCTCTTTAGTTTTACTGTTGTTCTTGTTTTTGTGTGGCTGTGACTCCGATCTGTTAAAACTCAAAGTACAATCAGGGTTCAGAGAGTTTCTGACCTGCCACTGGCCGATGCTCTCCACCCTCACTCCAAAGGGCCTCTGCAGACCGGTGCAGAGCTTGAAGGCATCGCTGCGGATCTCGATGATGTTGTTGATGAGAGCGCACATGGCCGCCAGAGGGAAGGCGGAGGAGAAGAGCACCACGTAGCCAAACTGGACAAACATCTCCTGGTAGTCCTGGAAGGTGTCCTGAGAGAGTCAGAGAGAAGCGCTAAACTTTACTACAACATCACAAAGTCAGTACAAATATGTACTTTTCTATTTCAGCTAGGAGACAGAATTGCAATGCTTTGATAAAAGAAGCACACTTTTTTGTCTCACTGTCTGATTGTCTCATGTTTGTCAAGTCACATGTGACACAGATGAGGTCCCATGTCGCTACCACATGCATGAAACTTGACCTAAGAATGGGAGGAATGACAGCGGAGGGTCCCCCGGCTCGTCATCTTGTATGGCTAAGTTGTTGACCTACAGCCGTGCAGCATTTCACATGTTATATGTTTGTTCTCTTTCTAAATTAAACTGACACCAACCTGTAAAGATTTCACGATTATTGTGCAATCATGATTGTAAAACTGTAACTCCTATATTTTTGTATCTTCCTACTTTTTTGCAAACGATTCAACCGAGCCGAGAAAGAACTAATCTGTACATAGTTCATACAAAGAAAACAGTTAAAATCAGAGCTGTATGATACTTTTCATGACAGTTCTTAAAGTAGATGCTATAACGTTTATGTATGCCCACACACATCCTCGCTCCCCTACCCCAGTCAAATAAGTCTGGATGCGTCGCCGCCTACAGCTGACGGATGAGTCTATTTAAAGGCTTTTAGAAAACTTCCGTCCCTGATCAACTTCCTGCTCATTTTCGCTTAAGCTAGCACTTCTGAAATCTCTTCAACAGAGGTGATTAATAAACTGCAAACATAACCATTAGCCGTAATTAGTTAGAGTTTACAGACTAAGTTTAATAAATGGTCTTTCTTACAGCGTAACTCTGCATGCAGCTCTCCATCTCAGCCTGAGTGAGCGTGTTGCTCTCTCTCTCCTCAGGGGGGTCCATCCACGAGTCCCTTTTTGTCTTCGGCTCGGGTCTTTCCGAGCTTCTGCCTCTTCGTCTGTGTCGCAGTGACGTGCTGCTTTCAGACCCAGAAGGCAGCGGGGCAGCAGGAGCACCGGCACTCATCCCCTCAGCCGCACCTGTTCCTCCCCCGCCTGCCTCCTTCACATCATGGATGCCGTTATCATCGTCATCGTCGCATAACTCAAATACAGAGGCAGGGTCCATTCCTTTTTCCACCATGGTGGGGCTCCCCTCCTCCAGGAAACTGTTGTCCATAGGGGGTCCACTGCAGATCGGCCTTCTGTCCACCTTGAGATCAACCAGAAAGACTGTTTTATCGATATCGTGTGTTGTTGTTTATTAGCATAACAACCTCCTTAATAATCGGTATATTTACGCCTCATCGTCTTACATGTTCACACAGCTTTTACCTTCTCTATGAAACTGACTTTTCTCAGCTTCAAACCGCAGTCGATCAGACTTTCCTCCTCCGTCTCCCCTTCACTGAACCTCCCGCTGTCTGCCTCGTCCCTCTCACCTCCCTCCTCTTCATCAGGCACCCCGCATCCGCCGTTCAAACACTTCTTCTCCCTGAGAGAGGTTAAAGTGACAAATAGACGTCAGACAAAGTGTGTGTGTGTGTGTGTGTGTGTGTGTGTGTGTGTGCGCGTGTGTTATCTGCTGCTCACTGTCCAATTGGCATGAATCATAACTGCATGCAGTGCCCAGACAATGTCAAGTGCACATAAAGAGGCTTCTACTTTGAAGTCATGCTGGTGTGTTTGTAGTGACTAATACTTTGAGTGTTGGTGTAAATGAAAACTGTTAACACTCCTCTTCTCACTTATCTCATGAGAAAGTGACGCTTTCTTCCCTGTCAGGAAAAACCTTTTGTACTCTTCAAACATCCAGATCTCCTCATTAGTAATCCTGCGTGCATTAGGGGGTAAGTTTAGAATTTAAAACATGACTTTGACCTTCTTTCTGTCTGCCCCACTCCAGGCCGAGTGCCCCTCAGACCCGGCCCCGGCACGGCTTGGTCAGTCGGGGAGTCCTGGGCTTTTCCCGCAGCCAGTCGAGCGTACTTATACAGCACAGAGAGCAGCAGGTCCCACACCGCTCGCAGCGTGAGCTCGCCCAGCTTGTGGCGCTCGTACAGGTAAGGCTGCAGCACCTCCTTCACGTTTTGAAGGAACTGTCGGATGATGAGCAGAGTGGCCAGCATCTGACAGGAACAGAGAAAAAAAATCACAACTAAATTAGCTGCCAGGCTTTGACGCATCCATGTGGAACAAATGCGGCTAATCAATCAAAACATAATTTATATACATGCAAACTTTATCCACAAGCACATCACACAAGGCAGACAACCACCGCTGAATGATTTCCTGTACATTAAAGTCTTCATCTCTGCACCAGAAGTGCACCTGTGGTTTTCTGGACACAATGATTCACTGAGGAAGAACCATATAACATAACTGAATCCACATTATGAGAGCACAGCTAATAGACATGGACACTCAAAGCCTATTAGTACAACTCTTTCACTGCCAGGAAATGCAGGTCTCTCGAAACCAAAAGCACACAGAGTTAAACCTTGATCGAGAAATTGGGTTTTATTACAACAGCTGATTGTTTTGTGGTGCTCTAAATATAAGAGATACTTCAAAAATTAAAAGACTTGCCTCATTTGTCATTTGTTTGGCAGGTAAAATACTCAGAGATGATTCAAATGTTTCGCTAAAACCACAAAATAAAAATCCCAGCTGTAACGAGCCAGAATAATCCTGTAACGCTCAAAAATAAACACCATGTCTTTGGTCTTTTAATACACACCCAGAGGACATCAAACCAAATAACAAGCGCAGCAGCAAATATTACAATCTGCAATTGGTTTCATTTAGAAGCGACTGTTTCCATTAAAGAAATGCTGATGTGCAACATGCAGCGGTTTTTATCTACAGGAATATAATACAAGCACAAACAACAGACTCCTGACATGAACACGCACTGAATGTCAAATTCAGTCTGTGACGCGAGATCTGAATAATAATAACAGAGAGAAGCAGACTCTGTTCTCTCAACAACAGCAGCTGCTTTCACATCAGACTCTGACAGTCGTCATGCAGGTTTAACCAGATTTTTGGCACTTGCTATTAATCAACAGAAAAAATAATGAAGCTAGCTGAATTTTTTTAGGTTTTATATTTTTGGGAGACTGATGTTTTGAAAAACCAAAAACTTGAGGTGAAATTTTGGTGACGCTTTCTTTTACGGTACACTTATTACCAGGTAATTAACAGGTAATTACCTAGTAACAACACGGAATTATCCGGTAATTACATGATAACTACTAAGTCAATACTGTCTAGCTACCAGGTAGGTAACCTTCCATCATCATACAAATTTGAAGCCGAATTGCTCTGGTATTTCCAGGATTTTCTCAGCTTCCTGGAACCACCACTTGCGCAGTAGCATCGTACGCATTCGGCGGGTGAGTCGCTGTGATAATACTTGGCACAAACAGCGTATCGCTATGCAATCTTAGAAAATAAGTGTCAATCATAGAAAATAAGAACCCCAAATAGCTTTTGATAATGGAGCTGCACAGAAGAAAAAAAGAAAAACTAGACAGTATCGACTTAGTAGTTATCATGTAATTACCAGATAATTTCATGTTATTACTTGGTAATTACCTGTTAATTACATAGTAATAAGTGTACAGTAAAAGAAAGTGTTACGGAAATTTCTTTTTAAAGACTTTGGGTGAACTTGTTGGTGATCAGGCATGGAAGGCAACAAAGTCGAGTGATGTTAACAGATTTTGAAAAGAGGATTGAGGAGGCTCTCTGGATGAGTGTGAAACAAACTGACAGACAAGAGGGAGAAACTGAGGTATGAGGGTTGACAGTTGTAGCAGAAAAACAATTCCCAGAAACGCCAATAAAGAAAATGAGAAGGATATTATGGGTCATTACAAGGGAATGAAGGACAGATCCAACAAACAACACTAAAGAGGATTATTGAGTTCAAGTGTCATCGAAAACAACCGATAAATAAGAGTTTATGTAGTCTGGAGTGGCCTCTCTGGATCAGTCAATAGATGTGCTGGGATCATTTGGACCTGAGTAAAGCCCTGAAGAACCAGAGGACAGAGACCACAAGCATCTGGATCCTGAAGAGGAGAGGAGGCAGCACATTGACCCGGACCTTCCTCTGCAAACTCTTTAACAGAGAAAACACCAGCAGCATCTTCCACCACGGACCAACAAACAGGGAGGATGTGAGGACCGAGGGTTATGGTAAACAGACGACGATGGAGGTTAGAGGTCAAATGAAGTGATGCCAACTGGGCTTGAAATTTCTCCTCACCTCTTTGAGCCGCTCCATGTCTTTGAGGTAGAATCCAATGTAAAAAAGGCTGAGATAAGAATTTACAAACTGAAACTGCATAAGGAAAAAAAAGATGGTTAGAAAGCTCTTTCTTGAATCATATGGGTAACTCTGAAATAATGTGATGAAAAACACTCACTAGAACCATTTTGATGATGAGATTTTTCTCATAGGCACTCTGGAGTCTATAGTTTTCTGTGGAAAAAAAGATATCAGAAAGAAACTAAACAGAAGAAACCGAACCACTTATGAACAACATGTTTAATGATCTGAGCTGAAAGCGATTTAATGAAGCCTCTGCTCTGTGAGAAAGAGAGAGAGAGAGAGAGGATCTGCTCTGACTGTGAATGTAGATCTGAAGAAAAATCTGGAAAGCTTGTCTCTCACCCATGTCATTAAGCCAGCAGGCAATTTTCCTGTACACCTCGTCACATGCAGTCACAGTGATAGCGAGCATGATTTTGGGGATGAAGCGAGCCAGTCGAGGCATTTCCTTGATCCCCATCACAAACTCCTGCAGGGACACATTGGCAGCTTTTCACTCATCACACACCAGGCACTCATCACTCTCAGAAAAATCATCACGAAGCAGAGAAAACAAAGATTTGTACTGCATACTGCTATAATCCGACTCTGGTAGATAACTGACCTGCAGCTCGAAACAGATGAGCATGACCAGGAAGACAAAACAGAGACAGAGGATACAGATAGGCAGGCTGACCAGCCACCTGAACACACGCCTCCGCCACGGAGGATAGTAGAACTCCTCGCATCCTGTAATGGGACTGCAGCGCTTCACTCCCTGCAGAGATGGAGGAGGAGGAGGAGAAAATCTTAAAGAGTGAGAGAGAGAGAGAGTGGAAGAATGGAGGGAGGGAGAGTTGTGGTTTCTCTCACCCTGAACTGAGGCCGTGGTTCCTCCAGGGATTCAGCCGGCATGTCCAGCGTTCCCCACTTGTACGCCAGCTCAGCTCCCCTCCTCTTCCACCGCTCCAGAAACAGAGTGGCCCACACCACGTTAAACAGCGCAAACACCACGCAGCAGATGTCCCGGCTCGTCTTAAAGAACACAAACAAACAAACATGCACTACCATCAGCTAAGGATCATTGGAAATACAGGCAGCTTGAAGCTTCATGAGCTCCCTTCCTCACCTGATCTGACTCGGTGAGCATCCACAGCACAAAGCCGATCACAGCAGGATACAACATGGAGGTGGTGTAAAATCCCAGCCAGGCAAAATACATCGCAATCTTTACCCCAAAGTAGTCACAGATGTCATCTGTAAACAACAACAAAGTGTAAAAACAATGTGACAGAGATGTGATCAAAGTGACTCACAGTGTCAAACTGAATTTCTTGCGTTAAAAAGGATTTGATCCTGAGATTTTTTATTACCCCTAAGATCAAAAGGTCCCAGACTAACAGGCCCGAGCTTGGTCACTGTTGGAGGACGTGTGTCAATATATATGCTGGACATTTCCACATTTTTTGGGAGTGTCCTGCACTGTCACCATTTTGGGAATGTGCGATAAAAGAAATCATTTCAATCCCAGGTTCGGATATAGAGCGCTCTTTCAGTCTTATTTACTTGGGGGATTTACCAAAAACCATGAGGAAACCAGACAGGTACTTGATACAGATTCTATTGGTTGGTTGCAAAAAAGCAATAACCAGAAAATGTCTCAGCGAGGACTCACCATCTATTTCAGAATGGACAGAGATCATAGGGGAGATTTTCCCTGAGATATGCCAGTGCTAAGTTTGAGAGGTATCGGGAACCCTGGAAATCTTAAACAAATCTAACGAACTGAAAGTGCTTGTCTTATCCTGTGTCACATTCTTCAATTTGTGTTGGATATGATGTATAAATGAATGTGTCCCCATGGCCCAGCTTTGGAGTTACATTCTGGAAACGAACGTTTGTGAGTTATTGCATTTTGAGCCTGTAACGACCCTGTCTGCTATATTTGTTACTTTCCTTTCACTGCTTGTTTAATGTAAAAACATCTAATCATAAAAATGAAGTATGAGAGGGTCTTTGTTGTTGTCTACATGTATTGAGCTGTTTTCTTGTCTTTCTAACCTAAGGGTTGCTTCTCGCAAACAGCCTGGACCCAGGACTTCATCAGCTGACTGAGGATCCTCTGCTCGTGGAGAGGAAAAACCTGCTGGATCACACCGCGCGCACTCAGCTCCGGTACTGCGGACAGATCGAAAGCAGACAACAGACCAGGTTAGAATTACTGTTTTTAATTTTGTTAGAGACAGAAACACAGAAGAGAGAGAGCAGATTTGTATTGAAGAGGCTTTTATTGACGAGGGTAAACCATCTAATCCATCACAATTTGCCTCTAATAATTCTAAACCCAATTCGACTGAGGGATTTTTGCCAAATCCTGCCGAAAAATCCTCCTGTGAAACAGAGACAAATATCTTCAAGGGTCTGACAACAGCAGAATAATACCGTGTTAGTAACTCACTGATCTGCTGGCCTTCCAGGAAGTTGATATTATGAAGCACCTCCCCATGTTTGGCACGTAGATTGTCCAGCCAGTATTTGATGATGCTCTGCCTCTCCTACAATGACCGTGAGGGAGAGGAGGACAGAAATAATTCATGTTAGTGTGGAAAAATATCGACTTTCATGTGTGTGTTTGTGTGAGCGTGCCGTGCCTGCTGTAACTGACCTGTGAGGTAAAGAAGCACATCTCGCTCTCGATGTTCTCGTAGATGTAGTCCTCCTCACAGGAGAAGCTCCGTGACCCTCCGCCAAACTCAGGCTTCACAGCTTTCCTTAGTCCCATCTCTTCTGCTCCTCGTAACAAACTGCAGAGTGTCAAAGTCAGACCATCAGGGGAAAGGTTAGACTATCTGTCAGTGGACAAGTTTGTTTCTCCTCCTCCTCCTCATTGCAGATTCTTCACAGCAGGATTGATGAACTTTGATTCAATCTTTAATGAATTTGTTCTTTGACTCTTTTTCATTTATTTATGTCATTTACACAACAGAAGCAGCCTTTGCTCCCAACTTGTCAAATGTGAGGATTTACAGCCTTGTCTTTTTTCTTTTAAAGATAAATCTCAGAGTTTTTGTCTTTATGTGGGAAATTCTTTTGTCTCGCTATTAAAAGTGTACGCATGAATGTATCTGCATTTTAAATACCTGTCATAAAGCTTCCTCCTGCTATAGAGACTCTTCTCTTTGTTGGTTTTAGGTTGTGGGGCCATAAGAGACTATGTGGTCAGTATGGGTGCTGTTGCCGACCAGAGCCTTCATGTACGAGGACTTGGTCTGTTGGATGTGAGACGCTGTATAGGATGTGGTGTAATATTAAGAGGTGCTGCATGTGGATATGGTGGGTGGGGGCGGTGGCTCTGGGAGACCAGAGCTCACTGTTAAGCCTCACTTAAGTGTCGTGGGCCCACTATAGCCAAACACTTGTGAGTGTAGGTGCCCACATGATAACCTCAGTAATGAGCTGGCTCTCAGTTTGCATCTGTCCTCATCCATCCGGGTCTGTGGGGACATTAGGAACCATGTGGTTGGCGGTGTAAGTCATGGATAGAGAATACTGGTATGTGTTCCAGGTTTACTCGCTGACCACTTCTCCTTATCACGAAAGCATAAGCGCCTTGTGTTGGCTTCAAATTTGTCTTTTTTGTTAGTTTGTTTGTGTGTGTCTGGCTCAAAAGTAGAACCAAAAAACCTTGAGTAAAATCTGCCAAAAAGATGAGCATCAGAAAGAGTTGAGTGGACCCAAGAAAGAGCAGTTTTTACTTTGGTAGCAGCTGACATAGATCCAAATAGTTGAATGTGAATGAATGAAGTTAAGAAGACCCGAGAAAGAATAGATAGATCCACAAAGATGAATGACTAAATGAATGTTATGTCATAGAAAATAGCCCCTTAGGGATTTATTGTAACGCTAACAGAAAGTTTATCGGTTGGATTTGTGCTTGATCGGTACTTTTGGCTTGTAAATAGAAATCTGATCTGAAAATAATGAGTTGAATAAATTCTCCCTTCAACATCAACAAAATGCTTAAACTACATTGACATTATCTCTCTCTAAATAAGTGAAAACGGTGTATTCGGCCACTTTTTTATGAGACTAAAAAACCCTAACTGTTTACCATAAAAACAGCAGAGATAGATCACCCTTTACTGCATTAGAGTCAATTGAACTCTCTTTTCATTCTTTGACCTCATGAATCTCTCTCATCATCTCATTTCCCATCAACCCCTCCCCGTCCACTCCTCATCCTTTTATCTCAGAGTCCTCTCCTTTGTCCACCCTCCCTCCTCCTTTCATGCCAACATCCTTTTTTTCCCCCTCCTCCTGCCCTTCCCAGTAGCTCTGTGGTACAATCGCAATAATAATGCAGCACCACGCCTGCTGTTGTGACAGCTCACCCCCCTCTCCCTCTCCTGCGTACATGTATATATAACACACACACGCACACACGCATATACATGAGCTCAGCTTAGGTGGGCCTGCAACATCCGTCCATCCATCCATCATCTAGCTCCAGGCTCTTTGAGGAGCAGGACAGTGAGCTAGGTTCAGCATCATGATGGATGATAGCAGAAATGTGAGCTGTAAGCTTCTGTATCAGCACTGAAAACTGCTCGGTGTGCAGCACCTTCACAATAAAGGTCCTTGCCTGCGAAAAAGAAAAGGCTGTATCTGTTTTAAACCAACTGTTTAGCAATCTGAGCCAATAACTGCAAGGCCTTTCAGGGTGTGTGCCACTCCCTCTGCTGCTGCCAGGAATCTTAATAAGATTTCTCCTTTTTTTTATTTCATCAGAAACTTCATCGCCTTTTTGCACTCTCTCTGCCCAAATACAAGGAGCCTTAATTTAAAAAGAAACAGTGTTAAAAGAAACGTGTGGGCAAAACTAACCTTGTAAGAGAGCAGAATACTGCTGAGGAAGAAAAGTGCACATAAGATTTATGCTTACACAGCAAATATTTAGCAGACAAAACGCAGAAACTCAGCAGAACAGGACGGTCTAAATAAACTGCTCATTTACAGCTGAGGAGGGGAGACGTTCAATTTGAGTTTTTCTTTTAAAAAAGCCAATATTGTTGTATAAAGTTGGATTCTACACAAGTCTAAAAGAAAATAAAAGTACCTCTAACATTTTTTACTAACTAGTTTTAAGTCTTCCTCAAAGGTTCTGTGAGAAAGGGCGCCCCCTGTGGAGAAACTGTACCTCTAATTTCCTGTGTGTCACGCTTTCACGCTGCTCATCATGTCACTAAAAGGTAAAACTTACTCAAACTCTCAGCAGTGGAAACTTTACGGTGGATAACTTAAAATAAACTGGGCATGATAGCGAGCTCATCCACAGCCCTCAGCCGGTGTCCTCGTGGCTAATGGTGGAATAGAAAAGTAAATTCCCTCCAATTTGGTTTGCAAAAAGATTGAGCTGTCAAGGTGAGTCAGTAGGATGGAGTATTTTCTGGGTTATCTTTTCTATCTAATGAAATGTAGGCCAACCTTTCCAGCAGCAGGTGTGTGTCTGTGTCTGTGTGTGTGTGTGTAGAGAGAGAGAGGGAGGAGAGCGTGCTTCATGTCACACAGCAATCATTTTCCTCCAGCATTTCATCTAAAACCTGCAGCTGGCACGCTTCCAAAGAGCACTCCTCTTCCTCCATCTTCCCACCACATTAACCTCCCTCTTCTTCTTCTCTTTGTCTATCTGCCTCCCTCCCTCTTCTTCCTCTGGTTCTCTTTATGCATCTGTCTCTCTCTGTCTCTCTTTCTTTGTTCCTTGTGGCCATCTGTCTATTCTTATTCCATTCATGGGTAAAAAGGACTGCTCGAGACTCTCAGATATTTTTTCTCGAGAGGGCCGATGGTGAATGCACACTCAGCAGAGAGGACTGAACATTTGTCAAGAGGTGAAATGCAGTATGGAACAGCGAGTGCCGGCCTGATCCCTTGGATTGTATTTCTCAGTATTTATATAAACCAAAGTCAAAGCTGAATTAAAATGACCCTGAGCTCATCTATAATTCCCCTGGGGATTTTTTTTCAAAACAAGAGCCTGTGCCGGAGCGGTGTAATCAGAGTGGATGCGATCCATATGGTTAGCCTGACTCAAACCCTGTAGAAAACTTAAAATAACCTGCAGCACAGCGTCAGAGGTGGAGCAGTGGTGCAGATACATCAGCCGTGATGGCAGCCTCTCTAGTGATTCACTGAGCTGAACTGCTGTGTGTACTATAGCTGCAGCTAAATATAAGATTATAAGACACACGTTCGCTTTCACAGCAGCAGCAGCAGCAGCAGAGAACAACAGGGATATTTTTGTCTCCAGTTGTAACATTTAAAAATAACTAAAGCTTTGACTACAACAGGAATACGAGAAGAAAACTGTATTATTCATGTGGCATTTGGTTTATCTTCTTGCTCTTACTGATGTACTTTGCTGCTTATTCAGTGTGAAACATGCGCGTAACAGTCATTGCATAACCCTGACTTCTTTACCTGAGCTGGGTCATATCAGTGCAGAAGAAATCACAGAAGAGGTTTTTTAAGGTTGTTGTTCAGAAATGCTCAAAGTAGGCGTTTGGTCATCTCAAGATAGCATTATAAACACATTCAAGTCAAAACATGTCAAGATGAACACTAACAGGGGAGAGGCAGCTCAGTATGGAAAACAGTAAAAAAACAGAAAAAATATCTGTTTATGAGTGAGGTTTAAAGCTGCTGTGAAGAACTTTTAGTTTGTGTTGCTGCTGGCGCCCCCTGTGGACAAAGTGATGCCTCTTATCTACAGTCCTGTTTGTATAAAAGTAATATTTCAGCTAAAAAGCTCATAAACCTGCTGTCTGTCATCTGGTCTGACTCCAACCTCATCACAGCATTTTCAAGGAATAAAAACTACAACAGAAAACTGATCAGACTTCATTTTCTCTTGAATTTGCTCATGAAAAGGCATCCTTGTCCAGTCTGTTTCTTCACTAATACAAAATTCATCACAGTGCCTTTAAAGGAGCTGATAGGTGTAATTTTCTTTTCCTGTAGGCAAAGCAAATTTGGCTTTTCAGTTGTAGTGCTAAGCTAACCTAACCATAAGCAAAATGTAGTTTTATGTTGACCATTAATTAATGATGTTTATGTAATTTAATTCATCCAATCTAAATAAAGCAGATAGTTTTTTAGATGAGATGTTCAGTAACACTGTTGACTTAAAGCTGACAGTCACAACTGAGCTGGTCATATATATACATATATACAAATCAAGGAATAGATTTTCCATGATAAAAGTTAGATACTTCATTTGCTGCCCATAAGTTCACATAAGACAACTGTTAAACATCACTCAACTCTTCATTATGTCTGCAGTGGAAATTTATGAAAATAGCATAAATTAGAAGCTAAAGTGAATGCTGTTATACAGAGTATGCTAATTTCGTCAGAAAGATAAGTACGGAAGTATGTGGCATTCATTTAAAAAGTTTTGTTTTTCTGATCTGAGATAATTATCTGAAAAACCTGGCAGAATTTTTTTAACTATGGAAAAGTTATCTTGTTCTAAAATAATTCCTTTTAATTCTGAAGAACAGGCAGATTTTCTTAATGTTTCTGTAGCTAAGACTGAATTCAACCCTCTTACTCGCTGGAATTGTTAAATGTCACAATGAAAAGATTATCTTTAGGTTTGTACTTCAGTTGCTCAGAAGAAAATAAGACAAAATAAAAGTGTCATTTTGAGGAACAGCATGAACATTTTTGCCTTTTAGACTTTTGATTTTTGAGATGTTGCGGCACACACAAAGCTCAGACCCTTATGAAGGTTTTCATCACGACAGCAAACCTTTAAGGAGGGCTCTTACTTTTCATACGTAGCTGTGACGAAGAATGCGTAGACTCGCGTGTGCTTATGATGTCGGATTTGGATGATGAGTTCTGGGATTCCCAGCCGGATGTGGTTCAGTAGCCATAGCAACGTGTGGTCATCTGTAGTGTCTATGGCAGAAAATAAGAGATAGAAATACATTTTCAAGCAAACCCACGCATCCCTGTACGCTGGAGCTGCTCAGTACTCCCACAGTCTTATACTATTTATTGCAGAGCAGCAGCTGGAGGTTAAGTATCATACTAACAAACACTTGAAGATGACTCCTCTGCTCAGCTGCCTTCTTCTTCTCTGTTCTTTGCTTTAGATGATACAGACAAGGAATCCTGATCTGTTTTATCCACTATATTAAACTGCAATAACTTGGACTTGTGACATTTTTCAATCTCTGGTTTGATGCGATTAAGAGACTGATGGCCAACAAAAATGATTACATATGGAAGATTGGACAGGAATAAAAGGTTATGCTTTTAGCCTTAAATTTGAGATTTTTTCATAAACTTTGAAGAAATTTATGAATAAGATTTAGAGTAACATTTACAAATGTGCACGTCTGAGTATTCAGTATTTGTCTGGACCAAAATTTAAAGTTTATGTTGAAAATAAAAGTCAGAACTGCTGGTCCAAACTTTAAAATGTTGTTAGGGAGAAGAAAAAAATGTGTTTTGTAGGTTAGCATGTCTTTTAATGACATTACATTTACAGAAAATTGTCAAGAAGGTGCTTTCCTATAACATAAATTAATTTTGCCACATTTGCCAAACATCTGCTTGATTGAGCTTCTCAGATTTGCTGCTTACTGCATTGAAAGCAGAATATACTCATGTAAAACAAGTACCCGGAAACAATATACAGCTTTACAAACTTCTAATTTGGTGACAAAATGTTGTTTTTGGCATTATGTTTTTTTCACATGAATTTTGAGAATATAGCAAAGTAGAAAAACTTGGGAGTTTCACCCAGTTTTAGGGTGACTGTAGACGTACTGATCTGATGCTGCAATAAAGTCAGGGGCCCTTTATCTCAATGAAGGTCCTCTTAAGTATAGCAGTAAAAACACATGAGTGTGTGTGAGTGAGTCTGACCTGCAAATGTCATGAGGACATCACAGTTCTCTGTAGGCACCGTTTTCATCCAAGACTTATGAGACATGATGTGTCTCCCAGCCTGCAGCAGCCGCTTTCCAAATAACTTATCTGAGAATGAGACAGACAGACGGATGGACAAGAGACAAAGAGAGAGAGAGAGAGAGAGAGAGAGACAAAGAGAGACAAAGAGAGACAAAGAGAGGGAGAAAGAGAGAGAGAGAGAGAGAGGGTCACCTTTTCAAAGTCAAACAGTGTAAGAAGCAATGACATTTCTAACATTTCCAGCAACCTCCCACCAAAACTGGAACCCCTGCTGCCCTGATACACTCACACACACACGCACACACACACACAGACACACAGACACACAGACACACTCTTCCTTTTACACAGGACGGATTTAAATGTCATGCTGCTTTGCCTCACAACACGAGATTGACAAAACTAATCCAGCCCTGCCAGGACCAGAGGCCACAAATTGTCCACACTCTTTGTATCGTCTCTGACACACACACACACACACACACACACACACACACACACACACACACACACACACACACACACACACACACACACACACACACACACACACAAACATACAAACGCTCAATTGACTAAACTCGACCCATGTAAGTGCTGCGACGTCTCACTGGGATGACACGTCCTGAGTCTAAGATACATCCTAAAACTCGCCTTAAATCATAGCAGCACTCTCTTTATCATGATGGATAAGTGGACAGGGCTGAATATACAGCAGCAGCAGCACGAGTGAATTCAGTTCCTTTAATATCGAGTTTCCTCCTCTCTCTTTTCTTGAAGTCAACAGCACACCAAAAATAGCTCGACTGTAGCCTGACAGTAATGTCACATCATAACACAGATGCCTTTTGTGTGGCGAGCTGAAGGAAAATAATACTCAATATGTTTTTTCCTCCCTGGTGAGCAGTGTTTGATTCAAAACAGAAACATACATTTCCAGTTTTTTCATTCACTTAGGAGAAAAAGTAAACATAATACAGCAACACAAAGACATCACAATATGGCGTCCATGATCACTTCAAATCAACACAAGAGGCTGTTGTGTTGTAGACTGAACGACTTGAGGAATCTTTGCTGTCTTATTGTTGAGTTTAATGTGTGTTTTGATAGGCGTAAAGCATGTGATATCAGCTGGACCGCTTCTGCCTTATCTTGGAAATACATCACCGGTGTGATATATCAAAGCTAATCTTGGCTTCACTTTTTACAGCAGATTCAAATGGAGGCACGCCGTCCATATTTCGTCACAGTCAAAAGTTGTGACCTTTTCGGGGTGAACTTCATGTCGGTGTCCTCTGCTCACCATGTCAGGGTTCTGAACTGTTATATTATCCCTTCCTAACATGAGCTTTTGACTAATCCCTCTCCTTTTTTACAGAGTGATTATTTTTCCTTTAAAAAAAGGCTCATCATGCATTTTTAACAGAAGATGGATTTAGATAAATTCTTAATTCTGCTTTGAGTATAAATATTTTAGATATGAACCTTTAATACAGCTACAGTTTCTGTCTCCAGTCTCAGATGAACTCCTTTGCTCTTTGTGACACCTCCTTCATTTGTCACCGCTCTCCACAGTCTCATATTTCCTCCTCAGCGTAGACAAGGCCGCGGTGCCAATAGTTCAAACATGACTAAATGATTCTTTAACCAGTGCCACCCTGGACACTGCTCGGCTGACAGAGGGCACTTTGTGAAAACCATTTCCTGGGTCCTGACTGATAATGAGAGAAAATGCCCGTCCCACAAAACTCCTGTGATCTCTGAGGCATGGAGCGTCAGAGGAGCCGGGAATGTGGGACACTTTCCAGAGATCCTACAGGCACGTTCACAGGATCTGTTCATTATTAAGCCCTGTAAATGTTAGATATGTATGTATGGAACCAAATGAGACCAAACTATGAAAGCTACATATCATCTTTCTACACACGGGCTGTGTTTTGCTTTCATGGTTACCAAAGTGATCGTACACACATGCCACCTCGCAAAGGTCAAGGCCACAGCAGGCTGTAAATACAGTCATGATGTCAGCACCGGTATGGCGTTATAAATTACGGTGTCTCTGTGTTTTCTGTGGATCCATTAAACACCTGTCACATAAAAACATTGTCCTGCTGCTCAGCGTGTCCTGACACTTCCTGGAACTCCCTGCAGAGCGGACAGGGAGGGGGGCACACAGCGAGGTTTCCCAGAATTAATCCTGCTGTTCTCGTCCAGATAATATAATTACACTCTGTGTGTCTCTGTATGAGATATAAGTAAATAAACATGTCACCAATGGTCAGAATCAATCTGCTGAGATGGCAGATGTAGTCCGTTTGCTAAAATCTGCAAGTGAATGTTTTATTTTGGTTCAGGGAATTTAGATCTGGTGGTAAAATTCCTGTTTTTAGAGCTTTAGTAATCAATACATTTGAAGGCCAAAGAATTGAATGATCAACGTCACTGATAGAAAGGTGGTTAAAGAAAAGACAAGTGATTAGTCATTCTGCCCTGCAGGGTTGTCAAGTCTGCTTCAATCAATCTTTTCAGCTCGTCATCTTTTTTATTCTAATCCTCTGAAAAAAACAACAACAACTAAACAGACACACACGAGTGAGCAAAAGACCAGAGGAGCGTTTATCTGCTGATAAGTGAGACTTTTTCATCAGGAGAGTGTGGAGACCAAAACTGAGCTACTGCGGCTTTGTGTTTGTTGAGGGGTAAACCATGAAACGAGCTCAGCACACACCACACGAACTTTCTTTGGATGAGCTAAGCTTGACAAGGCCCATAGCTTCAGTTAGAGATATCTGTTACCACAAAGCTGTTGCAGAAGCTGTCACTTTGACACTTCTCATTCATATTAAGGAACCATCACTGACTTCCTGCATCAGCCAGACTGATACAGAGAACAGAGGTACTGAATATACAATACATGTTATTGTTAATGTAGCCCTCAGGCCCCCCTTTCCAAAATGACAGCAGAAAAACCCATCTGAAATGTACACAGGAGGGCCTAAGGGTTAAAAAAAAAAAGGGATGAGGGAGACCGATTAAATTTTTTGCCATCCTAATCGGCAGGATACCCCACCTCCAACACTTTCAGGCCACTTTTTAACATAAACTCTGTTATGAAGTGAAGACTAATGCAGTTTCATTCAGCTTTTATTAATTTGATCAATTAATGAGTTAATTCATTTGATCAAATACAAAAAACAAAAATAACTGTCTTATTAGCATCATGCAAAGGAAGGCCTAACCATACAGGACAGATTGATCGTTATTCATGACTAAAAATTTCAATTTGGTTGAATTAAAAGCACATAGGCACCACAATACATGATGACTCAGATGTTGATGATGGCAGACAACCAGATTATGAGTGTAGTAAGTCACCATGGCGATCTGGACAGGTTTAACGAGAGCTGACTTAGTGACACAGAGAACTCAGGGTTTAGGCTCAACAGACTCAGTTCATCCTCTGATCTCATTTTATGATACGTCCCTGTGGATAAGCATCAGATGACACACTAACCAAAATGATTTTATAGCACAGTTGTGGAATTATGACGTTTACCAGTTCAGAGGGGAAACATGCCAGACCCCTCTAAGTGTTTTGATCTGATTTGATTTGACTTGTTTTTACCAGCCTAGAGAAGTATCACCATTATAAAAAGTTCTTGGCCAACCAGAAACAAGAATTTAACAAAGGTGGTTTGTAAGTAATCATTAAAAAATGTCAGCATTGTGTTTCTTACTGATCCTTTTCTGCATTAAAGTTTAAATAGTTTCCTAACATCTGAGCTCAAAGCAAACCAAACCCCTGGTATTTAACATCTTCTGTTATATCTGTTTTTTTGTGAACCTTATATAACCGCTGTCTTTGTTATCGAGGTCCTGATCTCATGTGTTTCCTCTCGTGTCTGTTATCATAACACCCTTTTTTTAAATTCACATCCTATCAAACCATCATGTTCACATACTAAAGGCTACATCTCTTCATATTCTGTCTTTCTTTTGCTCTTTTAAAAAGCACTGCAGGTTTTCACTTGGAGGAAAATAACACAGAAGCCAACAGAAAACCGGAGCACTTTCACATTTATCCAAAACACTTGGCATGTTTTACTTAATATAAAACCTCTGTCAGGTTTTAACAAACCTGTCTGAGTTACAAATTTGTACCTGCAAACAGAACTTGACTCAGAGGCTGCATTACTTTTTCACAGGATGTCTCTTCAGTACTTACAAAGAGGCTGTGACAACTTGATCTGGCTCCACACTTCTCTCCCCTTCTGAAGAACATTTTCAAACATCCTAACAGGACAGTGAGGAAACTAGACGAGGAGTTTTTGACTTTTTAATCTAGAGTGGAACTCCTGGATGCTGAAATCTGACTGGACGCTCTGCTTGAGATAAAACACTGCAGGCAGCGCAGCGACATGACAGTAATCCTAATGAGCCCTGTATTCATCGCTGAAGGCAACACACACAGCGACACGCTCGCACACACACACACACACACTCCTGGAACAGGCAGCAGATTGGTTTCAACACTAAAACAATGCTTCAATCTGTGAGCCCCGGTAATAAACATGTATTCAGCTAGTTAGCATGCATTTCTGCTTGTTCCTTTACTGAACATGAGCAAACCACAGCTGAGGCTTCATTGTATAGACAGGAGCCAGTCTGACGGCTCCGTGTCTGCATGTGAATGTGTAATGGTGTTCTTGACTACACAAACAAAACAACTCTCAGCTGTTTTTACAGAGCCAAGAAGCTTCCTCAAAGCAGCCCTCCTCACACAACCTCAGCTGGTTTTTACCTTGTTAACTTGCAGGAGTTTTCAGGGTTCACATTTTAATAGGCAGTCAATGATACAGTCAAAATGAAAATATGTTAATTATCTTGATACTAAGTGGCAGTGGTTCCTAGGTCCTTTCAGCTACATTATCAGACAAGTCCTTGGGAAACAACTTCCTCAAAGAAAATCTCTGATTCTTGACCCCCTGAAATCTAATGAAGTATTGTGTTAATTAGTTTATCTGACTGTGTCTGCAATTCAGTTCTGGAAATTAAAACACATTATTGTTTAAAAATATGATGTCTTAAACTGAAAATGATGTTGATATATTTTGATAAACATAAAAAAGTCAAAGTCCTGTAATTAAATTCCTCATTATTATCTTTACATCCTCTGTCTGTGGCTTTGACTTCGTCCAGGAAGTTTACCTCTTGGGTGTTTCTCCGATCACAGAGAAAGAGCTCATCTTGAACTTAGAGTCTAAAACAAAACAAAGGCGTTTGTTTAAAATGGTTGCACTAAGTCGAGTCAAAACTGAATCCAATTTTTGGGGAAATGTTGTTCTGACTCAGCTGATAGATCTTCCTCTCTAACTCCAGAGGAACACCACAGGCGTGTGATCCGAATGTGACTTATTTTGGCAAAACAAGTGCCTTTTTGAGTTTGAAAGCCCCTTTAAGCCATACGACAGAATCCAGGTCTGTGTTTGGCAGGTTGGCCGAGGACGAACAGTGATATGATAAAGCCTGTATTACTCACGGCCTTCACACTGAGACGACGGTTGCAGGGCTAAAGCTTATCAGACAGCAGCCAGGCAGGCATAACAAGCAGGGTGTCTTCCTGTGATCTCAGTCACTCTCTGCACAATTTCTTCAGGCTGTTTATGTGTGTGTGAGTAAGAGTGTGTGTCTGCACAGGTGTTTGTCTATGAGTCTGAGTGTGAGCCTGAGGTATAAACTAGCGGATTAATAGAGTGTAAGTCACTTCTGAAACTCGGAGAAAGCACTCAGATGAAGGTCACAGACGTTTAAACAAAAGCCTGATGAGGCGTTCACTGACTTGGCTGGCTGTATGAGTTTGATTGGTATTTCTCTGGTTTTAATGCTCTGCGGGAGCAGATTAGGGGCAGCTTAGATGATTTTGCTCAATTTTCACTCAATTTGACTCTTTCAAGGGTCACTGAAGGTTTGAGGTTCAAACTTTAATCAACTGGAAAGAACAGACTCATATCAACCAGAAATGGTTATAATTTCACATCGTTCTTAATACAGAATATTGCTTAACCATGGACTGACAATATATAATATTAGATTTTTAATAGGGCTAGGACAATATGCTTATCTACTGATTCAATTTAAATTGAGATTCTACAATATTGTCGATTTTCTTGATTTTTAGTCTGCATTTCTAACACCAGTGAAACAGTTGAATGATTATGATTGTCTACTGACTATTCCAGGAGCCATATGTCCCTGAAAAATACACATCACATGAAAGTCAGTTTTTAAGATTTATTCTTAAATTTGAAAAAATAAAAAAATAAAAAAACAAATTTTGAACATGAAAATCTGTTTAAAAATTGTAAAACAAAAAATTGCGATCCTTCTGTGAATCCGTTTTTTCTACCACCCCTAATATTTAATCTATATTTTATAAGCAGTTTCAAGTAATTCCTGTCAAGTGTTGTGTATGTGCAGATCAAAGTAGTCCTAGCAGACGAATGAAAAAGAGGGAACTACTTAACAGCAACCCCTCGGTCTTGAGAAATTAAGCAAATGTGAAAGAGCCAAAAACTGTCGTGCCCTGAGTTGCTGCTTGAGGCTGGCTGTGTAACTAAACCCAAAAAAGCAGATTTTATGGCAAAAATAAACACATTCATAGCCTGATTCAAGAAATGTTTTTTGGTTTGAGTGGCTCAGAGCTTCCACAGCACCCTCAGTTTTTTGTGATGCATTAGTTTCCAAGTTATTAAAGCTACAAGATTTGTGAACCGGAGGCACGGCTGACTTTTCTGACGGGAGTTGTGAGGAGGCTCAAGTCCCACTGAGATGTCTAGCCTGGCTAAACAAAGGTCAAATAAAATATATAAAATAACACGACAAAAAAAACTGTTGAAACTGCTCTGGGATAGTTATGCCTCTGTAGGCTTGTATTTAGTAGAAAGGTGGTGCATCGTTCAAAGGGATGATTTTCAGAAGTCTTCCATTCTTGAAAATAAGATTTTTTTTAATCGCTACATCTCAGGTAAACAATTAGGAAATCTGAAAAAATCTGTGATGCAATATTCAGTATTTTTTTAATGTATTTTGGTTTGTTCAAATACACTATGGCTTTATACTGCAAGTTATCTCCCTCCTCTTCATACTTGTTTTCAAGCCAGTGTTGAACCAGTTTTAAGCTCTTGAAGAAACCCCAGTTCTGTCTGAGTTTGGACTGAACTTGAATTTATTTGGTTTGAGTAATAATCTGAAAGTAAGGTCACTACATCTTTGCCTTTTCACCATCATTCGTGTTTAATTATAGTTATGTTAAACTGAGTTTGTAAAATCTAAAATTCATCTTCTCTAATGTTAGCAGTCAAACCAAAGTGCCTGAACACAGCTGGCATCATTTAGAGGACATAATGTTGCGGATTTTGTTCTTTCTCAGGCCTGCGGTGCAGATTAGCTGCACTGATATCGAGCTGCAGATTTGTACTTTCAAGTGCACCTCGAGAAAAAAAAAGATGCTTTTGCTTAATTCGCCTGGCAACAGTGTGTGTTTCCGCAGAGGCTGAAGACTAAAGCAGGATTTATATCTTCTCTGCAGCGAGTCATTTTGAAGTTCTGCTGTTATTTCCCCGTTCTAACACTCACAGACATGCTGTAATAAAAGAGGAGAGAACTTCTAACATACACAGAGACAGCAGAGCAAACAATCAGACATGCAGGAAGCATTTCCATTGTCACATGTGTGGAGTGTTTCACTGAAACAAATGACCCTATTAGGACGATTACATCAGTAAGTAGGACAGAGAGTCTAATCAGGTTCAAACATCCAGCTATTTTCTTAATTAGAACCATCTCCAATCCCCGATCCTGTCCGGCGCCATCCTGTGAAGTAAGTCCACACCCGGCTATCCTGGACCATGCAGCAACATGACCGACAGACTTTATTCTTCAAATATTTCTTCAATTCCCCCCAAAAAGTTAAACACACGAGCACAACAGACAGGATTGTAAAAAAAACATCTCCTGACTGCACTTAAGAATCTGGAAATGTAGCAGCGAGGTGCATACTGAGTCATCAAATCATGTCATTGAAATGTCTGGAATAAATCCCAAATCAAACCATTCCACCTGTGAAGATGATGCAAATCAAGCTGTGAGCTCTGAAACTGCAGCCTACATGTCTTGTGGGAAGAAATCGAACCACAACACACCTCTCTTCTTATCGGCCCCTCTTTTTTTCTCCTACTCCTCCTTTTCTTTCTTTAGCTTCCGAACAATGACTTGTTTTTGTTGCAGTGGTCACCTCACTACATCCTCCCAATGCAAGGTACACGGCGTGCATACATCTTGGCAGCGTATTGACAAACACAAACACTCCCAATTCCACCCTGAATCTTTCTTTTCCTCTGCCAGCCTCACACACAGATGTGTTTTAAGATGCTATGAATGCTCAATCTTCCCTTTGCAGCAGAGCTCTCCTCCTGTCTCTTTTCACTTCTTTTCACCTCAATCTGCTCCTCTCATCCTCACCGTAGACCAATCTGCCTCTCTCTCTCTACTCTATATCTTCTTTTTTTTGCTTCTTACTCTCATCCAAATCCTCACTCTGAGCCCCCCCAGGCTGAGTCTTTCAGCCCCTCCTCTCCATGTTTGCTTTTTATCTCCTTCTCTCACTCGGCTCCTCTGCCTTCTCACTCACTCCGGCTGTCTCAAGAGGTATTTGTACATGGAGCTCTTATGGATGATGACTTCAAAACTAGGCAGATGGAGAGAGGAGGGGGGACACTTTAAAGAGATACCAAGAAGACAGGTGAACAAAGTGAAGGAGCCTCAGTGGCCAAGCACCGACACCTTTAGAGTTAGCATTGAAAGCTTTCATCTTTCAGCTGAAATGACGACATATGAAGAAGATAACGAGGCCGAACATCAGCTGCTTTTCCTTTTCTTCAAATCACTGTTGCTGTGTTTCTCTCAGCCATGGACCAAGTCTGATCAGAAGCACACTTTTTTCTTGAACTGTTAAAAACTTCTGCCAACAATATCAAAGTATCACATCTACCTCATATGAAACAGACAAAGGGCGTTAACAGTGTCTTGTTTGGAGGAACAAAAATCCATATTTTGAATTTAAAGCAGTGAAGAAAGAGAAATATTTGTAGTCATATTTGTAGATCTGTGAGAAAACGATTAGCCAAACATCAGGATTCTTCTTTATTATAACTGTATAAAAAAAGTAATTGGTTATAACACCTAGGGCTGGGCGATATGGCCTCAAATCAATATCACGATAACCTTAATAATGATAAATGGACAATAACTACTCCACAAGCTGCTCAACCCCTCCCACATTAACTTTGTCTACTTCAGCCGCCGCTCCAGCTGCTCCAACTTTTGAACCGTCCTCCATCTCCTCACCTGTCTTTCCCGCTTTGTTACGGACTGGATGGGGTGGAGTCACGTCTCATGAGACCATAGCCTACCTACACACATCCCAAACCAACTTGTATTTATTTATTTTTTTGACACCAAATATACTGACATGGGCAAAATGACGTTGGGTATTGTCGTAAATTTCGGTATCTGTAAATTTTCAGTTTATCGCCCATCTCTAATAACACCATAACTTTATTTTGTAATACAAACAATGTTTGGTCTCCATGAATCTGTATTCACTAGTCATACAGGAGCAGTCAAACTTTAACACCTGACATTCTCTAGACAATTTCAGGACATGCAGACCCCCAAAGTTTCAACATATTTTTCACCCATGCACTCCAGTGGAAGATCATCAATTCAAGACGCGCTCTCACGACTAGAAATACGCTGACTAGGCAGAATTGGTGGCTGTGTAATGCTTGCAGAAGGAAAAACAGTCCTCTGTTACAGTGACTGTATTTGACTTTATATTCTTGCATCATGCACAGGGCAGTTTCCACAACAACAACACGATGACACCTGAAGTGAGCCGAGTACAAAACAGTGAAACTCCGCTCAGCATAAATGACTTCAATACTCGCCCACTCACTCCGGTGAATGTTTCAGACTTAACCCGCTGAGTTTACTCATAAGCTCAGACTTCACGCTAACTTCTTTGTAAAAAGGGGAAAAGTCAGGATCATTTTCAGGTAAACAGATTTTGGACAATGTAAGCAATTTTTTTTTCAGGAAAAGAACCTGCACCAGGTCCTTTCAGAGGAAATGCACGTGTTCTGGACAATAGTTTGAAAAGCAACGTCAGCACTGCGACAAACTCTTTAAAACAACCAAACAAAAGGAGGCATCAGCTTTTGGCACAATGTGGAATTGAAGTAATGCCACAGTTACTTGACTCAGACTGTTTGGAACTGCAGTAGAAGCAATGGCTGCTTAGTAATCATGGTTTTTCAGCACTTCTCGAAGTTATTGTTTGGTGGTTTGAGATTGTCTTTAAATCTCCGACAAGAAGTTAAAAAGCTGGGGCTAACAAAAAAAACTTGTGGGGTCTAATAATCAAAATTGGCCATAAATGGACTGTGTGTTTAGCATCTTCTATAAACATCAATAACATGTTCACACACTGATGATAGAGGCTATTATGTAGAGGACCATCAGTTTTATGATCACAGTCATATGTTGGGGTCAAGTGTCTCGCCAAATGACACTTGCCATGTGGAACTCAAGACCCAAGATTGAACCATTGACCATCAATACAGTTGTGAGGATTATTTCTGCTGCTAGATTGACTTAAACCATCATGTCAACTGAGACCCGTTCAGATAACAGAGCCTGTGTGATGTTGTTGAGATTAGGAGAGTCTTTCTTCAGTGTGAGATAGGAGATGTCTCCTCCACCTTTGTGACAAAAGGTGGATGTCAGAACTCTGGTTTCCTCATTAGCAGGTACAGGTAGGATAATGGGGACTCGTCCTTGGCCTCAAAATAACAATGACTGCATGTGACATTGGAGCTGTCCCTGGCTGCGGGCCAAGGGATGGACAAGGCAGGACCATGTGGGAGAAAAAAGAGCGCCGGTGCTCACGCTGCAGAATATGAAGTATCAATTTTCCCCCGACTGATTTTCTGTCTTGTCTTCATCACAATAATTTGTCCCGCTAAATCTGCCTCCTTCATCTCTCTCTGTATCCCTATTTTCTTGCCAAGTAGACTAATCTTCGGTTCATTGGAGGTTAGTTAATAATTTGAAAGCAGAGAAATCACGAAAGATCTTTGGTATCTATTAAAAATTGGGGTCAAATGAGGGAAATTGTGCAGTCTGTCATTCACTGAGGTAACAATCATGAACCAGAGCCAGCGTTGAGTCCCTTTCATCCTTGTTCGATGCAGACTGCTCCTCCATTCAGCCACAGACTGGTTGTCTAACTGGCTGAATTGAGCATTGTCAAGAGGAGGATTACTAATTATGAATGAGCGAGTGGTGGTGATGAATATAGTGGAGTGAATAGCAGCCTTTGTGCAGCAAACAGACCTCGTTGTTGAGTAGTGGGCAACTGCCAAAGTTTGGGATTTTTCTGATTTACACACAGAACAAAGAGGCATGGATTACACACAGACACAATGCTGACACATGCAAATAGACATTTTTAAGTTTAATGGGGCAGTTTGAGGTCACTGCAAAACATCAGTACTTTCAACATTTCTGAATCGCTTTAGAAAATTTCACTTCAGATGGAGTTGATCAAAAGTAATAAAGCAGAGTAGGGCTGTCACTTTCTATCAGAAATTCCACTCTTCATTTGAAGTTGGAGGAGATGATACTCGAACTGGAGAAGTCATAAGAATTCAAACCAAACCGTCTATCAGTGTATCAGGCTGTCTGATCCAGAGAAGGCATTCTCATCGCTAACCGACCGCTGAATGCTCTCTTGACCACTGCGGATTAAAGCTGAAAACATACACGATCTGTATTGAGCGCGTTCCATATTTGCTCCACAAAGCAGCATTGGTTATCGCACACAGGATGCATATTTGGAGCGTAACAGCATAGTGCAGCTCTGGTAAACTGAGCTCAGTACAGAGGAAACAACAGGTTGTTTAGCCTTTCTGTGGTCTACTTCCTGCTAATTTGGACATAATTCAGTGACCGTTGAGCCTCTACAGTATGTGAAAAAGCAACATGATTTTACAGTTTTAGTTTTTGCAGGTTTACTCGTGTTTAATAAAGTAAACTATGTTCCTTTATGCTGTGCTGTTACCTTCAGACAGAGTTAGCAGTTAAAAGTCCTGTTTGGATCAGGGATTGATCACCGGATTGTTTTGTGTTACTGATAAATCCATAACCAGGAAGTACTTCTCATCTACATGAACTGATACACAGTCGGGAGTTTGCATATGGTGTTTTATTTTGAAATACCAGATGACATGAGCGGTTTTCATGCTTGACTTCCTGTCTAAAACTATCTTCTCTGTGTGGATTGACGCGCATTGGAAACGTAGAGCAGCAAAAATAGACTTGTTACTTATCTTTAGCAGTGCTGCTCTCGATACTGTGCTGACACAGAGGTGATACGCGACCTTTATGCTTTGCTGCATTGATTGGAATGGCAACCTATTTGCTTCGTGATACGGGATGCTCCAAATAGGCATCCTGTATGTTACAGCCTTAACACAGTAAAGATGGAGAATGTATTTATGTAAACAGACAAACCACTGCATTAACACATGAGGAAGTATTTTGGATTATACATCACAAAGAGCAAACTAAAAGCCAAAAGGTGGTAAGATGACCTTGTGCAAAGCCCAATATTGGCATGCCATATCTAATATTTGTTCAAACTTCCTTATTTGAAAAGGTGACAGCCTGAGTCGTTTGTGTGTTCACTTTGTGTTGGAAGGAAAACTGCTCAAACATTTGTCAGTTTGCTGTCAAACTGAAAACAAGCATCCAGTCTAGCTTTGCACAAGACCTTGAGACAAATAGGAAAGGCTACTCATGTGCATCGAACATATTACTTACATTTGAAAGGTGCTGGTGGATAGATTTTATTACCTCCAGAAAATGCCACCTTTAACTACTGTTTTTAGTTTGACAAGCTAGAGTCACCGTGACGTGAGCACATGGTCTCAAAGAGCGGTATCACTCATCTCATTTCACCCTGCAAAGTACCGAAAACACAACATAAATGCTTTCCCCTAACAGTTTGAGAAGGGGCTGCTGGACTTAAAGTGCAAATGCTATCACTCGGTTACAAATATTCTTCCTGTGCTGAATGCTCACAGGGTCATTTGAAGGCACAAACAACTGCGGCGTTCAGAGAAAACAGACTCATACATTTTTAAGGAGCTCTAACAGAAGGCATTACTGTCTAATATAGGCCTGTTACTGCGCATCTGTCTGAATGTTCCAGGCTAAACCAGAGCAGACTTAGTTCTTGGAAAGAAATCATCACCCAGTTTTTCACAGGAGGTTTACAGAATTAGGGGAAAACAGAGAGATTAGACAGCTGAGATCAGAGGTCAGTTATGACTATACTGCTCTTGAGATTTTTCCGGTTACCATTTAGCAAATTGGCTATTTGTAATCCAATCAGACACAAATGACGAGCAGTGAGTCAGTAAGTCTGGTGTTGGTGGACTAACCACTCTGTTTGATGGTTCCAGTTTTCTATTTCTGCACAGGAAAGAAGGAAGGGAGGCTTCGAATAAGATCAATACACAGAGGAACCAGCAGTTATTGTACATCTCAAAACCAACCCTTCCATTTCCTTCCTGTTTAGTGACAAGCAGAGGGAGATATCTTTCATGACGTGATTGGCTTTGCTTTCTTGTGTGGTTTGGTAAAGAAGCTCGAGGAAGATCTATTCAAAAATTCCTTCCCATTTATTTGCCTCTCTAGTTTCCTCAGAGGACAGCCAGAAAGGTCAGAAAAAAAATGTAATACACGCAGTGAATAAGAACTAAGTTTAAAAGTCAATTACGCAGCATTAGCAAATATTACGGCTGAAGTGCTTTGGAGAGTTTAACACTCTTGGTTTTTTTTAAAAAGTGGCTGACATTAAAAAAAGATTTAGAAAATTCCCCACAAACAGAGCAACTGAAGCAATGTCACAATCTTCCAAGTTGCTGCATCTTTAACTTCTAGAGCTTTAAAAATGCAAACTAATTATTTCCCTCTGTGAGTGGAGACGATCAAACTCAAAGAGATCCAAACAAACGACAAGCTGTTGAGTCTAATCCCTTGATAAACACAGATCTGGAGGAAAGTGGAAACCTAATGGTATTTCACTCAATTGCAAAAAGGGGATGGAGCAGCAATGGCGATGTGGTTTTATTTTCTCTGACAGCCAATTTCTTCAGGCAGAAACTGCACAATTGCAGCCTCCCCACAGCACTTTGCTGAGGCGAATGGGTAAGAGTTTAAGCTACTGCAAGAAAAACAGAGCAGCAGAATTATCCTTTGGCCAAAACGACAAAAGATTTGCATGTTTTTCCAGATATCACAAAAGGTTTATCTTCTTTGGTATGAGATAATGTGGAATGAACAACAAAAAATAAAAACAAGAGTGAGAAGAAAAGAAGAAAGGCAGAGGAAATTTATGAAAAGGAGGCTCAGTAAAAGCCTGGATTTCACTGCTGTAGACTTTCATCAGTCAACACTGACAATGTGCAAATACATCAGCTGGAACAGAATGTCCCCTCATGGCTGTGGAGAGGCTTTCACTCCACTCAGTTTTTAGTCATGACGGGGAAAGGATCTAACTCGACTTCTCAAACAAAGGAACAAAGCATATGACAAAAATATACTGTTGTTTAGCAGTCAAAAGCACTGCAGTACTACGAACACCGTCCAGACGCTTCAATCTCTTTGACGCTGAAAGAAAGCAGAACGGATGGAGCAGCTAAAGGTCTCAAAAGGTACTAGTGTCAGGCTGAAATCACAAGAAATCAAGTATACTTCAGTCAGATAGTGAAAAAAGGTCAAAATTTTCATGCAAACTATTAGAGAATATACTAAAACTGTGATATCCTTACTTTCACACCATGAATTAGCCACACTCAGGCAAACACTCAGCAGCTAAAGGTCCTCAGATTCCTGTATATGCTGATGATGCAGTATCATTTATAGATCCAAATCTGATAATTCCACAAGACCAACAAATTTGTCATGGTCTACGATGTTTTTTTGGGACAGATAAAACGACTTTTACATGACTTTCAATTATTTTTGTCCCTGCTCTTCAATAAGCCAAGAATCTATGAGGTATGACAGCCTGTGTCTACATCTAACAGTGTCTTTGTGCTGGCAGTACCTGTGACTTTAATTTCACACTGCTGCTTACAAAAAAAGTGTCCTGCAGCACTTGTTCTTTCCTCAGACATAAGAATCTATTTTCCTTTTCTTTCTTTATGTTTCATATTTGCTTTTTCTACAAAGCCTGAAAAAACCTGATAGAAATTGCGTTGCAGCATTATGAGCAGCTCTAAACATGTGAGGTTAGTTTCTCGTCTACCTGGACCTCTGCCATTGCTTTAACAGATATGAGCTCCTTTCCTCTCTTGATTTTGATTGGTTGGTGATGGAGAGGTGGCACTGACAAGCAAAGGAAACCAAAGCATTTATAGAAAAAAGGTGCTGTCAGTGCAAAAACAAATAAACCTCTGTTAGTGAACACAAGCTCTTAGGTGTAAAAGTGAAAAACTGAACAATTTTGTACGTTCAATATATTGCAGGGGTTTCATGCGTCTTTCATACTTGCTGTAAAGGCCCAGAGTGGATGTTTCGGCTCTTGGCTCCACAGCTGTTTTTGAAGGTTAATGGCACAGGCAGTGCAGAACGTCCAACAAAGACTTGTAAACAAAGCATTGTCACAGTGACAAATGTTGCCTCTGGCAGGCTTAACAGTTAAGAGGTTATTCCCCCTAATCTATCTCGCTGCAGTAAAGAAAACTGATTATAGAGAATTTCCAAAAATAAACAGATGCTTAATTTTTAAAGATACACTGACGGGGCATCTCAGGGGGGGAAAACCCTCAGTCAAGCTCTTTTCTGTCATCTACAGCTGTGAGCTTTATGCCAATGACTGAGCAGAAAGTGTTATTTGTCCTTTTGTAACTCCATCTATTCATGCATTCGCAGATGAAAGCTGGAGGCTGATCAGCATTTCAGTTTCTCATGTGCTTTACACCACTACCAATCCAGATTAACACGGAGATCCACGCAGGACAAATGTGAACGTTAAACAAGACTCCCGAGCTATGAAGTCATCATTGGAGGCAGCAGGAGTGCATTGCGGTATTTTCTCGTTCCTTGAACAAGCAGATTATGCTGCTTTCTACCAGGGTTTAACTTTGCCTTTCTGCCTGCTACAGAGGATAATGAGGGAAAGCTGAGGAGGATTGATGGCACCTTTGCTCAAACCAAACAAATGAAGTACAGCAGCTACAAAAAAGAGTCACAGGAGAGCTTTGAGAGGAAAACAAGAGTTATAGAGAGGACAGAGACCAACATAAAAGGCCGATTGTGATTTAAAAATCCCTTGCCTCTCATAAATGGTCCTGTGCTTGCTCTGAAATGGATAATACACCTAGTTATTAAGTTTCTCCCCTTATGTGTGGTATGTTACACTTTTACAGCCCTTTAGCCTCCTCTGGAGTCCATGGAGTGGCTAATGTGGAGCAATTCCCCAAGACTGAGGCTAAAAACAGCATTCCTTGCCCTGGTCATTGTATTACTCCTGGTTCTGCTTGGCAACTACTACACAGAAAAAAAGAGAGAAAAAGAGAGAGATCCAGGCTTGGTCAGCACAGTCACTCGGAATAAAGGACAAAGTAATCAAACACACTTCATTCTACTTTTCCATCAAGGTTGCAGTATCAGTTACGCGCAGGAGGAAGCCGGTTATTGACTCTGCTTTGATCACACAGAAAAAGAGCCTAAACTCCCCGATAAGATCTCTGTAGCATGTTGTTTCTTCCACACAGAGCAGGAGACGGGCAACACCAGCAGCTCCTTCTCTCTGCGTGTGCTTGGAATGCATTAAGCTCTGAAGTGTGCATTATCATTTTCTGCTTACGGTTTGATAATCGTCACGCCTCTATAAATGGAAAAGTGTGAATTTCCTGAGAGCATGAATGGGGATTTAGAAGCTGGTTGGCTGGAAGCAAAGAGGCATTATGGGTGATATGATTAAACCATTAAAAACCTGGGGAATCTAGGGCGAGAGAATCACCACTGGCAGACAGATGGTTTATCACAACTCAGGGAAAGACTTTGTAACTTTCTTAAAAACACCCCATTTTAATGGCTCTGGAGAAGGTTATGTACACTGCAGGTAAACAGAAGTCCTGTCCCCTAAAGGGTGCCTATTAGCAAATGTGGGGTTATCTCAAAATTTACAAACTAAACAAGCCTCAGGCTACAAAAAAGTTACTGGGTTGTTGGTCTGAGGGTGTGATCACACTGATCCGGCACTAAACGGATACAAATTTAGCAGAGCGCACTGCTCTCAGTTTGTTTAGGGCTTATCTGATGTATAGCTGTGCTGTTTACACATAATAGTGACAGCTGTCCAACATGTTCATCATTGACAAAAATGTGCTTCATGACAGATTAACTTTTGCTTGAACATAGGAACAAATCTGCAAAGAAAAGAGAAGTATCATCAGCATATTGAAATTAAGAACATCTATGAAACAACAGAGCAGTGTGGCCTCACCTTTTCAATGTCAACTTAGGGGAACTAGCTTTTCAAAGAGGCATTTCTTAAAAAATAAATTCTGATTTGCATTTTGTGGCCTCAACCTTTGGTACGAGCATTAATAAGAAAACGCAGTAATATCCGTATTTAATAAGAAGAGAAGTTATCAGATTTATTTTTAATAAGATAACGTGAGGTCAAGGATCGTTGTCTTGAATTGAAAGATGAAGCTCATGCAGATGTGAAACATGCTTTTCCTTGAGTTTAAACTTGGGTATACAATTTTTCTCAATGCTAAAATTCCCCTTTTTTACAGCAGAAATTATGCAAATAATTGTTCTGAAATTGATAGCTCGTTCCTCTATTCATGGCAACTGTACAGGGAGTTGATTTTCTTGCAATATATCCATTTTGATCACATTGAGGACAAAAGCTATGCATACATTTGCATAATCGGGGTCATGGCTGGGTTGACTGAGAAGTGGGCACATTGTAGCTGAAAGCATCAGCTCCACCTCTTCCTCTTCATCTCCCCCACCTCTTTGTCACAAGATAACCACCATCATTGACGGCTCTAATACTAAAACTGAATCTATGACGAGTTATGACTGAAAAATCCTTTCCAAACAGGAACTCCAGAAATTTTTAAGATGATTTCAGAGATTTTTAGCCCTGGCAGCAGAAAACTGAATGTCAGACACACTCTCCCAACACTGTGGGAGCCCAACTAGGAAGCACATCCAGGAGAAGAAAGTAACCTGGTGTCAGAGTGATATAAAAATTTGGCATAGGGCTGATATCAAAACATTACTTTGAGTGAATATTAACACCTTGCATTTGGTTGACATCAAAACCTTACAACTGGTTAGTATCAACACCTTAAGATGGATCAACATGAGAACACCTTACTTTGAGTAAATACCAACACTGTACACTGGGTTGACATCAACACCTCCCATTAGATTGATGTCAACACTTTTCATTGGGTAAATATGAACATCTTAAATCAAGCTGACATCAACACTGTACACTGGGTTTTGGCTCACGCCTGGTATAGTTTTGATGTAGAAACCTGATGTTGTCTTTGTGTCAAACATTGGGCTCACATCAAAACCTGACGATTGGTCCAATTCAAACCCTGACTCTGCAGAAACCACAGTAGAAAACAACTTGTAAACAACCCAAGTGAGTAGCAGAGAGCAAAGCAGAGAAACTCTCAACATGCACAACCTCATCACCCAGCCCATTATACCATTTAAATCTTGTTGAACTGATGCAAACCCATTACTCCCAGGAATATGACATGACATGATATGACATTCTTTTGGGGCCTTTTTTTAGCAAATTTCATTGATCTGTACTTGTGACATGTGCAATGACAATAAACGCAATCTGTAATCTTTTCTGCAAAGGTTTTCAGAAAGATAAAGTCACACCCACTTATCCTGGAAATATAATATGAAATACACACTGCAAACTTACACTGACAGAATAATCTTACAAAAACTAAAAATAATCACAGCCCTTACTGCAGTTTATTATCAGCTAAACAGCTGAGTTTTTGACTGTTATGATCCCAATTTTAGGGTAAATTACCTCTAACAGATCTATGTTTTCACAGTGCAGAGGAGGCCACTTAATTTTTATGATTCGCCTGATGGTCTGCTTAATTCCACCATAAAATGTCGCCCCTCATCAACACCTAATCCCCTGAAGCAATCTGTCTTCTGTGCATTAACCGATCAGGTGAGGTTAATCAAACGCCAACGTAACCAGCAGCAAGGTCACCCTACATGGCAACGATTTTCCTCGATCGCTAATGCAGCTAATGTGCAGCTCAGCACTTACTGGAGAGGAGGAAGAGAACGGGAAATATATCTCTGTGGAGCGAGCAGTGAACAGGAGCGAGATGGGGAAAGAGATGCAAAGAGAGGCATTAAGTTTGGAGTCATTAGGCTCAACACACTGCTGTCATTATATCAGGCTGCATCAAATTCATTTATGAAGCTGTAGGAGGGCGCAAAACCAATGACTCCGTCTGCTGCCGAGAAAAGCAGCTCTTCTTCAGGGAAGTTCAGCGTGATGCATTTTCCCCTCGATGCAGCCGTGCCTCACACTGCTGTATTTAAAGCAACCTGTGTGACACCGAACCTGTCTAAATCTGTCTGAGGCAAAGCTGAGGTATTCTGCTTGCTTAAGAGGCAGTGAGAGCTTGAGAGCAGAGGCCCGGCCAAAAGTCTGTAGATGAGTGCACATCCCTGCTTAATACAGTTTTCTCATGCATTTTGCAGACTGTAAAGTGCAGGCATTAATGCCAAGCATCATAGATGGAGTTAAATAAGTTTGCATGGCTGAAAATGGGCTCTTCAGATCCCTGCACCCATTCAGAAAAGACCTTTGCTGTCTAGATCAAAACACAGGTGCAAAAAGGATTTCAACTTAACATTTTAGTTCTGCTTCATTTGCCCAGTACTCACTCACACTTCATACAGCCAACCCCATCTTATATTGTGTTATAGCTATAAAAGCAAAGACTGGTATACAGTGAAGACCATCTATTATTGGCTTGACAAAACCTTAAATTCCTACATGTTCTGAATTCAAGAGTCACAGCTGTTGTGAAGAGCACAGGTGCTTCAGGCTTCAATACATTATTTACTCAAGTATATTGAACACTGTCCTTAGTGGAGGAAATATCGCAGCTGTTTCCAACACCTACGCCCCCTCAAGCCAGAGCTTTGGAAAAATTTTTACCTCCTTCCAATACCTCGACTTTTGTACTGAGCAATGCAGAAATGAAAATACTAGTAGGATGGAAAATCAGGTTGATTCCAGTAAGGGCCATCGAAATATACAGATAATGATGAAACTGTCTTTTTTTTAAATTGAATTATTGGATATTAATCATTTGCTAGGTGCCAGCAGTAAAATAATAGGGAAAATTTAAAAAATGGGACAAGACGTAGATCAAAAACAGCCACTGACATCAGTGCACAACACAATATTCACCTATGGGTCCATGTCGGCCATCAGGACAACTATTAGTAGATGCTGATGTTAAACCAATAAATCCATACATCCCTGGGAAAACAATGATTGCCAGCGTTTTCCTGTCTTTGACTAGCATTACTCTCTCTGCTGGCAGCATGCAGTTGCTTTTAGGGGGGCTGATTTTAGGTTATGGTATCAGGGGTGGTGCATTGACTGGAGTATTTGCAAATATCCCACATTTTTAAAAGGATCAGGGGCAGTTTTGGGTTGGTATCAACATGGGAACAACTTTAGTCAGAGAGAGCATAAATCAAACAGATTTTTGAGATTTTATCCAGACTCAAAATTTCATGAGTCTTTTTCCAAAGTGCAAACGAATCCAACTGTGTATCCTAACAAATGTCCTACATCCTAAACCTGCACGCTGATTGGGCAACCACAAATTACATGACCTGATTTCTGTAACTGAGAATCTTATCAACACTGGCCTCAGAGGGGAGACAAACTAATTGGTGAGAGTTTTTTTGTAATGATGAGCGCTTAATTAATCTTTGAAATGCTAGCTTGTGAGTGTTTGAGCTACAAAGGAAACTAGCTGAGAGGATGAAAGTCATCCCGGTCTACTGTGGAGGGATTAGAGGAAATGTGGTGGAGGCATGGAGACAATGGAGCGATCCAAGCCTCCAGTGAGGAAAATCTCAACAGAAGAAATCACCCTGCCTTGCCGCTGGGCCGGCTGACTGACACAGACACGTGTGGGGGCGGTAAAGTGATATCATGCTAATCCCACTGAAGTCCCCAAACCCAATCCTTCACTCCATGAACCAGGCAAGAAAATACACAGGCAGAGACGGGACAGGAGGGTAAGGAGTCCCTGCTCTGCTCTTCTGATATACAGCCGACTTAAAACTCTGGAACTTTGCAACAAATTGTGATGGTTTTATGTTATCTGGGCTGCAAGTCATCTTCTGTATTATTGTTGAGGTTTTACCGTCCCTGAGGCTGTAGCTTAATCAGTTTCTGTCAGGCACAATTTTCTTTAAAAAGGGAGAGAAAAACAGGGTGGAGGCGTTACTTGAATTAGCAGCAATTTCACTCAAAGCAGGTGGTCCTGATGGGAGGACTACAAAGGCAATGCCCTCAACCCCCCATCCCCAAAAACCAATGAAGCAACAATATCTCTTTCTCTAAGGGTTTTCTTGTTTCTCCATTTAGTTATCTTTTTACTGAAGGCATTTTTGTTGGTTTTACACCCTTTCAAGAAAATCTATGCATTGCTTCTTTATTGCTTTGCACTTTCCTGTTTTACAGTCATATCATTAAAACCTGAGATCCTTACTAGCTTGTTTGGACTTTTCACAGTTCCATTCAAAACAAAAGCAGTAAAAAAATGTTTAAAAAACATCCCCCAGTTAAATGTGCAATTATCCTGAAGCAAATCAGTTGCACCAGACTTTGTTTGAGGCTCTGCAGCAGAGCACTGAAAGCTTTTTTTATGAATAATTTTAAGAGCAATGGTATTTGAAATTCTGCAGACGAACAGCTAATGAATTTACAGTTTATCCAATCTGCCTCTTTAAGAAAAATGGATGCAGATATTTTCTGGTTTTAAATGTCAAAGCCTATGCAAGACCTGTACAAAAAATAAAGTACCAAACTTCTGATTTAAAATCAGGAACTATCTGATCAAATAAGAAAACAGGACTCTGTCAAGGGTTATGATGACAGCTTCTAACATATGACATTTAAAAGCACCTAAAACTGCAGCAAAATTCTGTCAGTAACCAAAATGACTCAGTTTTGACACTCTGTTAATATTGTTGACCTCTGACCCCTTCTTCACAGGATTGGATTTTGGATTAATCTACACCTTTCTGACCTTTAACCCTCCTGCAATCCATTCAATGACCCAAGCAGTGCCAAACCCTCCACAGCATGACATCAGGCTGCTTTCTCAGCCAGCAGCAACCTGCTCAAGTTACCCCGACCAAGTGTGGAAAGAAGTGCTCATCCGCCGACAGCCCACTGCTCCACTGCATCACGCTGCAGCAGTGCACACACACACAGGGAGCAGGGAGTCTGTCTCTGCACCCCTCACTCAGGAAAACAAGCCCGGCTCGGCAGCTGAGGCTTTCTACTGGAGCTAATATTGTGGTCTATTCCAAAAATAGAACCAGAGCTATTCTTATAACTATGATGAGGTCTATTCAAATCCACTTTCACTGTTAAAGCGTAAACAACAAGCATGTTCAGTCTGCTTACCCTGTTTAAAAAGGGGAGACTAAATAAAACTACACAGCTCTTGGACATGAAAACCACACTACAGGGGATCCAGTCACTGGAACATTAATGCAAGAGCTTCTCTTGCTTATTATCTGATTGCAATCCCAAAAACCTGCACCTGCTGTATGGGACAGCATGGCAGCTCATTCTGAGGCATCAGACAGTCTGTAGTAGTCAGACAAGTGTAGAGATCCCTGGATGACATCATGAAGGTAATAAACAATCATTTACTTTGAGGAAAGATGGATGTATTCTGATTAGAGGGACTAAAAACCATCACAACCACCCAATACCCTCAAAAAACACTCGAAAAAAGCTGAAACAGTTACTACTGAAGCCCAAAGGAATACTGTGGAAATAGGCTAATATACAGTAACAAACAATAAGGTCAAACCCAGACACTGGCATGTGCCAGAAAGTAGCCATTTTTCCTAAGAGGGGATATAATATTAATAGTCTTTTTTTTTTTTTTAAATCGCCGCTGTAACAAAATGCAAGTAAAGACCAGCTATTGACGAGCCTGCGGGCTAATCAATTTGTAATTTCGGGACGCCCTCGTGCAGACAAAAGAACGGTGCCGCGAGGTGTGAGATGGTGCGGTGTTTGTCTCGCTTCCCAACATCACCTGTCCCTACTTCCTTCCTCCCAAAACCGCATCGTCCAAGGCGAAACAATCACCCTCGACTCACCAAGTACACCGGAGGAGGCTTGCGGCGGGGCAGCGCCCGACTCCGGCCTCTCTGCGTCCCCTTGCTGCGCTCGGTGTCGGTGCCGGGAGCTCTCACTGCCGTCGCCGGCGGTGGTCGCACCACTGGCGGCCGCCGCGGCCGCGGCTCCGGCGGCCCCCGTATCGGGCATGCTCTCTATCAGTGAGGAGCGACGGAAGGTGAAGATATTCTCCGGGAAATTGTGCAGAAGTATCGCATCTCAGAAGGGCAAAGCATGGGTGTAGGTGGCTGGGCAGCCGGCGAGGGTCAGAGTGAAGGGTTAAATTAGTGTGAAAGTGAAGTGAAGGTTGTCGGTGTCGGTGCGGCGGAGGATCATCCTGGTGGTGCTGCTGTGGAGGAGCAGGATGCGCGGTTAGAGGAGAGCGCTCCTCCGACGACTACAGAGGAGGGACAAAGACAGGGAAGGCGGGGGGAGGGGGCTGGCTGATACACAAACACACTCTCACACACTCACACTTTACGACTCTACAATACAATATGATTAATGAGTTTATTTTCCCTTAGCTGATCACCAAAACCGTGAGGATATCTCAAGAATTTTTTTACCAGATATGTGAAAATATACAATATGAAGATAGTCAGCTGTTAGTGCATACTTACCTTATTTAAAGGACACTTCAAGATTTTAAAACCACATTGGCAATTTTTCATAACAGAGGCCTACAGCATTTTTGCACACATAGAGGAAATCAAAATACCACACCACCCGAGAGTGATCCAGCAGACAGACTTCATATTTAGAGAGACATGGAGGAAGCTTGGCTGAATGGATCAGATCCACTCAAACAAAACGCATGGCTTACTCTAATAACATCAGACCTACCTGTGTGATTGCCAGAGTCCTGTTGATAGTTCCAGAGATGCAAACAACCACCTTTAATTTGTACACCTGGTCCTCTCTGCTGCAGGTCTCTAAAGCCAATGGTTTCTGCAGGTAGAGTCCTGTGTGAGTGTGACAGCACTTTCCTGTCCTGGAAGATTAAATAGGGTATGACTTATTTATTAATGCAAAAATATCCCCATGGATTAAATTTTTAGAGAGAGTCCACTCAGGTTTAGGGACAAGAGTCTTCTCCTCAGATCACTGGACACTCTTCAATACAGTCCAACAGCTATAACAACTGTTTTAATTTCATTACCTGCATGTCGATCATTTTATTACGAAAAATAAGGATTTATTTACAAAGAAAATAAGTCTGCTCATAGTTGTTTAATGTCTTGTAGTATGGATTGACATAGCTGCTTCTAGCCAAAGTATGCTTCAAACTAAACACACCTTTAGAGCAAACATGGTGCAGACTAGGTCAACCAGTCAAATATGTGTTTCTGTCACACATGTAAATAGAGGATATGCATGTGTGTTTAAAGAGGGAGGAGGTAGTTTGTTCATCACAATGAAGATTGAAACATTTGGAATAATCTTGAACCACATCAGGATAACAGCTTCTATACGCAAGAGAAAATGATGGTTGTGTGTTGGTGCTGCTCAACAGCTGCGAGGTGGCAGCTGTCATGCTCTGTGCACACAATGAGCCTTCAATAAATAATTGAGATCCCAGGTTAAAGATTGCTCCCAGGCCTCGGGCCATGTCTCCTCAGCATGTGCACAACAGATCTCCTTAGCTGGCCGTCTTGGAAGCCAAGTTTCACTGTACGACCATCAGCCGGAGCAGGCAGCCCTCCCCCTCCTACTACAGCAGCTCACAGCTCTGAAGTACCTCATCTGAGAACAGAAATTGTGCTTACTCACCACCCTCTGGCTTGACAGCTGCAAGGAGCTGCAGTGGGATACACACACACACACACACACACGCACGCACGCACGCACACACACACACACACACACACACACACACACGATGCATGTAGGGCATAAAGGGCCACAATGAGGCCACACAACCGGACACTAGGATATACAGTAAAACACAAAAACTTGTTTAGTACAGAGTAAAGCGAAATATAAACAGGAAATAACATAAACTAGTAGAGGTTATAGCTAACAGTATTGGCACTGAACAAGATGCTTTTTTTCTGTGAATGAGTGGACAAAGGTTATGAGAGCATGAATCCTGCAAATCACAGAAATCAATTCATTTCAGAAATTAATTCATTTCCTTTTGACATGTATAGCACGTGTCATACAAATGTTAACATGGGTCTTGGCTCACAAGAGGAAAAAAAAAGACATCATCTAAATACCAAAGCATTCGTTACTGGACTACAGAGCAAACTGTGTCTTTGTGGTTATTTTGGCATATAATTACTGAAGCAGTTTTACAAAGTAAGCCTCTTTGAAAGCAAATGAGCCCCACTGCTAAAAACACCTAATGCACTTGGTGTCGAGAGATAGAGTGAAGTTTGACCATCCGCCATAAGTCGATGGTAATAGTGCAGAAGAATCAAGACATCAACCCACCTCTGGATGACCAAGAAATAATCAATCTGTCCATAAAGTCTGTCAATATTACTCTGGTATTGCTATTTTTAAAAATATTTTTCTATCTTTTCTCGCTCTTTCAGCAAAGTTAGCTGGATATAAACTGTAAAATGTGTCTGTTATGGATCTAGCACAGGATAAAATGGTGAGCAGTTGTCCCTCTGCAATCAGCTGACCATTGTTATGTAGATAGGAATTAGCGTTGTCAGGATTAAGACTCATTTATGCTTGCCATACGTATGAAAATGTACGAGTCCCTTTTTCTTTTTTACTTTCCTCTTGGAGAAAATTATACTTTATTTATAAATTCCTTTAAACAAAAAAGAAGAGGCTTATCTTTTTTTTTTCATAGAGATTGATTCCTGTATTGAAAAACATGTGTCCCACCATAATACACCTGGTTCATAATGCACAGTAGCACTTTACCCTAAGGTTTCTATTAATGTTTCCCAATACACAAAGATTAAAATAGCAGCAGTAATTATAAGATAAAAATCAAATTTAGGATCTAAAGTATTAATCAGCAATAACAAAAAAGTTGCTTCTAAGATTCCCCTATGAAAAATATGAGATTTAAAAGCATATCATATTTTCCTGAGTTGATATTTGGAGGAAGAAGTCAGACAGAGTTAAAAGGAATTTAAAAATTACATTAAAAAAGACACTGTCTCGTATTTCTGTCTGTAAGCTGTTGTCATTATGTGTGGTCTTGCCTTGCTGTATTGATTCTACCGAAATGAACTTCATTGGCATGAAAGTTAGTGTTACTGCCAAAGCATTAACAATATGACATAAAAAGCTTTATAAAAAATGGTTCAATATACATTTAAATATTCAGCAAACAAGTACAATAAATACATCATTAGAGTACACAAGATTTCTGACAGCCATCATAATACTGTTTTAAAATAAACACACAATAACAAAATCGTAAATAACCAAATAGTGAAAATATTAAACCTAATTATTGCGAATGAAAATAATGAATGGCTTTGACTAATCGAAAGGTTGACAGAGGGACAGAGAGAGTAATTTATTGGTTGGTAGAAGATTAAAATGAGGAAGGAGGGAAGCGTCGAAAAGCAGCAGTAGCCACACGGACCGGATATAAAGGCGCACAATGGGCGGGATTTATATTGGATTGACAGATCCTAATCCTATCAGGGTTTGAATCATGAAGCTGTTCTGAAGATGAGAACCAATTACAACAAACAAGGAGAGTCAAACACTCATCGTGGTAAATGTGAAAGTCGCATGAGCAGGAGAGTAACGCAACGGAGGTCTTACACAAGTGTACAGTGTTTACAAGCCGACATCACACTAACATGTAACTATAAGTTTAGGCTGAAATAGGGTAAAAATGACGCTTCTGTCAAGGACAGATCATACTTTGCAGTGTCATTCTTTACGGAACAGAGAGTGACTAACTATGAAAATGCTATCATCGATTTATAATAGGATATGGAGAGCTGCTGCTGGTCACACACTCCGGACAAGGTTTGTCACTGAGCTCAAACTTCTATTATTTTATTTTTCAAGTGATCTTTTTCCAGTTTTTGTCTTCCCAATGTCATCAGTGATCTGCTTGAATTGTCAAAATTTCAACAAGACAGTACGATGTCAAGGCTAGTAAATAGTAAGACAAAATAAACAGTCCTGTTAATAATGACAGGGACTGCTACAAAGATGTAAACTTGGTTGACAAAAGGAAGAAGGTTTCATGCCCTTCAGAAGATGATTAAAGGACAATTTTATTAACTCTTAAACAACAAAACTCTGAAATATTTTCCTTCATTTTCATTTTGCAGGTATGAAACTGTTTAACAGATGTTTGAGCCTAAGTTTCTTATTATATGACACAATGCATGTTTGAGGTTTTGAGTCCATGTTGTGTCTTGCTCTTTATTTATCTCTACTAGAGGACATTGGCCCTGCAGATTCCTGTCCACCTTTGATGGACTCCCAGCTGGCCTGGCTGATGCTGAGACCATCTTTGCTTTATCTTCAGGCCATGGGAGGTGTGGGGTGGCAGTGGTACGAGTTAGTGGTCCAGCCTCTGCTATAGCTCTGAGATCGATGGCAGGGCTTGCAGCCAGCCTTCCCCCTCCACGAACGGCCCTGTTACGCAGCATCACAGACCCCGTGTCCAAGGAAGTGTTGGACCGTGGACTTGTCCTCTGGTTCCCAGGTCTGCTTCTTTGGATATGTGATGTCTTTTATTGTGTTTTTTTTTACTGCTTTGACTTAAAGTGAATGGCTTTGGTTTGTACTGGAAGTGTCTCATTATAGTATTTTTAGAATAATAAGATGGTTAAAGTAACTGGGTTGCTGAATATTGTAAAGTCTAAATCTGTAAGTGCAAGGTCTTAGACTGTTTTCAGTGACAGAAATTAGTAGATGATCTGTTTAAACCTCACTAATATAAAGAGCTTTGTGTGCATGTGAAGTTTTCTTGGTAGCATCCAGCTGAAATAGGCTTTATGAAGGTATCCTTTGTAATTATGGGCTCAGGTCCTGGTTTAGCTCAGCATTTAAAACACACAGTCTTCAACTTTAGCAGCATGTCATCCCCGAGCCCCTGCACTCCCCATTTACGTCTCTGTTCAGCTGTTTAACCTAATAAAGAGAAAGTACCCAAAAACTCACTTTTGAAGGAGTGCACCCCGGTCACACAGTATCAAGATAACTAAAAGGTTCTGAAGCCTTGTTGTTTCCTCTCATATGTTCTCCCTCAGCTCCTCACAGTTTCACAGGAGAGGACAGTGTGGAGTTCCACATCCATGGCGGCCCAGCTGTCATCACTGCAGTCTTACAGGCTTTAGGTAACATGCAGATATCATTTAAAGTATGGTGCAATGTTGTGTACCTTGATCTGAGGCAGTATAACACACTTGTGTTTACATATCATGTGAAACTGCGTTATTTATGGAGTGTCACTTGGGTCTTCAGCACCATGACTAAGCTGTAAGCCTGCACAGTAACTGGTACGGTCATGTTGCTGTCCATCACTTTTACTTTAGAAGGAAAACTGATGCATTGCGTTCCCATTTCATAGATACTTAAAAAATGTGCTGTGACAGCCATGACAATTCCACAGTGACTGTCAAGTTAAATGTCACTGCAGTTCTCCAACTGGCCTAGCAGGGGGCAGTGTTGTATAAATTAGATGTTGTTAAAAGCCAGATGACCACTAATTATGGACTGAATTGGAAAATAATCAGGGTTTTCTTTAATAAAATTGGCAGAGTAATTATTATTTTAAAAGAATAACAGTCGGTAGACATTAATGAGATGGTAAACATGAAAGTAATAAACAAAATTTAGCGACTGTAAACTAACCCTGACCTTTAATTATGAAATGGTTTAGTGCTCCTGTCATCCTCACCTAATGAGATTTGAAAAATGGTCGTGAAAACAATGAAAACATCACCTCTGTAACCTGCTAATCTGTTTTCATTCTTGTGAACCCTGAGTGACTTTTTCACACCCTGTTTGATCCTCCTCTGCTTGTGTGTGTGTGTTTGTTGGGTGCGTGATGCATGCCCACTACGTGCGTCGTGCATGTCTCCTTGTTTGTACGCTCGGTGTGTGTTTTTGTGTGTGTGCCTCTCTCAGGAAGCGTGCCTGGCATGAGGCCTGCCGAAGCCGGAGAGTTCACGCGGAGAGCCTTTCAAGCAGGGAAGCTGGGTTTAACAGAGGTGGGTCACGAAAAGCACACAGAAACCCACTGAGGCTGATCTTTGCAGAATTTCACGTCAAGGGCTTCTCACAGTAATTTTGCGGGGTTGATGTGGAATAAACAGGGTCAGCACTTTTAGAGTCAAAAATATTTCTTTCCCTTTTAACATATCTTGCCCTTTGAACACCACTCTAGTTAGAGTGTCAGACATTTATGCAAGAATGAAGCTTCTGGGCTTCTGTTCATGGGGAGTTATTGTAAAAGCAGCCAAGTGTGCAGCCTCAGGCTTGAGCAAAACTCTGTGCTGAGTATGTTCTTACAACATATTAAGAGTAAATTTAAGCAGCAGTATACACCATGCTGATTTATTTTAATAATGAGCAATGAAAATGTGTTTCTAATTACAGGATGAAAGAAACAAAATGCCTCTTAAAGTAGCAAATATGATCCCTTTGAAAAAGATCAAATCTTATATTACTGTAATCAGCTCTTTTACACAAAAAGTGTTTGAAAGAAAAAAGAAGTGAAAATTATGATAAAATATGCCTAAAAATCACGTTTTTAAATGCTTCTTAAAGGTGGAGGGGCTCGGGGATCTGATCCACGCTGAGACGGAGGCTCAGAGGAGACAAGCGCTCAGACAGATGTCAGGAGAGCTAGGTCGTCTTTATCAGGACTGGAGCAACAGACTCAAACAGGTACACCCGCCTGTAGTCAATGTATCAATGATGTTCACATGTTCCATCATTTAGGATAAAAAGAGATGCCTCTGTTAATTCCATCAAGTCTGGAGCTCCGGCTGGGGGTGTGTAAACAGATCTTAAAACGCTCTTTTCCTGCAAATTTTACATCATTGCAAAAAAACTCAAATACTTGAATCACATTTCCTGGCATTGTTCACATAAATTTGAATTACTCTTTTCAAATTTACCGTCTCTTTGCACAGGGGAGTGTATCAAGCAAGTAAATCAAGGCTATACAGTAAAGCATTGATAACCATAATCTAAAATGCAATGCCTTCCCTCAGATGAGTGTTTAATATATTTAAAAATCAATAACAAGTGCACATAAAACAGCACAAAAACAACATTACCATATAAAAATGTATGTGCTATATCAATATTCCCGTTTTACAAATGAACCAGACTAGATTGATGTTGTTTTCTCCTGATCATCTGTTTCTGTACAAAAAGGACATCAGTGAAAAAAAAAACATTGCTCCTGGATTGTGAGTAAGCTTGACAGCACAAAACACGGACCCAATTCTCCCAGGAGAGACCCTGTCTATGTTCATGTCGACATTTCCCTGAAAGCAGTGTTGTGAAACAGCCTGTCTGTACTGTGCTGCAGGTCAGACCTCGGCACTCTCGCACCTGAACTGTGTTTTCAGTCTTCTGTCTCTGCAGCTGCTTTACAACACGGGTTCTGATGGGTTAACGTGTGGAAATATGAGGCTTCCTGTTTTCATGTTGGTGTCGTACAGGTGTTTCTTTTCATCACTGAGGATCAAAATATTTATCATCATAGTGTGTGAAAATATTCATCTGACTTTATCAACAGGGCTGGGGAAATAACACAAGATAAAACAGGAGGATGGAAATGAAACATAACAAGGAAACTTAACTTCACAGAAAAGAAACCCACTTTGAAGTAAATTTAACATGTTTCTAAATTATGTTTTGAGGTGCATCAGTCAATGGGTTATGTCATTTTTTAATGTGAATTTCTTTACTTTAAACCAATCTCAAGGTTAAGATTAGTTTGAGTTTTATGATAACTGATAATGCAAATCTCCATAAAGTAAAGTTTAGGATATTTTCCATCAGATTAGAGTTTTTCCATTAATATAAAATTGAATTCTCAGAGCTGTAGTTACATGATCAAGTTTTCTGATTTGTTAATAAAGTTCATCACCTCGATACACTCTGTGACTCTGAGAAAGCCGGGAATGGATCTTCTGTTCAGTCCGGTTCTGTCAGTGCCCCTGAGCTGAATTGATGCTGCTGACTGAGACTTTAAACCCTTAATTTTGACTTCTAATAAAAACTGCTCAAAGGCACTCAAGGAAACAAGCCATTTTGGAAAGACACCACCTGTCTTTGAGCTGTCTTTCCATGTTCATTTACATGAAAAACCGTTATGAAGTTCTTTCCATCACAGAACATCTGGCTTTATATTATGCTGGGTGGGTTAACCATGAATCATACAAACAGCTGCTCTAAGTGTTTATTGTGTGCCTGTCACCAAGGACAGCCACACAATAAAGACACTGATGGATTCGGTGCAGCAGTATTGTTTTTCTTATCTGTGTAGTATCCTGTGCTATACACTGTATGTATAAATAAGTGTCAGAGAGTCGGGTCAGTCTTTAAGTTCAGATGAATTACATTGAAGGAAGAGAGGAACAATAAGGTGTAGCACGCAGGAAATGCTGAATTGCAGGATTTATTTTTTTCCATTTCTGCCTGAATTTGGTGGCAGATTGTGTTAAAGCAAAAGGAAACGAAGGAAGGAGGAGAAGTGTGTGGCATGCCTGAGAGAAACAAAGTGATGACAAATCTATAAACAAAATTGAATCATGATTTTGAAATAGTAACTTGTGACCGTTCTATCTTGAGCCAAAGGTTTAGAAATATCAGGAAAAAACAGTAACGCTTGAATCGTATATTTAACTCTGACATTTGTTCAGGTTTATCACAACAGCAGGTCATTTACTAATGAACACTTCACTTACTGGGTGAAGACCAAAAACCATCAGCGCTGTGAACTCTGTTGGAAAAAAGTACTTAAGTGGTCTTTCAGATCTTTGGCTCCAGATCCGACTGCTCGGTCCAGGAGATCTCCCTTGAGAAAGCCAGTCAAGGTGCCTGTCCGCAGCTTCCCAGGACAGTTCCTAGAATCCATCCACACAAGCGTTTCTGCTGAACTCTGATTTCTTTGAATCCAGGATATCAGAAGTATATGATCTGTATCGTGTAAGGGGTCAAACCTTCCTTCACACACCGAAACAATGCAGTTTTTAACAGTTGGCTTCCCACTTTAGTGAATGGATTTCAGTATGGGAATCTTAAGCTTCCTGTTGTTGTTGCTGTGTAGTCTTATATCTGGTGTTTTTGTCATCGGATGTCAATATGGGTGTGATGGGAAGACTCGATAGTTTTTCTCCTTAATGCACAAGATCTAAATAAATCTCTGAAGTGTTGCAAAAAACTTTGATTCACGATCACACCTGGAAAATAAGTGGAGTTAGTGGTATACGTTTTAAAGTTAACTCTATAATGATCATATGTTGTAGACATGAGTCTATAATCTAAATCTGTCTGTATCAGTAATAAAAAGAACAATTAAAAGTCTGAGAAGACATAGTTAAAAAGGCATGAAATAAATAAAACAAGGTTTAAACAGAGTGAGACAGCTTTAGAAAACAACTATAAAAGTTAGAAGGTCAGACCTAAAGTGCTTTGTGTGCTGTGGGCAAGATTTAGACCAGGTGAGTTCTGTGCCAGAAAGTCAAGCCCAGTCCTCCAGTCAGTCCAGCAGTAAATCATGGTCAGCTGTCAAATGCAGCTCTGAGATCCAGCTGCACTAAGACTGAAATTCTACCACCGTTCTCAGCCAAATGTGACCGAAAACCTGATTGGAAAGTTTATTGGAAATCATCTTTAACTGTTCAAAAAGTGCTTTTTCAATTATCTTAAAAATGATAGATTGGATATAGGCCTATAGTTGTTCATGAGGGTTTTTTCTCCAGGCTTTCTGAGTGGTTTTGGACAGAATCAAAATTTAACTCAAAGCCTTTCGAATGATTCAACCCTGTAAGTTTCTCCTCACTCATTTATTGTGTGCTGATTGCTCACCTTTTTTAAATTTAACTAGACAGTAAAAAAACAAACATTATACAGCTCAACAGAGACAGAGATGAACAAAAGGCACAGTTATCAAACACTGCATACTTTGAGTCATTTAGTGCGTATACATCAAAAGTAGTCTTCATAGTTTGGAGCATACCTCACATAGACCATAAAGTGGTAGACGTATTTACCTGTTTAAAGGTGGTCTCCTTTTTTGTGAAATCTGCTGTTTCAGTGTGTTTCAGACTGGTCAGGATGTCTGATGGAAAATGCTGCTCTGTCATGTTGTGTAAGAGCCCTGCAGGACATCCACTATATTCTTTCTTGCAAGAATTACCAGTATGTTCAACAATTTTCTGTGTGGACACTAGGGGTGGGGAAAAAATGAATTCACATAAGCATCATGATTTTTTGTTTTACAATTTTTAAATCGATTTGTATGTTCAAAAATTTTTTCAAATTTAAGAATAAATCTTATATAAAAAATAAATCTAATAAAAACTGACTTATATGTAATGTGTATTTTGGGGGGAAAAATGGTTCCTGGAATAGTCGGTAGACAATCATAATCATTCAACTTTTTCACTGGTAAAAATGCAGACTAAAAATCGAGAAAATCAACAATATCGTAGAATCGCAATTCAAATCAAATCGGCATCCAAAAAATCGTAGAAGAATCGAATTTGGAGAAAAGCATATCGTCCCAGCTCCAGTGGACACGGGGTACAATGTAAGCTTAGTTCTCAACAGTTTCTGGACCTCATAGAGTTTTTATTCTGCCTTTTGAGCATCAAGAGGAGCTGTGGGCTCAGATTTTTACAGGTTGTCAAATGTAACTCTCATTTTTATTTAATTAATCATGTCTTTCTGTCTCTCCTGTGTCGCTTTGTGTCTCACAGAGTTTGGCTCATTTTGAGGCCTTCATAGACTTCAGTGAAGATGAGCTCATTGAGGACGGGGTCTTAGACCAAGGTATGTATACACTCTGTTCTCTGTGTGGGGAAAAAACAAGGGAGCAGTCGTCCCCTGGGTTCTGAGAGGGAGATGAAGGGGGTCACGTAGGGTTCGGTTTCTCTCCGAAGAGAGAGAGAGGGGGTCCAGCTGGCTTTCCTGTTTGGATCTTCAGCTGTCCATCGTGCATCTCTGTAGGGAGAAGTCGTGGACATGGAACTGCTCTAAAGACAATTTCCTTTAGGAAGTGTGGACAGAAGGCCAGAGGGACGGTGGAGGCATTCGTCTTACCTTCAAAGCCAACCTGACACGTCGCTCACAAGAATAGTGCTGTCAGCAGCAGTGTACAGTCCAACTGTGTGTGTGAGGGAGATTGTGAGAGTGTGTGTGTGTGTGTGTGTGTAAGGGATGTACCCCCTGAGACTGTCGCCTACTGTCTGGCTCTCCTGAAGCCTCAGATGTTCTGAAGTTTGGACACAAAAAGCCTGGGAGCTTTTGTTTATGCTCGTGGCACGAAATGAGGGGCTCACACCCCGAAGAGGAGGAGAATAATCGGCTGCTTTCTAAAATTAGAAAATCGTCCTTTAAGTAGTTCACTATTTAGAATAATTATTTACTTTCAAGTCATATCTGACGCTGTCTTATGTTACCCAAAGTTGAATTATTTGTTATGCAGTCAGGATTCTCACGAAAACGAAGGATGTATCCCTTTTTAAGAGAAATAACGTGCCTTTGATGAACTAAATTGCCAAAAGCGTTTTTCCGTTTTAGTCACATGCGGAAAGTAACAAATCTGTGACCCATTTTTTGGTCTAGACGGAGGTTGTCAGTCATCACAGGGTCGGCTTTTTCCCTTCAAAAGGACGTAATATACACATTTTTTTACAAGGCCATGAAAGTGAAGTTTAACAAGAAACCTCCGTCACATCCTGTTCCTTTTTCTGTCTTTATCTCTTTCTCGACACCCCCCACCCCCACACCCCTCCACAGTGGACAGATCAGTGTGTGATCTGCAGGCAGAGATAGAGCGACACCTGAAGGATGAAAGAAGGGGCGAGCGGTTACGTAGCGGAGTCCAGGTGGTGATCGCGGGAGCCACCAATACACACACACACACACACACACACACACACACACACACACACACAAACAAACAAATCTTGCAGGGATTAAGATTAAAATATGACGTACTATCTCCTAAATACAGACCTTGATACGGCTGTCAGCCACAGTTAGGGGAAGAAGAAGAAGAATCTTTCTAAGTTGAAGCACCATGGACCCACCAAGTTTAGAGAAATGTGACTTACTCATTAGAATGCAAATGCCATCTGCATGGAGAGAAAGTGAGAAAAATTCGGTTTCTGGACTAGACAGGATTCTGTGAACAAGCAGCAGTCTGATTCTAATCAAAGAATTATGAATCAAACCTGAAGGGTTCACGTTAAAATCCGAAGAAACATTTAAGACTTGTTATTTTTCTTTAGAGTTATTTCTTCTGTATAAATATAAATATATATGAATATCTAATCAATGTTGAAAATATGAAATTGTGGCATTCAGATTTCTCCGTCCGTCTGTCATGTTTCCAAGTTTGGTGCCGTCCCGGTGGAACTCTATTGTTGATTATATGGAGGGGTCTGTTTGTTTAACTTGTTCTGTTCTTAAAATGTTTAAAATAACTTAACGTAAACTTTACCCAAAGAAACTCGGCAGGGCTTCCGCACAGCTTCCCATCAAAATAATAGACGTATTTATCAAACTAGAGATTAGATCTTGTTATCATTTCCTGTTCTCCCCTGACGCCTGCGCTCACACCAAGTTTGACAGACAAGTCATAATGAGCTCGCAGCCTCGTGTCCCGTGTGACGACAGGCAGGGTTTGCACCACGTCTGAAAATACCATAGAACATTTGCAATAAACACATCACAAACTGTTGAAGTTATTCCTGTGAATAAGACAAAATACTCTCTGCAAACAATCCCTATAGTCTCACTTTTCATACATTAATTTTACCTACTTGATCATTTTGATGTCTGAAAATACCATAGTAGACACTTTTAACAAATTTAAGAGACATCATGATTTATCCTGATATTATTAAAAGGAAACATAAACAACAGATGGACAAACACTGGTGTGTTATAGAAAATCTGCACTGATTAATATCTGTTTTCTCATACATTATCATTAACTTAAACAAGATTACAGGCACATAGCTTAATTGACTCATATTGTGCAGCTGATGTGTCAGACAGTTGAAATCAGTAGTACCTTTATTTTCATGTAAATGAGTGAAAGTAAATGTAAACTAACCGTGATGTAGTTTAAACTTAATGACCACCTTTTAGCTCTGTGTTCTCAATTTAAAATCTCAATATCCTTCTTTAGAAGACACACACATTATAAATATATTTATAATGTGGTATAATCACGTTATAGCACTGTATAGTTATCAACACTCAAATGATCGTAATACTTTATGGCAATAATCCTACTCACTTTATAAAGCATTTTATCATGACTTAGAAGGTCAGGTATTATTATGTGTTATAACTGTTAACAACTGACTGACAATGCACACATAGATAATGCATTGCAACTGTTGTTAACGGTTATAACACATTATAATACCTGACCTTGTAAGTCATGATAAAATGCTATATAATGTGTTGTGATTATTGCTATTATTATCATAATAACTATAATTATACAGTGCTATAACGTGATAATAATGCATTATAAATATATTTATAATGGGTTAAAGAGAGAGGTGTCAAATAAAGAGTTACCTATATTTTTCCTAACACTTTATTTATTTTTAGCTATATGTGTTACTGTAATCAGTTCTGTTGCATCACAGCAAAAATGATTCCTGGTCCGATTCCCAGCTGGGGCTGTTTTCTGTGTGGAGCTTGTACATTCATGCCTGGGTTCCTTCTGGATCCCCTCAGGTTAATTGGCAGTTTACTCCTGTAGTCACGGGTTTTCTTTGATCCTCTGTATCTGTGTTAGTCCAGTGTTCACTCTGCCTTTTGTCGCATGGCAGCCGAAGTAGGTTCCTGCCCCGCTGTGACCTGAACTAGATAGGCAGTGGATGGATGGAGAGGTGGTTTGAGGATCATTTTCTTTGCTTATTACACTAGCTCAGCAATATTCATTGAGCCAATAAAGCTACAGGAGAAGAGGAAAACAAAGTACTTTTCTCATTCATCAAGGCTTTGTTTATACCAGAGGCACCATTAAGAGGCAGCTATCAGTTACAATGACATGGAGTAAATTAGAAAAACACCGAGATAATTAAGCAATTAATCTTAAGAGCAGTGAAAGTGCAGCTGAAATGATGCACTCTTTACTGCTGTTGTAGACATGTTTGCATAAAAATACAGTGCTACAGTTACTGCTGTAAGTTCAGCACTTTTTATATAACAAATAGTGTTTGTGTATCCAGTGGTCTGTAGGCTGAGGACAGTGTAAAAGTGTCAAAAGTTTGGGAGAGATTCAGAAGTGTTTTTTTAAATCCTCAGGTTTGATTACCGTGATTTTAGTAATAAAAAAAAAACAAAAACAGCTGGTTTTCATACAAATTTATTTCCAGGCCAGAGACCTGCAGCCATTGTGTCTCCCATCCCCGGCACCACCAGGGACATAGTAGAGACAGCGCTTGACATCGGTGGATTCCCTGTCCTCCTGAGTGACACAGCCGGCCTCAGAGACAGCCCAGACCTGGTGGAGAGGGAGGGGGTCCGCCGCGCTCGGGAGAGGTAAGGAGAGGAAACTCTTTATTATAAATAATCAAAGAAATAAAAAGTTTTTTTTTTTTCTTTAAGAGATTTAATGAGGCGGACAACAAAACAGAAGTAAACTGCTGCGTCAGCATCTGTTCACATGTTTAATATAAGACAGGACAAATCAGCCTGAGACTGTTGGAAAAAGACCTCGAAAACAAAGAAAGGAAGAAATAAGTCAATGCTTTTTCCCCCGCACATGATGCTGGAGTCTTGTAATGTCTGAGCAACATCCAAAGTTTATACTATTGCTGAGACATGGTTATAAATACACAGGACAAACACTCTCAGGAGGTTGCATAATGAAGAGCCTCCTTTCCTCATTTTTACCATTCTTCATGTGTGGTGTTGAGAATGGACGTATACGGCCATTCACCTGACAGCTGCTTCCACTGTTTACACCAGGGAAAAAAAAGGTGTACTCGTAGGGCTTTTCATGACTGCTGTATCCCACATAAAGAGGCAAACAAAGGCACTTATACACGTTAGTAAATCACAGACATGTTTAATCATGAGTTCAGTGTTAGAGGAGAAATGGAGGAAAAGAGGGAGGCCAAGCATCACACCTTTTGATGGATAATAAATTCCCTGAGGAGTGAAAATTGAAGTGTTTGTGTTTTTTCAGTTTTTTTTGACAGATGCAAAGATAGGCAGAAAAAGTAATGCAGTTTATAGGACTTAGAGTTAGTTTGAAACAGTTTTATGGTGACATGTCTGATAATCAACTACAGAATTTAAAGGAGTATTCAGTATAAAATATGACTGTTTGCAATTTTTTAATGGCTGTTGACAAGATGCAAAAGCATCTGAAGTTACAACCTCGTGTTACATCACTGCATGTTTTTAGGGACTGAACTATTTTTGGTGGTGGAAGATGTATGTGGGCTCACTGCCTTTCTTAAAAAAAGATGCTGCTGATTGTGGATTTTGTCATATAAATACATCATGACGCAAGAGGGTACAAAGGAAAAACATTCATGAAAGTCAACATGGGAACGTGACAGAGGTAGAGAAAAGGTACATTTTCAATGCAAACACTCTGCGATTCTTTCTCTGTTTGTTTGAGTTATTTGGGCGACCTGGTGGCTCCATAGGAAGGGTGGGCACTGTGTGTTCTTAGGGGGACTTTCTGTGCAGGGAGCAGGTCAGGGGCTCGTGACCTGGGTCACTACAGGAAGGACGTGGTAAGTACAAGCATCCGCTGCTGCCGCTGCTACTCCTGACGTCCCTGTGGGACGAGGTGCAGGAGTGCAGAGGGTGTTTCAATCAGATGAATATGATATATTACTGATGCCCTGATCCATGTTCCTCTTCTGGTAAGATATTAAATATTAACAAAACCAGAAGAAAAACTTGATCGATCTTTTACAGGCTGACATCTTTATTCTGTATATTCATCAGTACCAGTCGGGCTTAACCTGCACTTATTTACATTTACTAATTTGGAATTTATACAGAGTGCAGGTGTCACTAATGTAAATGCAATAATTTGGTCATAAAACAGATACGACTGAGGTTTGGGGTTATCTCAGTGATATGAGATTTTCAACCTAAGGGGTCATGGATCTCTGAATAAGACTGATTGACGTGATGAAGTGTTCAACACTGAGGATGACATAATGATGAAGCAGAGACCACTCAGTGTTTGGGGTTAAAAACAACTGGTCTGTTGGTTTAAAAATGATCCATCACACACATCTCAGTATGTGCAGGCTTGAGGCAGTGGATCTGTTGCTCTTGAAAAAATAGATGGTGTACCTCAGGGCTCTCTATTAGGTCTACTGTTTTTTTTATTTTTTAATCAAGGTTATAATTTTGTGGCATCATAATTGGTCTAGAGCCATTCAATTTATTTTTCAAAGGGATGTTGCCCCTCAGAGTGTACTGCATAACAACAGAAATGTAAACACAAAATGAAGAGAAAAACACACACGTTTCTTACAGTCGAACACCGTTTGTGCAGCTGTTTGATCTTGTTGCAATGAAAATGCGCAGGATCCTGTTATTTACTGCTCTGCTCTATTGTAGTACCAGGCTTCCTGTCATTTACAAAGTGCTTTTGATACTAAACAAGACCCCCTCCTGTGGAGACTGTTATCATTGGAGCTTTGAGGTTCATTACAAATCGGAAGTTTTTCACTCTTCATCGAGTTGGCCGGGAAAAGGGTTTTAGGCGTACAGTTCCTGCCATCTGGAATCTGCTTTTGGAGGATTTGGGCTGGATCTGGGTTTTGCCATCCAATTGATCTTTTATTCCACATAGCGTTGCCAATTTATGAATATACCAACAAACATGACAAATCACAGGGTGATATAATATCACAAGAATTAGGCATGATGAGTCGAACAACATGTTTCTGGTGCTCTTATCACTGCACCAGCCATCTACCCAATACTGATATTTAATGACCTGCAGACTGTGGATTTTAATGTTAGAAAATGCAAATTTCTAAGCAAAATGAGTCTTTGATTTTATGTTTAATTCAGGTAAAACATCATTTTTCTTTCTGTTCATCCAGGGTGGAGCAGGCAGATCTGACTCTGGTGGTTGTGGACTGTTCTGATCTCCCAGCTGACACACAACAGGCAGCAGACTTCCTTCAGGGACACATCAAGACTGTTCTGCCCACCCAGGAGTCCTCAGAAACAGGTGAGACACTAAGTGTCAGATATGCCATATTTCTAAACCTCTAGAAGAACAATAAAGAAAAGCCTAACTGTAAGGTTGAACATATAACTAAGATTTGAAATGGTCAAAGCTTGAGAGTTTGAATTTTACTGAGACATAAGGTGATCAGTTGTAGCTGCAAAATTTGAAAATCCAGGAGTAACTCAACTTCTTTTGTAGAAATAAAGAAGTGGTCCAGATGTCACAGGCTGTAAAAACAGCTTAAAAGCATCAGGAGAACTGAAATAGAAACCTCTGAAAGTTTTTTGCCTCCATTCCTCTCTATAGAGTTTCCCACAGACAGGTTTCTCCTGGTGCTGAATAAAACAGACCTGTTGCCAGATGAGCAGAAACAGAAGCTGGACAGAGAGCTGAGACGGGTCCCTGGACTCCCCTCAATGAGTCTGATCTCCCTCCACAGCAATGAAGGACTGCAGGACTTTCTCACAGAGCTCCATGGCAGTGTCAGAACTCTGTGAGTGAACACAACTCATGTTTTTTTTTTTGTTACTTCTCTCTTTAGCTGCAAAAAGTTAATAATCGCATAAACATTTCAGTAATTTTTCAGGCAGAAATGAAAAGTATCTTCTGGTTTCTGCTTCTTACACATGAGAATTTGTTACTTTACTGTGTCAGTCAAGCAAATGTTGGAGTTCATTGCTATAAGTTTGGAAATAATCGAAGCTGAATCTTTGGGCTCTGGTTGTAAAAAGGTTTCGTAAAAATTAATTGTCATTTTGTATGAAAAATAAAGTAATGGATTCATGTGAAAGATGTTTTTCCTCATAATCAGCGACTTTAAAAAGTGTGGTCGCGGCCCTACTTTGCCCTACTTTCGCTCCTAAAGTACAGGTTTTTGGGTCAGATATTATATGGGTCACTGCGTCATCTGGGTTTTGAAATCCCACTTAAGGGCACTTAAAAAAACAGGTTTGTTTTGCAACATGGAGTTTTATAAGTGGGGGTTTATTTTTTTTGTCATATTTCCCTCTTTTCGAGTGAAAAAAGAAAAACAATATGTGTTGATTGTTCTGGTTCATTTTGTTCTCCAACATCCTCTGTAGGTGTGGTGACCCTCTGTCTGGTGCCCCCACCCTGACCCAGGCCCGCCACAGGGCCCACCTGCAGCAGTGTTGTGTAAGGCTGGCACAGTATCACCGGTACCGTGACACTGACCTCGCTCTGGCCGCTGAGGGGGTCCGGTTGGCTCTCACCAGCCTGGGCCGGATCACCGGACGGGTCGGGGCGGAGGAGATCCTGGATATCATCTTCAGAGATTTCTGCATTGGGAAATAGTTGGATGATTAGAATCCAAAACAAGAAATACCTGTAATGTTCCCCGTGTCTGGGTCTGTGAGAAGGTGGCATTCTTGTTTGGTCCCGGGGCATCCATAAAAGAAGTGGGCCAAAAGCCTCGGCATCGTGCCAATCTTCAGACAGCAGGAGCTGAAAGAATGGAGTTCATGTTCTTGGCTGCAGGTTCAGTCTGCTCCCGAGACACGGAGGTGTTTGTTTTCTGTTGATGCTGTTTAACAGACTGGAATAGTTTCAGAGTGATGACAGGTGTCTCAAAGGCCTCGTGTGCCGCTCAAGTGTTTGGAAATACGAAGTCGTAATTTTAAAAATAGTCGTGTAAGCCTTTGATAGGTGAAGATTGAGCTCTTGAGACACAACAGAGCAGATGAGATCATTTAGAGGTATGCCATCTGGAGGCATCTTCAAGGTCATGGACTCAGAGTGTGGCTGTTTACTGGTAATGCAGGACAATGCAGACAGGATTTCAGCGAAGGAGCAGCGTTTCACTGTCTTTTGCATATTTGTGACTTTTAGAAGGTATTTGTCGTTTTATATTTGCAGCTGAATGTCTGTTATGATCGCTCTCATGCTCTAGACACAAGCTGTCATCAGCAAAATGTTTCACTTTGATCATGTGAAATCGTTGCTCAAAGGACTGTTTAAAAACTGAACGGTTATTTCACGAATGATCAAAACATGTCACATAAATTCTCAGATGTGAAGCTAATGGCATCATTTTGCTAATTAATCTCATTTACCTCCCAGACAGACGCTGGAAGGCTTCCTCAAACAGCGTCCAACGGTTTTAAATAAACTGACTTTTCACAACAGGAATTGGCAGCGAACACGACATCAACATGACATCATCCTCAATATGACAAAAGTTACAAACCAAAAGAACATTGGCATCAAATATCAGGCCACTCTTTAGGATTCAAGTCAGATTTTTCAATCTCACTCTGTACATTTGTTCTTTTTTTGATGAAAAAGTTCAGATGATTTCAGGTTGAACATACAAAATATTACTCACCATGTCTTTTTAAGAGATGCTTCTTTTTCTCACCGTTATTTAACATTTAAAGGCTTTGAGAAGGGTATTTAAAGGTCGTCATCACATGAATTTTCACAGCATCACATGCCAGAATATCCACTTTGGTTTAAAACAATAAAGATTTAACCTTGAAGTTAATGATAACTCGTTTCTTGTTTGTTTCCAGCTTCTCTTGACTGTCTGAGTTCTTATGTATGCCTCTGTACATCACATTTGTGAGTCCAGCATCATAAATCCTATAATATCAGACATATATTATGTAAAGTTGGTCAGAGTGACCCAGCTCCCCTCTCTGCCCTGTGGGAAAAAGACGTTTTTGGAGGCGATGCTCTCGGTGCCCTTTGTTCTCCTGTCAATCTGGCCTCGATCAAATATTTATGTTTCCTTTGTTGAACTCCTCAACCTTCTCCCCTGCCTGGTTACGTCTCCTTCTGTCTCTGACGACATTTGCCCTGCTGTCCACCAGCTTCAACTCCCCGTCTCTTCAATTTTTTTGTCTCTTCTCTCCGTCTTCGCTACCTGACCTTTTCCTCTTTCCGCAGCGCTCTGTCAGCCTTTTTGTCCTCTTTCATGTTGGATCTGATTAATTACAACAGAGGGGGAGTTTGGACTAAAAACAGGACTTGCTGTCATTAGGAGGCCGTAAATTTTGTGAGAGCGGTTTGTCTTTGAAGTAGAGCCTGTGTGTTTTGTTGTTCATGTTTTCAGCAACTGTGTAAATTCATCACAATCCTTTTATGAAAAAAATGATAAAATGTTTCTGCTCAGACAGTCTTGGTCATAAGAGAATTTATCTGTAATAAAACCATCAGGCCAAACTCTGAATGAAACTGTCAAAGACCTGTATGTAGATGGAAAGATGGATATTCATGGTTTCTTGAGGCTATTATTCATCTATTGGGACATTTTACTTTCTTCTGCTGCCACTGTGAGTTTTTATTAGTGTTTGAGATCACAAACCTCATCAAATATCACCAAGATATTTAATTTCACTATATTAATGCCTCTCTTTGTCCAGGCGGGTTTAAGAAACCTTAAAAAAAAAAAGTTTTTTGGGTTCATAGCTATCAGACCAATCCAACAGAAGTTGAGAATTTACTCCAGAAAACTTGACTCCAAATCTCACAATGATGCGAGGAAAAAGCTAAACAGTCTTGATTTATTCTCCATAAATATTCTGGTACATCCTCTGAAGAGCACGAATGGCTTTACATCAATTTATAAACAAAGGTTTAAAGATGGGAGAAGAAGTTTGGAAAGTTATCCTTCATCCAAATCCTCATGTGTTTTTGACTCAAACAGCTTTAGTGTCAGCTTTCTGCATGCCGGTGTCCTGTGGTTTCATCAGCGTCCGTCCTGGGATGCACTGTCGCCCCACCCGCTCCACCCTGAACCCGTTTGACTCCAGAGTCAGAGTATATGGGAATGTGTTCAGGTCTATACGTAGGATCGAAAACACTTCATGTTGGACAAAGGATTTCCTGCAGACCAGGAGGCAGACTCCTTCACCTGTAGCACTCACATCCATCACTGCAGAAACTCTCAGTGAGTCATCCTGGGTTTCATTATGCAACATGGAAGCAGTCGTGAAAGCCTGTTACGTCTGCATGACTGTATAATCTTTTTCCAGAGCTGATGTAAGATCAAATTCATTTTTTTATAGTCCTGGATTAAATTTAGAAACAGCATATTTATGAGGTAGCAATTTCTGTCAATCAGTTGATTTAAAAATACGTATTAGCTACAGTTTTCCTCACTTTGAAATGACTAAATATTCAACAGAACAAATCAGAGTCAACTCTGTTTAAAGTGAATAAATGATAACAGATGTGTTTGATTAACTCATGATACTGGCTCTATAATACTGCTGTATCACTACGTTTTCATTAATGATACATCCAAATCAATAATCTATTGATTGGTAAAGCATGACTTGTTAAGAAATCAAAAAGTGATTCAGAAGAAAATTCAGATCTCTCTGTTTTGATTATGCATTCCTCCAAGTCACAACCTACTGATCATTTTTTGGTCTAAAAAAGGTCTAATAGACGTCTAAATGTAGCCAAGACGACTGGTCTAAAATCAGGCTACCACAGGTCTAAAAATGAAACTTTTTTAGACGTCTAAATTTAAGTCTAAATCTGGGCCATATCTATACCACACTGTATATTGCTCAACGGCTATCATAATTATTTTGGTTAAGTTCTTGGAGATCAATTATGCAACTCACAGTTGCTTTTTGAAATAAATAGTTATTGAATAATGGGTTAAAGTGTAACGTCTAAAATCTGTCTAAAAATATACAGAATCTAGACATTTGGACTAGTTAATTTAATCAGGACTAAAAAAACTAGATGTCTAGTACCGTCTATTGCTCAGTGGGAAGATTTTTAGACATGGCTGAATATAAATGATGATTTTTAACCCTTTCAAGACTTAAAAAACAGATAAATTGTTTAAAAGTTCAATTGAAAAAGGACATGTTGTACAACCTCTTATACATACATTTATTCTTCATGTGAGACTGTAATAATCATAAAGGTGCTCTAGGAAAACACAGTCCGTCTCCAGCGACAGGACCATATGTGCTCATGAAGGGAAAGGGAAGTAGTAAAGTTTGAGAACAGTCAATATAGCAGCTACTGTGCAGTAACTCTGAACAACCATAAAAAAGAAATTAAGGAGCTATAGATCCAAGTTTAAGCATTAAAAGTCAACATTTGGTCAAATTTGTTGTTCATTTTTTAAATTTCTGACATGAGGTCAAAGGGACTGTGAATTACTGCGGATGTGATGATGTGTTTATGTCTTAGTCGGTGTATGTATTGACATCCGGACTGCAGCAGACATTCAAAGGTGTGAATCACAAGGAAACATAAATGGAGCTATTTCAGGATCTTTCTGTTTATAGCTGCCAAGTGAGCAGCTGCTGCCTGAAGTCCAGTCTGACTGTGTATTGTATTTTTAATCTTGGACAGATGCCCAAGACAAAACAGTGAAGGGAGGAAATCGGTCTTTGGCTATATGTATTTTTATTTTTCACAGTACACATAACAAAGTGAGTGACACACAACAGGAATATTTACACCAGTGTCATGAACAGATTTTTACATTTACCCGGCTGCTAACCGAGGATTTTTTTCACAGCAAATATTTAAAGACAACAACACAATCTTAAAACAAGCATGCCATGACCAACAACTCTAAATATGTTATAATATGGAGTCTGAATATTTACAGGCTGTGTGGGTGGAAGAGTGTGGAGAATATGTACATGTTAAAGTTAAGATTATTTAGGGGAATCATTGCAGGCTCCTGATGTTCCTCTCACGCTGGAATTCATCTCACCTAGAAGACAAAACAATTGATAGTTAAACTCTTATTAACACTTTTTCATTCTTGTAAGTAAAGCAAAAGCTCCTGTTACGACTGTGTGTTTCTTGTTGGTCATTTTTTTCCACTTTTGTCTTCCCCAGCTCTGCCCAGGTGAAATCACTGACTGAAAATCAGCTTCACCTGGTCCTCAGAGTTTAAAACCTTCTTGTTCAGGGGATCCTTGTTTTTTTTGGTTCTCTGTGTTTTAGTTGACATCTTAATCTTTGGTAAACTTTTAAATGTGTTTTCTGTTACTTTTAATGGGTCAATGTGTGAAAGATTTTTAGCCCCATAGGGCCGCCTTGGAGTGGACTCCTCAAAATAAGTCACTCACTATAACAGCACTTCTTATGATCCAGTTTTTAGTCTAAAATTAAATTTACCGTTGGTGGTCTGCTGAGGCCAACAGAGGGCCACTTCTGTCCGATCTGCGGTGGAGCAACCTGAAGACCAGCTGGTTTAGGAATACTGGGCTGTAATAAAACAAAGAGTCATTAATATTATTAAAAAATCAAACAAAGATACCAACATTTATGCCTTCTTCTCTGACAGAGAACTCTTAAAACCTCTGGCTTATTTTTGTACGTTCTTGCTGTTTGTGAACTCATGACCCTTAGTGAGAGGTTTTCCGTCGTTATCTCTCCTGCCCATCCTTCCTGAAGCTGCTGCCCTCAGATTCCTCTTTTCTGCTGAGTACAAACAGACCTCCTTACCTCTATACTGCTGCAAATGCAGCAAATCTTATGTAATGGCACAGAGGTGGGGGGTACTTATAGAACCACAAAAACAGGTCCTCGGAGATCAGACCAAAATGTTAAATAAGAGGACTCTCTCATTTGTGTTTAACAATTTCAAATCCTGCAACTCCCTTACAGAGTCTTTTATCATTTCCTTGAATGGAGCAGAAGGTGAGATTGCAGTGTTTATGTTACCTTAAAGTTGGACTGGGCATTTGGGATCATTTGCCGGAGGGTCTGGAGCTCTTTGTCTTTCAGGGCCACAGTGTCCTCTTGCAGCTTCTTCTGCTCTCTCAGCCGGTTCTGCTCAATCAGTAATTTCTCCACCTGAAATAAACGGGCGTGTTTTATTTTAAATGGACAACAAAACTCCTCCTACACCTCAGCTCCTCATATCCTGCAGTCTGATTTAAGATCTGTTAGGAAATCCCAGTTTTATGACCGGTTACTGAGAGAGTCCGCCTGCTTCCACACGTTTGTACATCAGCGTTGTTTAAACTGACCTGGTTGTCGTGAGTCTTTTGCTTCTCCTGTAGTTGTCTGGCAGTCTCGATTTCCATCTCACTGCGACTGCGTTCACACTTCTGCAGGTCAGAGCTTAAATGTGCGGTTTGCACCTCCAGACGACTGGACAGGGCCTGGATCTCTGCCACCTGGAAGAAGAAAATCATTTTTTAGAGATGTGATGTACTTCTCATCTGATGAAAAATATTTTCGTATTTACAGCAGAAAGCCGCAGAGGAACTGTAATTGGTCCCTCCACTGTACTAAGCATGTTTCCAGATGGCATCTTTACATCGTCACACTTGTTTTTCTTTACATGTGTCTATTTCTGTCCATCAATGAGTGTTTGTTAACGTACATTATCCTCAATGTCATAATGGAGTACAAGCTGAACAGCTGTCCCGGGTTTTAAATCTGCACTGAATGAGTCCCTGAGGGAAATGACTCCACAGTTTAATGTTGCTCTAAATCAAGCATTGAGGGTCTGTGACATTAATGTCGCTTAATTATATTTTTAATATGAAGCAGATCATCAGTTTGACTGTGCCGTTTCAATGCTCTTGTGTAACACTAATCATTGAGAAAAGTGCCCGTTTCTCTTTCTGCAGGGCTCAGCTAATGTCAGAGATAAGGGAGTTTAATTAAAAGATTAATGAACAGTGTATTATGAAGTTTTATTCGGTGAGGTCACTTCGCCTTCAGTTAGAAAACAGTTTAAACTGTGAGGAACGTCGTGAAGCAAACTTTGTGTTTACATTCAGACTCAACAGGATCCGTCTTAAACATCATATACATCTAAATTTGCTGCAATGCACGGTCAGGTAAAAATGTCCTGTTTTTTATGGGGGAAAAAATTGCTTTTTAAAAAATTTACACTGTCAAAATGAGCTTGTTTCATGTAGTTTCACACTGAATATCTTTTTACCTGTTGCTTAAAAGACTTTTAAAGGTTTCACACTGTACTCTGAAGGACTTTTTTCTCCCTGGAAATCCAACACTGACTCAATGACTCATAAAATATGTGGAAAATAAGTGAAGATCATTTGTTTTTATGTTGAATATTGTCTTGTTATGTTATGGTCCACCTGAGGACTGACAAGCTTTGGCCAAGAACAGCATCCTTTGTAAATCTGGACCATGCTGGATACAAGGAAAACAAACAGTGACTAAAGTGAGCACAGCCACTCTTTGTCTGACAAAGCGGCAGATAACGGTTTGATTTAGAACGGAAAGTTTGACTTTTTTATCACTTTGTCATAAAAACACTGACAAAGGGTTAAAATGTCTCAGCTGTAAAGGAAATGATGTTTGTTGAGCCTCACTGAGTCTCGTATCACAGAGCTGCTGTGTCAGCCAAAATACACACCTCGAAAACTCGAGCTTTCACCCTGAGTTCATCCAAACGGCCGCCTGTCTCTTTAGCTCGGTGTGTCCTGAATGATGCAGAGGATAGACTTCCTCCCTCGAGAAACTGGCTCTCTTTTCAATCTGTTCTTTGACTTCTACGAGTATTTCAGATTTGTTACATCAGCTTCGAGGGAACTTTTAAAAAAGGTTGACAACAAAGGAGTGCACAGACTGAAAATCGAACTTTCACTAAATTACTCGAGTACTAGACCTGTGAACTTTTTTTAAGGGTCTATATTTCAGTAAGTGTTGAATATTTTAATTTTTGGCAGAATAAGTTACTAAATCTTTTAGACTGAAATCTAAAAACACATTTTAAAATTCAGTGTTTTTACGAGTTAAAGCTCCTGTGAGGAAGTTTCTGCTTCTTCAATTATGCAACCCTGGCTGACAAAGTGAAACCTCTGATTTCTGTACAAACTTTATGAAAGATGTACTTTTTATTTAACAAAAACAAAAAAGTTTTGATGATAACATCTAACCCAGAATTCATGAAATATGTTGCACGAACCTTGTTTCCCACTCTGTCCAAATACATCTGGAATTTATTCTCCACGTCTCTGGACAGGTTGGTGCAGCTGTTTCTGATCTTCTCCATCTGCTCCTGCTGGCTGTCACAGGTGAGGTGAAAGGTCAGCTGGTGGGGAAACAGGTTATTGATCCTGTTCAGGAAATCCTTGGTCACGATTTGGATCCCGTTCAAAGAGTTGGCAAAGTCCTCTTTGCATTTTCTGATTAAAAACACAAAATCGATCTTTAATTAGACTGATCTTCATATGTTGAGTTATATTAAAAAAGAAAGAAACAGGCAGGTTACCTGGTGTAGGCGGTGAGCTGCTCACTCAGCTTGGTGTTTTCCCTGCGCAGGACAATAGCGTCCTGGTGGTGTGTGTCTCGCTCTTTCAGGGCGTTGTCTCTCTCCATGACCAGATACTGAACCGTCTGAGTGAAATTAGCCTGTATGAGCTCTATCATGGCTTTCTGCTGCGTGTTCAGGCTCTGCAGAGTCTTCACCTCACCTGAGGAGTTCAGTTGAAATATCACCATTTACTTTAATAGTTTTGGTTCATTACTTCTGTGACATTTTTAATTTCCCACTCTAAAAATGAGCCTGTCTTAAATTTGAAGAAAACAAAATGACTTTTTAGAGACCAGATGTTAGAAATTGATTTAAAATGACTCCTGAAGGGAAGCGAAGGAACTTTTTATAATATCAGAATAACATTTTTCAAAACCCGTCATCAATTGTTAACAAAAAATCGTTCTTGATTTTGTTGTACTAACATAACTACAAATAATTATAACAAATAACTCATCAATACAGCCTGACAGATGTTTTATTAGGAAATAATCCTTTAAATAATTAAAGTTAAAAACCTGTTACGTGTCAAACTTCACACAAATAATTTAATAACAGAAAAAAATCATACTGTGTCAAACCAGAATATTGAACAGTATTAAACCAGTACATGTAACAGAATTAAACCGGTATATGTAACAGTATTAAACCAGTTTATTTGACAGTATTAAACCAGTATATGTAACAGTATTAAACCAGTATATTGAACACTATCAAACCGGTATATTTAACAGTTTTAAACCAGTTCACCAAAACAGTAAGGAAGTACATACCACTGGAAGTGACCACAATCGGGGTCTGGACAGGAGGGTTTGGTCGCTGCGTCATCATTTTCATGGTCATTGCACTTGTTCTCTCGCAGGTTAACTTAAAATGGAAAAAAAATATGGAAGTTTAAACTCACAGGATTGTTAATAATTTTGATGTTATTATTACGCTAACTACTGTTCTGAGCTAATTATTTAACACATCCGTCTATCATGATTCATGATGCTGATTTTGTGTGAACAAGAAGGCTGACTGTGAACCAGATGTATCTACTCCAAGATAAACAAACCCGGTCTTAACTAATCTAAGTTAAGGTAACCTAATCTAACTCAACCTAACCTAACTCCACCTCACTGTAATTCTTCCTTACTTGGTTTTCTTTATTTCACTTTTCTAAACACATTTCTAAATAATAACTTATTCCCCTTATTTTTACTTCAAGTGTATGTACATTTTCATACTTCTACTTTGGTACAGATTTTTAAATACATGATTTTTTTTTTTTTCTTTCAATGGAAAATTTGAACAGCGGGGTGTCTGTGATTCTACTCAAACGCTTCCTCTAACGCGGGTGACCAATCGGAAAACCAGAACAATGTCAAAGGAAATAATCATCATAAAATAATCATGTACACTGTAAAAACATTCTTGTTGTTTTAAAGGCAGATTTGACCCATTAAACTGCTCTTTGCCACATCTTATCAGGTTCATCATATCATGTACTTACTATTTTTCCTCTCAGCGTGTGCTCTGTGTTGTTGGCCTCGGTCTTCACTTTGACCAGGTCTGCTTCCAAAGCGGTTTTCTCTGCAGTCCGGGCTCCCAGCTGAGCGCCCAGATCCTCTTTCTCCTTCCTCAGCTGCATGTTGTTCTCAGTCAGCTTGTTGAAGTTCATCTCCAGATCCTTAGACAGAAGACAGCACTCAGCATCATCATGACTGTGATTTAAACATCTGGGCATGTGGAGTTAACACTTAGAAATGAAGATACCATAATGATATTTAAATGAGAAATCATTATGCGTCAAAACTGAGGAAGGAGATGATTGTTTTTACTCTCTATGTCCTCTCTACTTAGAAGTCTGACTCATTGTTTCTTATCAGAGGCTAAAGTGTTGTTTAACTTTGGCTCCTTTCTCAAACATGTCTGAATTGTGGTCTCTAATATCAGAACAAATAAAGAGAGGTTATTTCAGCAGAAAAAAATCTCTCTGACCTTGACCCTCTTTTCCTCCGCAGTCTTCTCCGGCTGTCCGTAGATGAGGAAGAGCACCAGGCTGACGATGATGAGAGACTGGATGAGGGAGGAGAAGAAGAAGACGATCCTCATGTAGTAGCCGCAGCTCTTTCCTCTGGACCTGTGCAGCGGCTCCCTTGCCTCCAGGCCAAACTTGGCCCGGGAGTAGCTGGAGCTGTACATGGCTGTTGGGGGTGAAATGGTGGCGGCTGGTTTTTAAAAGATCTAAGCAGAAATTAAATTACTGTTGACAATCCAGCAGGTTTTCCCCCTCTGAAGTAATCTCTCCTTTCTGTGGATCAGGCTCTAAAGCTTCAAGGTGAACTCTGTCAGGCAGAAAATGTTGAAAAAGCTGCAGATGATGTTTGTTTCTCACACTGACAGGCAGAAAAGTCACGTATGGATGGATGTAAACAATGACCTCTAGGTGTGTAGAGGGGCCATGTTTATAAATGCTGCTGGAGGCACACTTCCTGGCCCCGCCTTCTCCTCTCTGTCTCTCCTCTCTTCACGACCTCTGTCACATTTCCAACTCCCAGATGCACCACTAACCGGTCACCAGAACCTTTTTTCTCTTTTGGCTGGAACAAAGTTTAGGAAGGTTAAAAAAGTTTAAGGATTGCCAACAGGCATGTTTCAGGATGGAAAAACACTGTGCTCTGGATAATTATATAATCTGAAATGATTTTTCTACAATAAAAGTAGGGCAACTTTGTCTTCAAACTGAATATATTCTCACTTTTTAACTATTGAGATTAATTAACTTGGCAAACATTTTCTTAATCTAATGGGCGAGTGGTATCTAGTATTTCACCGTAGAGTTATTATCTGATTTATGTGTACACTGCTGGTGACTGGTGGTCTGAAAGTTCCAAAATAACTGATACTTGGTCTTCTTTGGGGAATCGAACCTCTGTCAGATCAGAGGTTGTCAAAATGAGTTGTAAAAATATCACATTTTTGCTCCTGTGTTTTTTCTACTTTGGTTTTAAAAGATCATGAAAATTTGTGTTGTGTCACTTTTTTCCTCTGAGAGTCCAGCTGGGGAGGTTCAGGTTTAATGAAATAAAAGTAGAAAAGTAGATGAGCTCCTTAAAACAAACGATTGGGAATAAATAAACCGAAAAAGATCTGAGACCAGTCTTGTCAGAATAAAACCATAAACTACTTTGTCTCATATACTGAATGTTATACTATGCTACCGTCACGATAGTATAGACTAAAGGGGGGTTTGATCTCATTACATAACAGTGATGTGAATCTTGATATCTAAGTGTAATTTGTGTAAAAGAGTACGCTCCGTTAGGTATCACAGGTTCACAAGAGTTCTCACCCAAACTTTCCATGTTTTGTTTTTAAAACATGTTCATCAAAGCTTTTTAAATTTAGTATATCAAACATTAAATATCGTCTGAAGTGAGTCCTGTATAAGATTTTTAATGTTCTGGAAAATGGTTCATAACATTTTAAGAGTGATACTAGGATATTATATCTCATCCAGTAACATGAAGCTCTATCTTTGTCATTTAAATTTCTCTGAAGGAACCGTCGGCAAAAAGGTCGATATTAGGTCAAAATGTGGTTGATGGCTGTCAAAGAATCTATCATGAGGACATGGGGTAAAATAGACCCCCCCACTAAATCTACTTAGTATTAAAACTGATAAAAATGAGATAATCATTAATAGAGATTTGACTCCAAACTGCAGCTGTCATTTGTCTAAATCTGTTTAAGTTTGCAATGCTGTTTTGTGTCAAAGTTTGTTTACATGTTTTATTTGTTTTTGTGTGTGTGGACTAAGTTTGAGTGAATATGTGAAAATTATTCAAACTTAAGTTTAAAAAAAAGAAAAAAAGTAGAAACTTGACTATAATGTTGTTCATTCATCGTATAGCTCAGTATTTGTGGTTGCAAATTGTCTTTTGAGTTTATCTCTGCTCATACAATCACCTCTTCTCAAGATGATTTATCAGCCTCTGTTTGCAGGACTTAGTCTTTCTCCCTTAACATGCATCTTAAAAAGAGAAAAAAAAGCACCTGCAGTTTGGAGCTTGTTCAATTTTTGGCATTTGGGAAGCTGGTCATGTTAGATGTCTTCAAAAGTAGAAGAAGAGGAGAAGTTGGACTACAGCGAACAAGTTGTGGATGCTTTAAAATAGCTGTTTGTTCCCGGTGGGATGTTACTTTCAAATATTCATGGTAATTATCTGAGATCTTATCATGTGAAACTGTCACAGGTATCAGGGTAAGCTTTGTTTAATGTGCTGCAGCCCATTAAACCCTAAAAGAAAGATTATTTTATAATGTCAATACTTTTTGTTCCTGGAAAAATCACATTTTTTACAAATATAAATAAATGACTCTGTTAAAATAATTGAAAAAAACTACATTTTGCTCTGGCACCAATCATGCATCCTCCAGGAATGAATCCACCTCAAAATTGTGCTGAGTTTTTTTCCATTACCTGCCTGAGATGGTAATGAAAAGATGACTCAGTTTCATTACCTGATCAAGGAAAGGAACTTATTAGTAACTAAGTTAAATATAAACGGTCACAGAATCGTATTCCCGTGGCAGTGGATGAACAATGTGAACCATGTGAGGAGTAAACGCACAAGATACCAAACAAAAAAAAACGAAAAAAAATTCCACCACATCCTGTCCCAGCCAGGCACGGAAAGGAGTCATGGCAGTGGAGGAGTGAAGGAATGAAAACAATAGGGAGCTGTCATTCTTCGGGGATGAGGGAATAACAAATTCTCCCTGCAGTACAGGCACGCTGCCCCCCCACCCCTCACGCTGTTATCTGCAGTGATGACGTGAGGAACACTCGGCTCTTCAGGGGGAAGTGTGCGAAAGGGGAAAGGTCCTCTGAGCCTGGGGTTTTCCTGCCTCACCCCCTCCCCATTGTCTCATGACAACCTGTCTTTGCAGGAAAAAAAACTAATTTATGAAGGTGTGCTGGAGTGACAGAAAGTGAGAGACTATCAGGAGTCAGGACAGACATCAGATCAACCTCAGAGCGAAAACAGGAAAACGAACTGTTGAAGACAGAGATAAGAAGACCTCTTAAGATAACTGAGCAGACGACTTCAGGGTGAGAGGGAAACATATCTAGAACTGAGGTAGTATAAAGAGACAGCAGATAAGATTTCCAACAGGAGCTGTGATAACAGAACAATGACACTTTTATATTGGCATGGAAATTCAGTTTCGGAGCGGCACTCATCACGAACCTTTACAGATCTAAGAAGAAAAAATAGAAGGAAAAATAAATCAAAATTTACACTTTTCTGCACAGGCTGTAACATTTAAGAAATCTTTGAGACAAAGCTTTGAGACAAAGACCCAAAGGAAGACTTTGCTGCCACCTTCTGACAAAACAAAGAAACCACAGGCAAAAGAATAGGATTAAACTTGCCTTTTTAATAACCTGAAACAGCTTTCAAGAGCTTGTCTGTACAATGTGTTCAAAGAGCAGCTTCACTGACAGTGAGGAGGGCTTTTTAATCACACGGTCAGTCCAACAGTGCCTCAGAAATCATTGTCTAAGAGGAGCCCCGACGACATCACTGTACATTCTTCTGTTGTCCGAGCAATACGCAAAACAATGATTCAAAAATAGCTCAGTATAAAATAAAAATCACATTAAAATAGGCAACAAAAGGTGGAAATGATTAACTACGACAAAAGGCAGTCTTACAGACATGGTGACCTATGTGATTCAGTTCGTTATCCTAGTTTCCAAAGAAAACGAGGGCAGCTAAGGATACTGCTATGTGCTCGCACTCATGTCAACCTTAAAGATGTTAAGATAAGTCTGTGTGGTCAAAGACCTGAAGGTAAAAATCAACATTGTGGGTATTTGACAAAATCAGAAACCTCAACTTATTTTCCTTATTTCCTCCCCCTTCTACCTGTGTCCCCTTCCTGAACTCTGACATCAACTTCATCTTTAGGAAACTTCCAGCAGTTCAGCCGCCAACAATCAGATCACTTTACGACTCCTCAGCTGAAAATAAAAGATGACTCAATTTCTTTTTTTTAAGGAAACAAAACAGATGAGTTGTTAGGTGTTGGCCTACGCTCACATTTTCCAGATTATTCAATAGGTGAGTGGAAACAACCCTCAGCAATAAGGTGTGCATGGAAAAATCCTTTTATGAACCAGAGTTTTATGAGTGCGTACAGTTTTAGACGGTTGCCTCAATGTCCTGGGGGTCGTCCCCCTCCAGCAGGCTGTAAGACGCATGGCTTTGAAAAGGTCTCTGCAGAGGGTGAGCCAGAAGTTTGGCCATGCAGTTGTGCAACTCGATGGCGGGTCCACTGAGGGAGACTTCAAAGCGGTAGCACATGCCTTTTGAGTCCAGGTTGCAAAATGAGGTGTAGTTGTCCTAAAGACAGAAAACCACACACGTGAAGCACAAGAAAATATCCTGCAGGTTTTAACAACAACCCTGCCTGTTTATCAGGATTAGTAAGATGGACAGAAGAACTTTGATGAATTCACTGAAAATGCGGCAAGGTACGGACATTTAGTTTCTGATCTACAGGAAAACGTATGTGTTGGTCTGTTTCAGTTTGAACGCAATGCCAGTTCAGAGAAACACTCTGCAGACTCTATAAAGAGGAGGGACGCTGTGAAACTTTTACACTGTGAACCTCATTACTCCTTCCATTTGATGTGGCTAGAGTAAATTTGGTGTGACTGAATTTTATTGCTCCTGGGGCGCAAGTTCGGTTCAGTTCAGTTGCCTCATATACAAAGGCAACAGTCCTCTGTACACTGGCTGCTGGTTTGACTCACACCCTCACATCCTTTGGTCTTTGGTGCATGTCAACCCTCCTCTCCTCTTACTGTATTTTTGTCTCTCTTCCTTTTCCTCTTTTGTTCTAAGAGCTAAAAATATATAAATAAATGTCTTGCTCCCATTTGCACCAGCAAGAAAAACAAACTCAGTGAAACTTTGATTCCTGACATTTATGCATAGGCTGGCAGGAAAAAGTTCAGATACACTCAAAGTAGAAGTTACTCTTAGATGTAACAGGTGTGCAGCAGTTCAGGAATGCAGGCCTCAGTCAGAGAAATGATTTACTGAAAAAGCAGCAAATAATGGGATCTCAGTTTGGCTCAGCAGTCATGCCTAACGCACAGAGATTATAGGTCAAGCCGCAGTGGTCACTGGTTGGACTTCAGGCCTCAAGACTTTGCTGCATGTCTGGGTGTTAGATTTAGATTCAGATTCAGATCACTTTATTCGCAGCAGAGGACAGGACATTTAACACATTCACTCAACAATACATCATACACGTCTGTCAGTGTGCAGGACAGCTGAAGGGTGTTAACATCCAGAGTGTGCCTCCATCAGCCTCAGAGCAAAGTTTCTCAAAGAAGAAAGCAATAACTTTGTTAAGATACAGCATGTGCTGCCAATTTTTGTCCCTATCATTTCCCCACAAAACACTTTCACACAGAAGTTTGCCAAATGTATCCTGGAACAGAAAAATCTAAAGTGTATTTGCCATTTTTCAGCTCATTCACTCACCCTCCAGCTGGTCTCGTCCCCCTGCTCCTCCACGCCATTGTGCAGGTAAACCACATCAAAGAAAAAATATGGAGACTGCAGCATTTTCTGGAAGAACACAAACACAAGCAAAACTGAAAGTTCAATGTAAAGTCAATGAGCTGCTTGACGCGACCAACTACATGATGAAATAGGACTTCTAAAACAGACAGGGTAGCAAATAGTTTCACCTTTGAGAAAGAGAAACAGACACATTAAAACACAGAGAGATCTCAGCAGCTTTCATTCTTACACTAAAAGCCTCAGAAGGGTTGAACTGAAGCTGTCCTGCATGTCGGCTGTAGATGAGCACCGTCCGCACCACGTATGGAGGAGGGATGGTCTGAACGTTCTCCATCAATGGGAGCTCAATCTTCTGACGTCTGCGAAGACAACAGAAGAAAACAGAGAAAAACCCTTAAATAAAACATTTTGTTGTCACCTCAAATATCAGTCGGGGTTTAAACTCAGGGAGGACTTACATCACATTGAGGAGATCTTCCAAATCTGCAGAGGGCTGTGAAGGCTAAAACTTGACAAGTGGAGTTTGTTATGAGTCCTACACACCCCATACAGTCTTTCAGATGAACAATGGGTCTACTGCTGGGATTACCTTTGATCAATCGTTCACAAACTCACACAGGCATCTTAAAATGATCTATCTGTGCTCATCACCTTCAGAAATCACACATGCAGCCATCTGTTTGTGGCTATTTTAAGTTATCCATCTATAAATACAAAAACTTACTTCTTTCAGTGTTTAAAAGTGACATCTTTTAAATCTCCTCTTAATAGTTTTATTGATTAGTTACCCTGCAGCTCACTGGTTCATGTCTTTTTACCAGTTTTTGTAACCATTTTGTTGTCCTGAAATAATTTTATCATGTCTTTTCCACGTATTTTTGTTGATTTTTTGGGTGCATTTTGTGTTTACAAGTTATCTGTTAAATTATGGTAATAATTATTATTGCTATTATATTTTTTTGTTATAACTAATATTATTACTGAGCATAGCTGCAAGAATGACACCAACTAAAAAAGAAGATAATGATTGAAGAAGCCAGTGATTCCATCTGGTGTAAATTTGATTGAATCTGTGGAATTTTTGATTCTGTTTGATTTTAAGATGTTCATGTCTGAAAAAAAAGCACAAAAGTGATAAAATATATATTTTCTCTGTTGTAGAGAAAGTTTTTATGAAAGGATACTGAAAGACTCGCACACATTAGTCTCGAGGTCGTACAGACAGCTGCACAGCTCCCTGGGGTCTGAGGTGAAGCCTGAGAGCTAAGAGACATAAATATACAAATATACATAAGAAGACATTAAACATTGTATAAATACTTTGCCGGAACATTTAAAATGACCTCTGGAGAAGATTTCAACACTTCTGTACTCACCCACAAAGCGTCGTCGTTGACTACTACCAGAGCAAACTCGTGCCGTTTGTCAATCTTGTGTTTAGTTCTGACAAACATCTCGATCATCTTCTGGCAAATGTTCAGAGCATTTGTTTTAGATCTAAACAAAAAAAATACATATCAGGAAAAGATGACAAATGCAAAATTGATATTAAGGAGATTAGGTTTACTTAACTGAGGCCTACCCATTAAAAGACTCCAACTTTGGCAAAGACATCTCTTCAGAAAGGTCTAAACAGATGATCTGAGGTGAGGAATAAAACATTAGATGGTCAAAACGTTGTGGTGAAAGAAATTTTTCTCTTTTTTCTAAAACAAATATTGGAAGTGTAATCATGTGTACCACTTTCTCTGGACAGTTGACCCGGGGGACTCTGAGCTGGTACTCTGCAGGCTGAGGGACAGTTGTTAGTGTCGGCTGCTGCGGTGTGGGTTTCGGTCTCTCTTTGGCTGCTACAGTTGCAGTGGACAGCGGCACTGTTGCGCTGGCTGCGGCTGCTGCTGTTGTCGCCACAGTTGGAGCTGCAGTCTGGGCTGCGGCGACTGAGACAGTGGCGGTGGTGGAACTTGGAGGACTGTCACTGGTTGAAGCTTCACCCTCCCCCTCGACACGACTCCCAACAGCAGGCTGAGAGATGCTGGAGTTGTTGTTTCCTCCTATGCTGCCTGTGCTGCTGCGGCGGTCCTCTGCGCCTTCAGGGTTGGAGCGTGTCCGAGGTCGGAGCTCCACCATGCGCTCCTCTCCATCTGCTGGCCCCTGCTCTGGTGCTTCCATGGGTACAGAGATCTCTGCAAAAACACAGAGGAAGAATTTACTCAGGTGAAAGGAAACTGAAGATATTTTCATCCATGATTTCGTTTACTTTTAGTGACAATCTATCTCCAACAAGTACATATAACAGATGCCATGAGTCCATACCATTCACTGTTTTAATGTCAGTTTAACATTGACACCTTCAGCACCACACCTGTGCACAAGAGGTAAACAATAATCTGCGTTTCTCTCTTTAACATTAAATGCAGTGCTTATTTACCTCATAGAGTAACTAAATTAAAACCTTTTTGTTAGGATTAGGTTGTAAATACACAGAACAATAACTGAGACGGTCAGTCTGCACAGAAAAGACACAAAAGCAGGTAAAGCGAAGTGATGTATGAGCTGTTAGCATTAGCTTTAAAAGAAAAAAAAAAGCGAATGGGACGAGTCGAAATGTTCGAGGAAATAAAGACTAAAGCAGACTTACGTAAAACAAAGTTTTCCTCTTCTAAATGTTGTCCTCAAACTGAGGTGAAATTCATGTGAAGTTGTACAACAACTCAACGACGATCTGACATTTGTTATGAACGGACAACTTCCTTACAGGAAATGACCGATGACGGAAGTGTCGGCGCATTCTGGGTAATGTAGTTGAGAGAGGAGGTTGCGGTTTCCTCGTCCCCTTGTTGTTATGTTGAGAGCACAAAAAGCAGTCCAAAATAACTATTACTGAATTTAAATTTAAGTTAAACGTACAGGTATTAACAGGAGTAAACTGGTATTCTGCTGTAGAGGGGCTGAGTTAACTTTACAGCAGAATTAATAGCAAAAGTGTTATGTTATGGAAGACCAAAGTTGACATGCAGTTAGAAATTATACTTACTCATTTTTTTAGGGAATATTTCTTGGTTGTTTTCTCAAGATTTCAACTTAAGAGAACAAATGTTATTGCAATTATTCCCAATTATTATTATTCCCTCTTTTCAGGGAAAAAAACTTATATTTTACTCATGAAAACTGTGTGATCATTTTCTGGAGATCTATAAAACAATACAACAGGTTGAGCTCTTTGTCGTAGGTCGAATCATGGCATATCATGCTGCTTTTGACCTTGATGCCAAGTAATTTGAGTCTATTTTATTTTTTTTTTCCCCATTAAAAAAAAATAATAATAACAAATGATATGTGAGGATAAATGTCTGCTTTTGGCGTCCATACAACACAGCTGAATGTTGTTGCAATTATATAATTTCAGATTAGCACCGTAAAGTTCACTGTATCATGCTTAATCAACTATTATTGCTTTTTAAAAGGGAATTGTTATATTTTTTTCCAACTCGTGGGACTGGTGGTGTGATTACTTAAGGAATCACCTTTTTGTTTTTTTTAGTTATACACCTTTAGGACCTTAATCTATACCTCTTTTACGGTGTTTTCAGACTACTACTGAAATATATAAAAAAATATGTTTAAGTTGATTAAAAACATTAAGTCCTACATTAAAATAACCCAGGTTTGGATGCATATATTTCTTTAATAAATAGTATGTTTGGTATTTCTTAATTACCTATTAGCTTGATTATGCCCAGTCTGGGATATTGACCATGGAAGAAAATGCCCATGCACTGTTCAAAATAACTCTGCAAACTAAAAACATCATTCAGATCTGTGTTTTGGCCCAAAACACACATTTTCCTATCAGCCGTTTGAATAATTTCTCACAGTGTCTGTTTTCACTGATCTAAAAAGCATGGAGGCACTCTGTGGACAAAACAGGAAAGGACTCAGAGTGTCGGGGAATGGGTGGGGATGACTTTCTGAGTGTTTTCCACTGACTTCATTCATCACAGCAAAACACTGTAAGGCAGGCATGCAGGGAGCAGACTGCAAAGAGGGACTGACTTACTTTTAGTTAACTCAATAACACAAACTAGCAGGACTGTAGAAAACATCCCCTCATTCCGCTGTTGTTTAGACGACAACGACGACGACAGTGAACAGCCACAACAGGAACTTACTCACTGCTGCCAACATCAGGATTAAAAAATATGGAGGTCAGTATCTGCTGAGAAAATGTCTCTTTTCATATTGATTGTTATATGACTTGGTGTATTTAGTGTGGAAATTTAAAATGTCCTAAAGTTTGCAGCATGCTCCAGATTGTTTAAATCTTTGGAATGACTTGCTAAGATAATAAAATATCCTTGACAGACAAACCAAAGAAGTGCACAGATTGATGGTGACTTGTGCAGTGAATTTGCTTTGACCGCTGTGAAACAGGAGCAGGATATTTTAAGTGTTAGATTTTTATATAGTTAAATTTCACACATGTATATCATGAGTAGTATCATCTCCGTACTCAGACACTGGGTTGAATTTGGCCTCTAAATGTGACCATTTTTGATGATCTATCCAATGCATGGACTGTGATATGATACTAGCCTGATAATGGGTTTAAAGCATGTTACCGTCAATTCTCTGCAGAATATCTGTTTGACATCTGTTCATGATAAAAATGTAGGATTGCATTTTGTTCCAGTTTGTTACATACTGGTCTTAAAAATTCTTCACTAGCAGAAAAAAGTGTTAAACTTTGACCTCATTTCATGTTTTACATGTTTAGTCCACATTCTTCATGCACAACAAAAGACGGTTTGGTCCAGAAATATTTGCCAGGCAGGAAGTCAAATCTCAGGATGTTTTAGTTTCCTCCTTTTTCCGCTGCTTGAAACAATAGACGCTAAATAGCGTTACAACAATGTCTGGGTCAAGTGCATAAAAGATTCTCAAATTTAACACACAGAGGGATTTGTTTGGTTGTATTTCATGGGCCAAAAAAGTAGAGGAGTTTAAAAAGATTACTTTGAAAGAAAGTAAAAAGATAAAACACTGACTTTGAAATCAACCATCATGGTTTCTAATGCTGAAAACATCTTCATGTATGAGCAGGATCCTGGCCTGGTCAGATGTGACAGCCTGGACGCTGGGAACAGCTCTGACTGGGAGGTGATGTCCCCGATAGATCACATGACCTTTGACTCTGAGGGCTCTGAACCAGCAGCAAACCTGGAACCTTCTCCAGCAGAACTGGCTCAGTGCGAGGCTGAAGTGGGGACGCTGCTCAGCATCATCGCTGAACTGAACAAGAAGATGGGCTCTCTGAAGGCACCCAGGTAACATCAGTGAAGACAGTAATCAGATCTGGGTTTACCTTTTTGATTGAGGAACTCGTGTTACTACTGTGAGACATAAAACTGGTCAAAAAGAACAGAAATCAGATTTTTTGTGTCTTAAAATAACCAGAGGTATTTGGTGACAAAAATATAATTTCTGCAGTGAATCAGGGGACCTAAGATCACCAGGACCACCTGGGCCTCTGGTTCCAGACCTCCTGTCCCACAGACTGGCCAGAAGCAGCCCAGAGAGGACCTCTGCCTCAGCAAACACATCCAAACCTCCACTGAGTGGCCGAGGTGGAACATCGTTTTGTTTTTATTCAGTTGAACACACTTTTAGGATGTGCGATGCTACTGAAAGTTGTGATTGAATTAAATACCCTCCTGTCCCTCCATTTTAATTAATTGCAGCTCTCCTCTCCTTCCTTTAGGGGGCAGCAGTGTAGTATGGTCTAAACTGCAGGAGGTTTTGTCATCAGTGGAGGACTCCATCAGCTGCAAACGGTCTTGGGCGGCCCCCATCACAGCTTTGGACCAGAACAAGCACAGAGAACATCTGAGGGCAGCCCAGGAGAGCTGGGTGAAGGCTGCTCAGGTTTACATGGTCACTCTGTTGGTCTGATATTTATTTATCTTTAGAGCTCCAAGAATAAGCAGCATGTTTGCAGTTTACAGACAACCAAACAAAACCTGATCCAGACGACCAGAGATTTAAATTTGGTCAGCAAATTATTAAAAATGGGGTCATAAAAATACCAACACATGCTGCCTGTCTGTCTGAGTCTTAATGAAGGGGGGAACATGACAGTTTTAGACTTCCATCAGCCCCTTAAGTAATTTCGGCTCTCTCATTACAGATTTTAGAGGACATGGAAAAGGAGTTTGGGATTTCATGCCCACAAGTCCCACCAAAGGACAAGTTTCAAGAAGAAGCCCTGGATACAGAGAAGCGAGATTCTGCTCTCAGGAGCGGTCACCAGGAGGAGCTGGAGAGAGCACCAAGTCTGAGCCACATGGAGGAGGAGAGGAACAAGGTGTCAGAAGCTGGACAGTAAATAGGCGTAAAATAAACAGCCAAAAGACATGATGAAATATGGAAATATGAGGTCATTTCTGGGAAACAAGTCTTCACATGTGTCTTTGTAACGCTAAGTTTATGTAACTTCTGGCAAGCTTCTGCAACAGTGCAGTTTGAGCAAGATGTTTGGTGCTTTTACCCTAAACAGAGACCCCGCTCTCCTTCTCTTGTTTTTCAGCTGGTTGGTCTCCATAAACCCTGGAGATCAGGCAGTCACTCTCCTTCATACAGACCCACCGCTGGGGCTCTCAGTCCAGACTGGGCCTCTCCACCCTTCCCTGGTTCACCGTTACTAAGCAGAAGAACAGCCAGAGCTATAAACCCTCTGTCTCTGGGTGGAGATGGTTCTCCTGTAGGTTCTGTTCACACCTGCAGTCCTTGTCAGAGTCCCATCAGCCTGGAGTCTGAGACAGAGCGGCTCAGCAGGTCAGTTAGCTAAAACTCACAGTGGACTGAACCAAAACACAAATGTTACACTGACTGAGCAGATGTGTTTTGGTTCAGCAATAACTTCATCTATTTCATAATGCCAAATAAAAAACCTCACTTGAGCTTTAAGGATCAAAAAAGTATTGGCATATATAAAACAAAAACAAACACTGAAATGCCAACAAACCTACTTAAGTTTATTGCACCAAAGCCCAACAGGTTTGGTTTAGACATAAGCCCCGCCTTGTCCAAAGAAAGTCGCCAATCAGAGTTCAGGAGTATGTAGTGATATGTTTAAAGTCTCACTCTGATCATTTTTTTAAATTTACTACTTAAAGTGTTCTCAGTGGTCTTTAAATTGTCATTATTAAGTTTTTAGCCAAAATCACGTTACCTGTGTCATTTTCAAAAGCTTCTCTTCTTCAGAGCTCCAGTTGCTTATTAGCAGTTCACCTCTGAGTCGTGGGCGGAGACAACGCTGCTGTGCACACTCCTCTTCATGTTAGCTTGCAGCCTAAAATTGCTGGTGCAGCAGAAGTGGCAGGTAACATAGGAGCTATTCAGCTCTCAGACACTAATGTCTTTAGGGACACGATGAAAGTTAATATCATTATTAGCTTTCTTACGAACATTGCCAATCCGCTAACGCACATGCTTGTTTCGCGATCGTCCTCTGTATTTCTCCTCTATATGCAGAGTCTGACCTGCATAGCGAAGCTCCGGGGGCGGAGCTTGGATTGGTTATGTATGAAATCTCACTGTTTCTGAACCTGCCGTTTGGGTCTGCCAGAGATTAACAACGATTTGATCGAAGAAATACTCAGAAAAGCAATTTGACACTCATTTTTCTCATGATATGTCCTGTAGCGTCAGAAAAATGCCATATGAACATGTAGACAACAAGAAAAGCATGATTTTCACCAGAGTGGGTCTTTAAAAAGGGCTCAAGCCACCCCAGGTAACGCGGTGACAATGCCCCAGACAGAGGAGAATATTTAGTTTTATTGACTGAAAACAAGGAAACGACGAGACACAGGCACAAATATCTGACAGAGCATAAGGATGGGATTGTGAGTCACACACTAAAATGGATTCAGCCTCAGAATGAATTTGAGGTCTGAAACCAAACAAATAAGAATAAAAAGCTCGACTTGAATTGAATTATTTCTATCTTCAATTCTTTTACCAAACAAAGGTGTCTCCTTCTGTTTTGGTCTCACCCTCCTCATCCTCTCTTTGTTTCCCTCAGGTGCATTGAGAGGCTGAAGGCCAGAAATGAACGGCTGACTGCAGCTCTGGAGCGAAGGAAGGCAGAGTCGGAGCAGATCATCGTTAAAGTGAACAGACTGGAGGCTGACTGCAGTGCCCTGCAGACTGCTCTGAGATACAGGTACACTCCTGACGCACACGCCTGTCTATACTCATACTGTCAGTAATGCTGTGAGACGTATGTCACAACAATGACTGTTCACATGCTGCTCAGCTGATCGTTTGGATCCAAGTTCTCCCCATCAGTGAAGTCTTTGTTTTGTCTTTGTGGCTGTGATTGACAGTAAGGAGTGTGAAGAGGCCTACGGCGAACTGCTGTCCATTTACGACTCCAAGAAGCAGCAAAGCATTCCAGCCTCAGCAGGTGTTTGAATACCACGTTTTAATACCAAGAACTCGTATATGCTTACATGTACAGCATGTATGTACGTCATTCACACACACACAAATACACACACACGGCTCACAGTTTTTCCTCTCTTCAGAGAAAGCCGGTGACAGGCAGCAGTCCGACAGTCCATCAGCTCAGCTCAGGAAAATGGGAACTGAGGAGCTGTCCACCTCCTTCTCAACAGCAGGGGGAACAGAGGAGACGCAAACAGAGAGACGCGCAGGGCAGAGGTGAGGCTTGAAAGTGCTCTTTGTACACTCAAGCATGGGCAGGAGGCAACATGTGTGAATAATGGACAGAGATTAAACTGACAGGGAAAGTTTCTTCATACTAACCAAGATCTACTTGATACTGAATCAATGTTTCCAAAACTACCTGGAGTCACTTAACGAAGTGTGACAGTCATTAAAAACTTTTGACTATTCCTGTAACCCCACAGGACACCTGAGCAGGGAGAGCGGGAAGCTGTTCTCCGCCAGCAGATTGAGTATCTGAAGAGGGAACGGGCCGCGATTTGTCTACCTAAACCGAGTCAAGGAGATGACTGCAAAATGAGTCCTGAAGCAGGTCACCTGGCTGGATCCAGAGGAGGGCCAGTGACCAAAGAAAACGTCAAGCCTCCAGATACAAAGAAGGAGAAGGCCTCACTCTTCTATGAGCTTATTTCTGTCAGGGTAGGAACCCAATGCATCAGATTTCATATAGTGCTTTATCAGAGACCCTCAAAGCACTTTACATTGAATACATCATTCATTCACTCACAATCAAACATCAGTGGAGGACAGACACTGGGAGCAAGGTGGGTTAAGTGTCCTGCCCAAGGAAACAACAGACAGCCTCAGGATAGGGGGGAGTCGAACCGCCAACCTTCCAGTTATTGGACGACTGCTTTACCTCCTGAGCTACTGCCGCCCACATTGTGTCTTTTTTTAAAGTCAGATGTCATATAACTTTAATTCTTCATTTTCTACACTTGGCTGTAGACATGTTTTTTGTTTTTCCTGTAAATATGGATATTCTTTGATGGAGCCTTATGGTGAATAACTCGCTCTTAGTGTCAGCCCCCAGTGGCGTCTTATAAAAAAGAAGTTTTCGGCGCTCTGAGTTGGCTCCAGCCTCTGCTAAGCTTACTAAATAATCCCTAACTCACATAACACCTACATAAACACAGCGTTTATAGTGTGTACACAGTCAGTTTTTAGGACTCTGGAGACAGACCTCCAAGAAATTGATCTAATGAGGTCAGGAAACCCAGAGAGACCTAAATCTGGAGAAGTTTTTACAGTGCCATAAATGAGAACTTTGACTAACTTTGCTTGTTTTCTGTATAAATCTCTACTATCATATCCTGTCAAAGCACAAATGAAAAGTTAGAAACTAGGGAAAATGTCCATTAAGTGAATCAAAAGTACACAGATGCCAAAAAATATCTTCCTGCGTAGAGTCATGCTCGCTACTTCTGCAAAAATGCACCATTAGTTTAAAAAGTGTTAACCCACACTACCTATGCTGTAACCTTTAAAAATCTTAATATACTGTGTTCTGTGGTTTTGCCGTTTCTGTTCAGGAGGAGATGTCAGATTTGCGAGCTTTGATTCGCCTGAAGGAGAAAGAGCTGCGGTGTCTGGAGTGGAGTCTGATGGCCCAGAAGGCTCAAGAAGCGGCTGGAGCTTTCGTTCCAGAGAGCCTCCGAGAAGAGCTGGAGGATCGCACAACCGAACAACAGGTAGGACAGACTCGAACGGCAGCAACGCTGACTTTTTTGTAATTTTTAGAATCACACAGAGTCAAGGTGAAACCAGCAAGAGGGAGCAGGACGCCGGTCTACTGTGGCAAACCCGATTCAAATCTGGATGTCCCACATGGGAAATCACACGTCTACAAATGCAGAATCCCTCCAGGCCAAGAGGGATATTTTGGTTTCACAAGGTCTTCAGTTGGGCTGTCCTGTCTTTGTGGAATGAGAAAGAACTGAGCAAAAAGCTTTCTCTCAATTACTCACTTCGACTTGTGTGACTCCATGACTATTCCCCCGGAAAGATGCCGTATTTCTTTGTGAAGGTCTGACAGAACAGACTTTTTATAAATGAGCTCACTGGACGAAGAAGAAGAACCCCTCCACTCTGCTTAAAGACTTTTTCTCTTGATCGTTTTAATGGAAGCAAAAAGGATGAAAATTTCGTAACCTTATGAAGAGGGAGAACAAGAGTCTGCTTTTCTTGTCTTTCACTGATGTACAAGGACAAGATCGACAGCTGCTTAAATGAACTCAGTGATCGTTTAGAGGCTGGCAAAGCAAAATACAACACTTATAGACACAGATTACTGATTTACCACAATAATGAGATTAATAACCAAAGCAAATGAATTAGTGCAAACATTGGTATCTGTAACTGTGTCAGTATTAAGTCTAACAAATCAGATCACTGCCTCCTCGCTCTGTCCCAAACTTTAGATCAGTGGTTCCAAAACTGGAGGGTGTCAGATCTCAATAAACGTAATTCAATCTGGATAAACAAGTTAACGACTTAGAGCCAAATATCTATTTTTACAGAGAAATAGGGAGATGTATAGGTGTCTGTCCTTAGCATTAGTAAATGTATTCCTGTCCTGAAGTCCAGATACTCGTGTTTAAGGTGTTGGTCAATTATGTTGCGTGAGACTGTTGAGATGGAGAGGTGGAGGGTCACATGTAACAACAGCATAAATAAACTGAAGAAAGAACGAGCCAGCAGCATGATAGACTACAAATAAAGAAAGGTAGCAGTGCAGGTAGATGGGACTAGAACAGCTGATGACTATGGGAAAATACATTGTACATGACAAGTCCCTGAGCTAAAAAGCTTCAGGCACTACTGCTTAGGTATATCCCATGTTCACTGATTGTGTTTTTTTCTATAATCATCACTGAAATTTTTCAGCGGCTCTGTGAAAATGCAGCCAACCCAGGCAGTGAAGGGGACAACGCCAGCCCTCGATCCAGACCCATCCTGAAAGAGCTGCAGGCAGTCTTGCAGAGGTGAAACTTCATCACCTGACTCCACATTTCCGACTAACCCCACAAAACCTCCTGATCTGATTTAACATAATGACACCAAAAAGGTACCTAATGAATGTTTCAGCGCATAAGAAGAAGAATCATTACGATAAACAGTGTGTTGTCTGATTTTCTGTTGCTTAGGAACACTATCAGCAGAAAAGCAGACTTAAGACACAAAGGCCTTTTGTTTTGTTTTTCTATCAGATGCTTTAGAAAGCATCCTTGGTCTCTTCTGACATTGTGTGGTGAACACTTCTACGTAAATAACCGCTGTTAACACTCTGCATCACTTCACAATGAATTCAAGGACTCTTCACGGAGACATTTCTGATCCGGTGACTAACAGAAAATACCCTCAGTGACTCAGGTGCGATACCAGACTGATATATTTCATCCTATCTTATTTAACAGGGAACAGGCCCTGAAAAAGAGACTGGCTCTAGTCCAGGACTCTCTAAACACAGCTCTGTCAGACAGCACTTCACACAGGAGGGACAATGGAGAGCAGTTTGCTCGGCTAACACAAGCTCACAGGTAAGTGAAACACGAAAAAGCGTATATTAATGTTTTTGTTAACTCTCTGTATCTACATCCAAAGCCATGACTACTAATGTCTTATTGTGGGTGTCTTCCAGTAAAGCCTTGAGTTCGTACCGTCAGATTCGTAGAAAGTACCGGGAGCAGGTGTGGAGGCTGGAGCAGAAAGTTGCAGCCATGATGGAGAGTCACCAACAGCAGAGCGGAGCGCAGAAATCTGCAGGGGAGAGCCCAGAGTGGAGGAGGGAAGAGACCGTACTGTGATCGTTCGACAGAGAATAAGCTTTCATATATTCACACTTTATAGTTCACTATCATGTACAGTGCCTCTATTAGGGCTACTATAAAGACATTTATTTTTAAAGAGTCGCAAAAATTTTTAAAGATTTACCATTTTTTCCTAGTCAACCATAATGTCATTAAACAAAAATAATATTTAAAGTCATTAAACATTTCAGTAAAGCACAGCATGATACTGTTTTTAAGGAGGATATCACACAGTTTTTTGCCTAATCTTTTCACAGTCCTGATACTAATAACAACATGGTGCTGAGGTGCCAAAACATTAGGAACAATTTAAGAAGACACTCCACAGTCCTCATTTTGGCACAGGCAGCTCAACTTTAACCCCAACTTCAGTCATGACCTTTTTACTTTAACATGATGACCTGATTCTTAAAATATTACGACTTCATTTTTGTAATAATGTCTCCTAAATGTTACATTACGGCCTAACTTTACTCTAATGAGAAAATAATGTGTAAAAATCTGTAAATCTTTGGATAAAATATTTTTTTTTCAGTTTTCTTTCTTTAGTGTGGCCTTAACACTGTCACAGTGCCTCTAAATTTAAGCTGCAAACATTTTATTCCTGTGATTTTTTTTCAGCTCACAGAAGTCTTATCATAAAGTTATGGTCAGCTATTGTTGGAACTTCTGTGTTTCTAGCCAGTTAGCAGTTATTAGCTAAAAAGATACTAATATGAAGCGTTCTGTAAACATTTACCTAAATCAGAAAATGTTCAAACATTCGCACTTCAATATTATTATTATCATTATTATTATTATTATTATTATTATTAAGAGTCGCTGTACCAAAATTACAGTGCCGTAAAGTTGCTGGCATGGATATAGGGTTTAAGTTAAGATAAATGAAAATCACTTGTATAAGCTTTGTGTGAGGGTGATGTCTGGATAATAGTCCAGGTTATATCATGTACCTGTTTCACAACATTTTCCCATTGAAGAATTAAATGTTTTGTATTCTAATTAAAATCATTTATTTCCCTGTATTAGTCTGTGTCTTTGTAAGGAAGGATGACGAGTTTACCATCAATATTTACTTGAAGTAAGGACGAGCTAGCTAACCAACAAAGACTTATCAGTTAGCTTCTTTCCTATTCTGTTTTGGTTGGTTGATACGTCATATTTCGATTTTAATAAGTTTTTGTATGAACATAGTCTCTAGCTGGTCTTGATCTGTCAGCCTATCATCGAAACCTTGGCTGCCTTTTTGTTGTTTATTGGCTCTTGAGAGGTAAATATAACCGTTTTAGGGGAGTGGAACATAGAAAACATCATTAAATCTACTTTCTCAGAAATAAACTAAACAGAACTTCAAAGCTTAACATGCCTAATATGAGTCACACATCACAAGACACATGCCTTGTTTTGAAGAAGCAGCTGCCATACCATCATGAATGTGTGAGACTGACTCAAGGACTGAACCCACAGCGGACCTAAGGACTGACCTCGGGCGTGCACATGTCCTTTTTCCCGTACGAGGCGACTCTATAAAGCTGGACGTGCTGTCAGGACAAAGCGGCGAGAAAGAGGGGGGAGGGAGGCCGGGACAATAGCAACACATGATGTGCACATAAAATGTAAGGCCAGTCCATTTGACCTCTAAACGCCTAAATAGATCTCTTCATCTCAATCTCTCTTCCGCCGTTTAAAAGTTTCCGGCTTGCATTTTAGATTACTTCTGAAACTTTATATGTGTGACCTGGATCTATGTAAAAGTCAACCATCTAACAAGCATGCTGAAGATTCTGTAGCACCCTACAGGCAAACTAACTTCTGGTCTGATTCTGAGAAAATGTCTGCGCTCCCATGGAAGACTGTGTATGAATAACCAAAGCAAAGAACAGAACTGCATGAACAGATGGAGATTTGCTCATAGCCTGTAGTGAAACTAACATAATCTGCTGGTGCAGAGCTGTTTTTTTTAAAATAGAGGCTTTTTAAAATGAATTGCAAGTTGAGAGACTCGAGGAAACTTTTTCATTAAGTTTAATTCATAATAGAGAGTTGAAATTAATATGTAAATCAATAAAAAAATCTTTATGTGACAGAATATAAATCTAATTTTGGTTTAACAGTGAACACTCTTTGATTTGCCCACCTTTAATATTTTGACGATTTGCGAATGTTGTCGTTGTAGGGCCATGGAGGTTTGGTCAGGTCATCTCTTAACTTGACTACACCAGATCATTACTATATTATTTTTATGTGACTGTTCCAAAAGATGTAGACTTCGTAACGTTACTTTAGACAGTTACCTAACGAAATCAGGGGGTGGCTAGGGGTTGCCATGGCCCCTCCTGGCCAATCACAGTTCAAAAAATCACATTTCATTGATGTGATCTGAAATCCTGTGCAAATAAATCTAGTTGTGTAGACACCAGCTGAGATGAGACAGTTTTTGTTTATCTATATTCAAATGACTTGACCTTTGTAATTCCAGCTTACCCTCATCATCTCTTCTCAAGCATCCATTGCTCTTCACATCCACCTCAAGCCTCCATTTCTCATCCATCTTCTCTCCTCGCTCTGTCTCAATCATCTCTGCCCCCTCCTCCCGCTATCTGGCCGACCTAATGTCCTGACCCACCCTGACCGGTCAGCTGCAGCTGTGACCGACGGTCAGGAGGTTAAGGCAAAGGTTGACTGTCACACCCACAGGGTCATAGTGATGCCTGGCTGTTGTGTTAGCCTGTGAATGGAGAGTTCAGAGTGCCAGACGAAGTGGCGAGCCCCTGACGCCCTGACTCCTGCCTGGGCTTGCCCTTTCCCGAGCAGAGGTCACCGTAGAGGGCAGGTCCTCGCCTCTCCCCCAATACCTCCAGGTCACCATCACTATTGTTGTAATAGCCGCCATTAGAGCAGATGATACAATTATCGCTCCATTTTGTGTTCGCTCTCTGTAAGATCTATGTTAAGCTTCTGACTTCATCAAAGGTTTTTTAGATGACATGATTGTTGTAACCTCAGGGTGACTCTGAATCAAAGAGGCGGCATGCCAAGAAGTCCCATTGATAGAAAAAAAATTCCTTTTTCTCTATTTTTATAAAAATGGCTCAATAAACATGTACTGGCGCAGCAGTGGATGGAGTATTCAGATAAATTACTTAAGTAAAAGCTTAAAAATGTGAAAATTATTTACTACATGTAGAGTGGTCAAAAACTTGGCCCGATGAAATGCAGATGTTACAACTATTTAAAGAGATAGGACATTGGATAGAGCGGGAAACAGGTAGAGGGGGCAAGAAATGGCGTGGAGATAAGGAGTTGATTTTTTGAGGCATAACTTATAATTAACCCCCATATAATAATAGTTATAATAAGTATAACTTTTTTTATATATAGCATTTTTCAAAATAGAGTTATAAAGTGCTTCACAACATAAAAACAGAATAGAAATAGAGGAAGAAAATACAGCAGCAGACATCAATACAATTTCCAAAACAGTCAGTCAAAGGGAATGATTAATAAAAGATGAAACTCCAACCATGTTCACAGTTTTTAAAAATAATTTAAAAATGATTATGATACTAATAATAAAATAAAATTAAATACTAAAACGAGTTAAGACTTAATTAAAAGTGAAGAGCTACAAGCTAAGTTAAAAGTCATATCAGAACCCATAAATTGATGTGCTTCTCCAGATTGATGACGTATCAAAAATGACTCCAAAATTTTTGCAGCTGTTAGAAATATTCACTGAGAGAGGCTGTAGGAGTTCAGAGATGTAGGCGTGTGAAGTGTCTGGACCAATTATGATTACTTCTATGTTTTTCATGTTTAGCTGTAGGAGGTTGTGGGCCATGTCATGGCTATTAGAAAGGTAAATCTGGGCGTCATCGGCATAAAAGTGAAAATCAATGCTATGTCCATGAATAACATGTCCAAGGGGCCTTTTTACTCTAATCTACCAACTACAACTGTATGATTTTGACAGACTGCAGTATTATAGGGAGGCACTTAGATCCTAAACATGAGTAAAGTGACTATAAATAAATTAAAATTGCTCAAAAGGTAACAGATGAACACAGGTCATGTGTCTAGTCATAAATATTGTTCGAACACAAATTATTTATCAAACTGTGAGGTGGATTTGCTCTAAGTTGAAACTTTTATCAGACCTTGCTTAAGTACATGACCTGCACTTCTTCAGTCCATATATTTATTATTTTTAAAGTGTGAATGTATGGCTTTCAGTGGTATACTTGGGTAAAATAAACATCTTTCTAAATATTGGGTAACTGTGAGTAGTTGTGTTATCAACTGCACAGGTTTGTTTTGGTATTAAATTGGGGATTTTTATAAACATTACGTAAGAAATATGTGACATTATTTATGGTCTACATTTCTGGACATCTTTCTCGCCCATATGTCTCAGTATTCAGGCCTGTGGTGAGGGGAGTTTTTCAGCGCCTGGGAAAAGTACCCGCACCATTATGAGACAACGACACAGGCTGTCAATCAGGGTGGGGGTGGACGCAGTCACACACACACACACACACACACACAGAACCAAGGGAAGGGGGGCACTGACCTAGGGGTTTTAGGTCAACTCATTTACTCTGTGCATCCGTTCCTCATTTTAATAAGTTGTCTCTCTGTAAGCTGTATAAAGAGATCACAGCTCTGCGCGTCATTCCCGTTGCCTTTCTTTCACAAAGCCATTAGCTCACCTGTCACAACCGCTCCATATCCCCTCTCATATCCTCCTCCTCTCTATATCTCTCTATTCTCTGAGCGCTGGGATGCTGCCAGCTGGCCTGACACCTCGCTCCTGAGCCTTTGGACACCAGCAAGCCCGGGGAGAGGTCAGGAGGATGGGTGCTATCGACACAGAGAGGTGCCAGAAACATGTGACCTCAATCAAACGGCCGATCACATCCTCTTTGTGCTCTCACCCACTCAGATCATGTTGGCAAACAGCTCAGACAAACAGACCACCTCAACATCAAACCCCTGGATAAAGAGGAACCCTGTCGGCCGAGAAATTTCGTGCAATAATGGCGCTCTTCGGTGACATAACTCCTATTTAAGGATGCATCCTACTTCCTTCCAGCTTTACATAAGGGTTTTATCCCAGAATATATCTTGGATTCTCAGAACAATTCAGTGGGCATCAAGCTGTTTTATTGTAGACTTCGAACCAGTGACGGTGTAAGGGTCCATCCTTCCTGTTGACTATCTTACTAAATTATTATAATATTATGTCTTTAATATCATGTCAGTAAAAGGTATTTCCAAATCAGAATCTGATAATTACTGACAGGTAAATACAATAATTAATTTACAACAAACACAGGCATAACAACTAAGTAATGATAATAATGTAAGGACTAGTTCTTAGATAGTTATATAAGGACTAGTTCTTAGAAGTAAACTTTTTGGCCATTGCCCAGCAGAGTACGATACTATTAGTTATGTAAGATAGAGGCAGAACCAGCTAATTGGGTTAAGAAATTTTTCTGACCCCAGTGACCGCTTAATAAAATCTACCACAGTCTCTGTCTACTGACATCCAGAACAACTATGTGGCAATAGTCTGCAGTTATCACGTAAAATGTTCATTCAAAATAAGCATCAATGTTTATTTGTTAGTATGGTGGTATTGTTGTATTTTACAAAATAAAGAGACAATGTAATATTGGCATTAAAGGGATATTCCAGCGGTCTCAGGAGCTACACGCTCAACCAAAAAGCCACTCTGTAGTCACAAATAATGCTCAGAACAGCACCTAACTTCATCAACAGTACATATAGGGCCCCAGCCACAGCACTATCCACCAAACATCTTTTCAGCTTTGCCTAATTTCTTTAGCAAAGAGACTAAACACTACTCACCTACTCTCTTACAGCAGCCGCTTGTTTGTACACAGATCTCAGGCGAGTCAATTACCGCAGCGGCGGGACGCAGCTCAAGTAAGAACATTTATGATCATTACTTTATCATTTTTTTGAAACAATAATCATCATGTTAATCATTTTGCACTGC